GCGCGATCCACCTCCTCCTCTTCAGCCACTACCATCAATGATGGTAGTGGCTGAAGAGGCAATAAAGTCATGGGAAAAAAGACCCCATCAACATCCACACGGGCCAAAGGCCCCTGATGATCATAGGGAAAAATGAACCACTCACTGTTAATTTCCTGCTATGGGGCCGGTCTCTGGGGCCAAAGGAGGAGTGGGAGCTGAGCTGGTGTTGGATTGATGGATGAGAGGTGGCTTTTGGACCAGGACAATCTGAATGGTTGATGTGAAGGAGTCTGAAGAAAAAAATTTCGTCTCAGATTCAAATCTAATGCCTGTACAGGCTTGTATGTTTCAGGTGTATGATTCAGGGCTTTGAATCATCATTAGACATGGCCTCAAGTCCAGAAGAGCTGGGCCCTGGTTGCCTGATTCATTTCATTTGCTTTGATCAATGGGCTCAAGTGACATGGGCTCATGAAAGAAGATAATTATAATTGATTAAGTGGCCATCAATTCTATATACGTGACAAGGGCATTCATGAGAAAAAAGGCAATCATAACGGATTGATAAATGATAAAGTGGCCATTACATCTATATACATGAGATGCTCAATCATGAAATCGTGACCTCAGTGCCTGCGTGCCCAGTCTGACCACTGAGATCAGCCCCAGATCCTCATCCGTAATCGAATTAGTATGGCCTGGGGTTTGTCTAGTGTTGCTGGTGGATTCTTTGATGTTGATGGTGGAATGACCGATCTCGTTGGCCAAATGAGCAGAGTTGACAGTCGAATGGTGAATGTTTCCTGGGGTGCTGGATCTTGTGGATCTTGGTTGCCAAGGGATTCGAACCAAGTCGGGTAGTTCCAGGTCTTTGCACACCTTGTTGCACTTGTGCTTCTCGAGAAATAATTCCATGAACTCTTTGGAATATTCATTCTCCCAAATAGACCTGTGGATTCAAAGGGTATAGAAATTATGAGTGTCAAATACAGAAATCAAGAGGATTGATGTATAGCACATACTCAGTGTTCAAATCTACAATGTGTGGTTTGGAAATAAGGGTACCATAGCCTTTAAATTTATGAATGGTGATCTGGCCGTGAGTGTGATTATAGAGCCAGTGTTGAAACGAGTGGAGCAAAAATTCGGTGGGAGAGCGAGGTTCACCGGTGAAGTAGACATCGTCATCAATTGACAAAAGGGACGTATAGCCGCCAGTGATTTCTTCTTCCATCCAGAACACTCGAGATGGTTCATCGCAAATATTGTTGGGCGGGAGATTGTAGTTGGGTTCTTCAGTGGAATCAAACATATCATCATCCTGACCAGGAACATATTTATCCTCATGTCTTGGTCGAGTAAAGATGTCATGGTGAACAGGAAATCCATCGACAATCTGGTGGGTAGTTGGTTAGTCCAATAAATTTGTAAAGGATTTGAATAGCAGACACACTCACCCGTAACCTTTTTGCTGTTTGCTTAATAATTGTCCCACCTTCCGACTGACTTATAGCCTGACAGAATTGAGCCAGGAATTGCCTGGAAACCGCATAGGTCCTCAGCCAATAGTTTGGTACACATGAATATGAATCACGTGTTAGATCCTTGCGGACTCGAGAGTATTCGGCTACCATGGGAAAAATCTTTCCAGAGTCAAGAACCTCGGCCGCTATGATTTTGGTCATCTCTTTCACCTTGAAACATTTATTATAATTCACACGGTAGAGACAAATTTTCTGAGGCATGTTGAGCCCATCGGGATCCAGGCTCAATCGAACTCCATCAACCCAGTCAGAGTTGTCGGAATCTCGGTATGAAACAGTGTCCTCCATGCTCCCAAATCTCTCCCAAGATAAATCGTTTGGATCCAAGATTGGTTCGGCTCGCCCTAATAACAAATTCTTAGTCACTCAAGTCAGGTGGTTATTTAAAATAGTGACACTTACAAGATGGGCGGATGCTAAAAATCACAAGTTCGTCGTCCAAGTTTCTGTTCAAGGCTTCAACATGGGGGTTGGTCTCTTGTTGAATGACTGAGGAGAATTTTGGACGTTGATCGTGGTTGTTCTGAACCACCGGCTGAGAGGGAGGAGGAACAAGTGATTTATTTTGGGGTAAATGAGTGGTTGGAGTTGACCGGGTTGCTGATGTCAAAGAAGGTAGACTTGGAGGAGGAGGTAAAGTTGATCGATTCTGGGGTAAAGTTGTGGTCGATGTTGAACCGGTTGCAGATGTGAAAATGGTCGAAGGAAGACTGGATTCAGAGCTGTCACTTTCAGCGTCTGAATGCAAATCTTCATGATATTCAGTGTCCTTTCCTGATCGGAGAGCATATCGTGCAGCTTGAGCGTCAATTCCTTCTTGTTCTTCTTCATCAAGGGTGTGCCGTTCAAAGGTGTCCCGGTCATAAATCAAGTCGATCGCCTTTTCCCACCTTAAGAAAGCGACAAACGATTCGTAATCTTCAACAGATCCTCCTTTCTTGGTGCCTAACCGACAAAACCTGAAGTGCTCGACACCAAACATTTCCCTGTCCTCAGTCATCTTTGTCCGGAGTTCCACTTTACCGTTGAACTTGTTGCAGAGCGTGTCGATCAGCTCTTGAAAAGAATCAGGATTTGACCAGAGCACAAACTGATTGCTTCGAATGACCGATTGCGAAGGGGCATATTTGCCTCGGGCCCACATCTCAAAGCCACATTGGACCGAAATCTTATCGGGAGGATTCGTAGCAGGTAGGGCACCTTTACTTGCCGGAGCTCTTCTTGCAACTGTACGTCCGACTCGGTTGTTCGGGTAAGGTTGAGTTTTCGAGACTCTTGAAGCTCGGGCCGATTCGTATGCAGGGTTCAAGATGGCTGGGACCACAGCTGTGTTGGTAGTAATAAGGTTACAGGTGAGTTACAACGAACTATATGGGATTTACACGCATGAAATTGCATACTTTGACTGCTGCCGGTCGATCCATTCACCACTGGGTTCACGGCAATAGGAAATGCCATGGAATGTGATGCTTGGGCTGATTCGTATGCAGGGTTCAAGACCGCAGGGACCACAGCTGTGGTGGGGTATTAGACAGTAGTAATAAGGTTATAGGTGAGTTTTAATGTTTGAAGTAGAACGATATGGGATTTACACGCATGAAATTACATACTTTGACTGCTGCCTGTCAATCCATTCACCACTGGGTTCACGCCAATAGGAAATGCCATGGACTGGCCGAGTGGGCTGGGGACAGTAGGTGTGGTGATTGGATTGGAGTATAACGCTCTGGCCCTTTGGATTGCCTCTTGCCGTTTAGATTGGAGAACCTCTTGAGCCGAGGTCAATTGGCCAGTTGGAGGTCTGATTTTTGGAGGAGGTGCTGAGTTTGGAATCATTTTGTCGACACAGTCGTTGCATAATCCACGGAAAACCACGGGAGATTTTCCACACTGGAAACAGAACATCTTTTTTTCTATGCAAGTTACGTTAGTTGTGTTTGGCTATTAAGGGTGCATAAGTATGGGATTCTGCTGCTTACTCTTGATCTAGAAATGGAAAGGACTGGGTCGTCTTGATGTTGTGAGGACAGGACTGGATCGTCTGGAAGCTGTAAGGGAAGGGCTGGATCGTTGTCTGGATGTGACTTATGCAAGGCTTGTTTTGTCCTTATGTGTAACGAGTAACGGGTAACACTATGGAGCGAACAGAATCTATGTGTTTACATTTCTGATACAGGTGGGGAATGTGGCTTCTGTAGTGCGCCATGCCCTGTATGATTTTCAGGCTGTATTTGACGTTTTTCAAAAGTGATGGCTAATTTGACGGTTCAGTGCCATGCATGGCGGTTCAGGGGCAATGATGGCGGCTCAGGAGCATGGGTGGCCAATTTGGCGGTTGGATTCATTTTTCAATTTGGCCATTCTGGCGGTTCAGGGGCGTCATTTGGCGGTTGTTTGGCCAAATTGGCGGTTCATCCCCATGTTTTCATTTTTTTTGGCCAAAATGGCTGCTCAGTACCTCCATAGTACACTCATTGTGGGTGGATTCCTATATATGTATAAGAAATCCACACATCTTGCTACTTCTTTAGGTCTGTGGGATTTCTGGTTTTATTTTTCAGATAGAAATTTGTGATTTTCATCATCAAAAGTTTGAGAAGGGATAGCTTCAGATTGTTGCCATTAATTGATGTGACCCTGGACAAGTGGACGGTGGACCAAAGCACAAAAATCGTTGACAAAGAAAGCTTATCATGGTGATAAGACTGATTCCTGTTGTTATTAGATAGAGGGCATGCTTTTCCGTGCTAAACTATTTATCCAGTGGGAAGTTGTGTACACATCTCACTGTATATAACTATTAGCAGTCGAAACGACTTCAAGCTGAAGACACTAGCCAACGTTATCGGCCGGCCTCTCATGGTCCTGGGGTGAAAAGACCAACTGACCAAACCCATCCCTCGGAGTCAAACTGCATGTCAGATCCATTACGGGCAAGCAACGAAAGCCATGAATTCTCCCCCCCCCCACCAACAGACAAAACACAAATTAATTCCAAACGTTTTGAAATCGTGTCAGATGCTAATGATTGATAAGAAGGTGTACAAAACTACTCAAGAACTACTTACACACAGTCTGATCTGATCTGATACAAGTATCCAAATGGTTGTTTTAAGCTAGGGTTTGGAAATTCGGCCGGACGTACTATGGGCGCGTATACCGGATTCTCCTGGTTTTGATGTGGGCTCTAGGGAAGTCCCAAGCTCACCCGTTCTTCGCTCAGGTGCAATGGCCGTCCTATGTTAGCGCTAGAAAGATTATCAAAGAAAGACGAAATTCGGCACACGTGTCATCAGTCGGTCTAGCTGGCGGTTAGGGCGCCAACGGGGATGTCTCCAGCAAGATTTCTTCAAGGCCCAAGGCGTACGCATGCATCCTAGGGCCATGTTGTAGCGTTTGAACAGCTTGACCTGCGATGCTCCTAGACTACAAATAGCAGGTCTTTCGTACGCTCTTCATCCATCATCACATTGCCTCTTACCCACTCGCCCCGATTCATTTGATCATGGTTCAAATTAAATTATTAGTATCAGTGATCTTGGTAGCTGCTTTATCAGTCGTCAATGGCTATAAACTCATGGGAGAATTTGGAGGGTCAAATTTGCAGATAGCGAACGCTTTCGCGAACGAACTACCCCACCAAGTGCAAGATCTCGTCAGGTACCAACCTGCTACTCATATAACCGTGCAGCAACACAGCGGCCGTTGGCTTATTATGCTCGACAGCAATGTAAGCAGTAGGGTCTTACATACCGAAGCCTGCCTCTTGCTAGTTTTTTTCCTCGTCCATTGCTAACTTTGACAAACTTTCAGGGCTGTTTAAAATCACTATCGAGTCAACCTAAAGAGCAATTGGAAAGTGTTCATCGGCTACTAACAGCTCTTTGCGCCGATACCCGCAATGATGTTTGGGTCACTTCGGGTACAAATTTGGAATATGTTCTCAGACATTGGAGGGGTATTCCAAGGCTCAACTTCGCGGCGGAACATGCATCGATCATCGTTCCCCATGACAAGGCCCCCTACAATGACAGGGAAGTGCCAAAAGTGAATGCACTACGAGATGCTGTGCGATCGATTACCGAAAGTAAGAGAATTTTTTTTATCAGCATCATGCTGAATTCATGAATTTGTGCAATCACTGATTCTTTACTCTCACTTCGGTTTTCAGAATGTAGGTTTTGCAAAACCGCTTCATGGCCTCTCTTTGAGATTTCATCATACCCGCGGACGTTCTTTCATACTTAATTTTACTTTTTGGTAGATAATTTCGAAACCACCGCTTTCCAAATGGATCATACGGTTGTTCTTATCCACCCGAATCCGCGAGACAGTCAGTTTGTTTGTTTTATTCTCATTGAAACTGTGCTGGCGCAGCTTTGGAGCTAGTATGAAAGCTGATCGCACTTTCTATATCCACATTCCCTTACAAACGGTATTACGCAGGTGGTGTCCGGACCATGATCAAGGAACTAGAACTTTTGGCCGAACGTTTCCCGGATTACATATACCTAAGACAGCCGGGGTTGAACCATATCGAATTTAAACACAAGAAGGCAGACAAAGGGAAGCTAGTCCAAAAATTACTCGCATCTGGCCGCTACAGTTATGGACTTGCAATCGGTGACAAGCTGATTGATGAAGGTATGCTTGGAGTCATGCGCGAGGCCAACTTTGGATCAGTGAAAGTCAGCTCCAATGGGGAGGAAAAAACAACCGCTCAATACAGATTAAGCGACTACAACGACGTTGAGCGAATGCTTACCGAACTTGTAAACATTAGGGCAGCCTCATCTTCCAGGCGCAGATAAAACATAATCTTTTAGCATTAGCAAAATAATTTTGGTCAAAAGCCCAGTTTGCAGTTGTGATATTTTGTTTTCAGTGAGGAAATGTTTTTCTTCAATTGTTATTTTTTATTCTTCTTTCAATTGTGATTAAATTGGTTTAAATTGTGATTAGTTTGTTTCCAGTTGTGAATTGTAGATATTTTCAAGGCTTTTTCCTAACACAAGCCCTCTCTGTCAGAATGACTATATATTTAGAATTGGCGTCTTGCTTCCAATTTCTTTTAAACCAAATCACGAAACCCTGAGATTTCACCGCCTTTGAGTCTATCAAATGCCTTACACGGTGTGCATATTACTGCACTTCGCCATTGTGCGGTTGAGTTAGGAAGAACGGGCCCGGTCTTACGGCCCCAAATAAAGTCTTTCTTTACTTTAGATATACCAACGTTTTTCTTCGGAAAAACTGGGAGTTTTTCTAACCTTTGGGGTATCAATAAGTAGAGCTTGTATACGAGAAAAGGAATGTCGTATCAGGGCTCAGGACAACATCCTCATGATTCTCCTCAAGCTGCTGCATTCCCTCCAGGAGGTTGGCTAAAATGTAGAGGGTCTGGTTGAAAGGTTACAGGGGAAAGTGTTAAGTGGTACTGTTAAGATAGAGTGAGGCTCGTCATGATGCTGGTCTCTCCTTGAGAGAAGACAGGCAAGCATGTTGAGGGTTTGATGCCCAGATGGAAGTCGATCTCAAGGATGAAATGACAGGGGACTCGGGGAGCCACGAAGAAGGTCTCAGCAGTCGGGCGGTTCGGGTGCCGGGCAGGATGCTGTGTCTCTGCCAATTGAAGTCAGCTATCGATTTCTCAACTTCCACCTCCCTTTAAGTTCAGTCCAGATCTTCGTCTTCGCATCGGGGGACCAAGGTAGTTCCGAAAATGGCTTCTCAGAGTGGAATCGGCATCAGTGAGGCACTGTCCACCGCCTTCGTCGATGCAGTCTCCAACAAGGGTTCTCTCAGGTTAATATTGGTGCAAATTGAAAATGGTTGAGCCGTCTGATTCGTCTCCTCCAACTTACATCCTCATCTGATTAACTGATTTCTGTGTTTACATCCTTTGTTCTCCTAAATTCGCAACATCATTAGAGTCACTCGTCCCAAGTCTAGTTCGACCACCAACAGAATCAAAAACTGAAGTCGAGGATTTTGAACTCCTAGGCGACATCCTTCAGGATGATAAACCCGCCTATGTCCTCTTTCGGCTTGGGGATAATGCGGAAAAAGACTGGTTGTTTATATCATATGTACCCGATCAAGCCAAAGTGCGGGATAAGATGCTTTACGCTTCCACCCGGGCAACAATCTCGCGACAGGTAAGAAGTGTTGCTTCCCCGATCATTTTTTGCTTGGGAGGAGGTGGGCTACGCTAAGCATTTTATCTTTTACACTTTGGGACAGCTTGGTGATTCGAATTTTAAGGATTCAATGTTTGCAACTACGAAGGATGACTTGACTCCCAAGGGATATCTGGCTCATTTGGCATCACAAAAAGCCCAAGCACCTATGACTTTACGAGAACGAGAATTAGCTGACATCAAGGCTGCCGAAGGAGCCGACCTATCATCGATGGGTACAGCAATGCGAAGCTCGAACGTATGGGGCTCGGGCGACAATACGGTCAATGCTAATCTGGGGTTGAAATGGCATGAGGATGCTCAAAAGTCCCTGTCTTCCTGGTCAGCCGAAGACGGCGGTCCAATAGTTCAATTTGTAAGTGACCTCCATTCATTGGCTTATCCCTCCACTCGCACTACGTACAGTTCTTGCTAAAAAAAGCCTGGCTTGAATTAACCCATCCGCTCAGAATATCGACATTCCTACTGAGACGATCGTTGTATCCTCTCACGACCATTCGGGTCAATTACAATTTCCTGACGACCAACCAACATACACATTTTACAAATTTGTTCACGATGGAGATTCTGAGCGTCGAGGTATTCATGTTTTCATTTCCTCATCTCTCATCCAATTAGAGCTCAGAGCTGAAAGCCACGGTGAAATTAATCGGACGGGCACAGTCTTCATCTATTCTTGCCCTTCAAAGTCTCCCGTCAAATCCAGATTGATTTATTCCTGCAACTCGTCCTCCGTTTCATCGAAAGGCCCTGAATATGGATTCACACTTGACAAGAAAGTTAGTACAAATTACAATCATACAATATACAAAGTCAGAGTTCTCTGGGATAGCATTGTCATATACTACCAGTTGCTTTCAAGAGTCCCATCATTTCTAACACTCCTTGGCATTTGTAGATCGAAACATCCAATCCTGAGGAAGTCGATATTGATTATATCAAGTCGGAGCTCATATCTTCTTCACTTTCAACGTCCAACCCCAATTCTTCAACTCTCAAACCAGCAGCAGGCTTTGCCAAACCTCCTCGACCTGGCCGAAGGAGATGATCCGCTGATCAATCAATCACGTTTACCTTTGGATTGAACATTTCGGAATACTAGATCTGATGTTTCTTTGCATCTTTTTTTAACACTTACTCTGTTGTTGTGACTTATAGATATTGGATGATCCCATTTAGTGTATACACTTGTCGTATCGAAAAGATAACATATTCTAGTTTGAAAGCCTCGATGGAGAAAATGAACGACGTGTCTGCTGGGTCCAGCAATTGCTTCTTTACAGAAATGTATGTATACAGGCCCGTATAACTTTGAGCGTCATCTGACCCCTTCAGTTGTAGATCCTCGGCCGCCTGATGAGACCTATGAGTCTTCCAGGTGCTTCTGGGTTTGGAGATTCTGGGTTGGAATCACGATCATCAGTTGAACAGAACTACATCAATTGCCCGCAAGGACAGGTTGGTTCTTTTGGGTCACATTTACTGATCATACACACGGATACACTCTTTGTGGAGTTTTTTTTACCCCGGAAAATCTATACATGCTTGTTTGAATTCCGAGCATTACGGCGGAGCTTGTGGTCTGTAATCACAATATCAGTTGAGTGTCATTTTGCGAAATTAACCCAATTTCTTCTGAATTGACAAGAAGTTGGGTTAGGATGAATATGGGTTTTCCGATACAACATTCTTCATGTCCTGAAAAATTATGGTCAAAAATTGGGAGGGCTCGTGGGAAACGTCTCCACTTGGTGGGAATGGTTCAATGAAATGCCGCTAGATTTTCATCTTGAGTTGCTGTTACCAAAAACCCTCAGTCCCCCTTGAGCGCTATCTCATGTATCACCACTTTTGCACCACTATGGCAGAGAAATACGCTGGCCAGCCCATGAGATCATCCAGAAGCCATGAGAGGAGTGGGAAGTCCTATCGCCAGGTCCCATAAACATTAGTCATGACAGACTGAGGTGTACCTTGGAAATGTTAATAAAATAAGAAACACGTGCAGAACAGGTGAGGACTGCCTTGTCCTCTCCGCTGCCGGTGTTGATAAGAACTTACAAATGAAAGACGTGGCCAAAGCTATGTATCCGAGACGGACAAGCTGTATTTCATTCAGCGGACAAAGGCACCTTATTTGAAACTATAGACACCTTATCTGATTAATGATTGTGTTCCAGTCCGGCTTCTGATAAGGTGTACTTCCCTGTACTTCCTGATTGCCAACGTCAGTCACCCCGGGCGGCGCGTCGGAAGCTCGCTCTTGGAAAATATGTATGTTATATCTGGCATTCACGTTCCTTCCAGATGTTTCAAGCTTCGGTCTCATCAAGCAGTTCACTCCGCCTCCGGGTTTCGCCTCCTTGACTCTAGCACATGCAGCATTGGGGCAATGAGGACGGCTTGGGCCAAGTTCAAGCAGTAGTCCTCCGCCATGAATCCGCGCTCCAAGGCTACTCACAACTGGCAAAAACGACATATATTCAACACTTTTTCTACTTCACTGTGACTTGAATGAGACGCTACCCTTATTGGCTGTTAGGAAGAAGATTGACGATGCACTGTGCGCTCTCCGTATTGCTACTGGCGCTCGTTCAAACCTTGCTGTCAACCGATGTTCCTTCAGAAACAAACATCAGGTCAAAATTCCGAAGACTCAGACCTCGTTCCTCGCTTTCTGAGTCCCGGATGCCAAATGTTCTCTCCAATTCGATAGTCAATAATCCAGGGCTGAATGTCAACCAGAATCGCACCACACCTACGCATGATGACGCGCACCTATTGTGTCAAAGTCGCCCATTGACACCTTCACTTTGGAAAAAATTAGGCATGAACTCCTACTTGGACAATTATCCCAAGGGAAAAGACTTGAGCTTGGAGGTGAGAGATTCATATTTTACTCCCACCAGTTCACTCCGTTGAACAATCTCAGGTTGACTAGGAGGTGTGAATTCCAACAATCATTTCCCGGTTCCAGCAATATGCCTCACAAGTTGGAGGGTTAGATTTCCAATGCGGAATAGGACGAATTTGCAACCCTGGTCAAGTAAGTGCTGGATGATTAGAAAAGCTCCCAGATTGTTTTTTTTTTTTTTTGGTGACTGAAATGTTACACTTTAGTTGTGCGAGAGTATATACGGCCAAGATTGGTATGCACTAGTCGCAGCGCAAAATTGGAACAATTTTGTGAACATGCTTTATCAAGCCATTGGAGATGCGTGAGTCAATCAAGCAGTATACTTCTCTTGAAAGACCTTCTTGGTCAAAAATCACAATGGTTACTTCATAGTCGGTGCTGAAATGCTAAAATTTTTCCTCTCTAGATTCGACCTGGCTTCAGGTATATTCTCTGATTTCAATCAATCAAGCCAAAACATGGATGAGGAAAGACTGAAACTCAGGCTTAATTTTTGCATGCAGATGTACTTCCGACAATGGTGAGTCTTCCGGAAGCAAAGTATGCTTGACCGGGCCGGTGACTTCAATTTCGCATCTCTTGTCTCAAGTTGGTAGATTTCGAAAAGGACTTCAACAGGTTTCCTCGACACTTCGTGAGTCCTCGTTACCTCGATTGAGCCACCGTTTTCCCTATTTTTTTTCTGCACAGAAACATCAGGAAGGCCCTTCAAAGATGTGGAAGATTGGGTTCTGTGGTCATTGATGTGTTTCTCTACGCGGCAAACTCATGAGAATATCAGACCGCTTGGTCGGGATTAATCTCGAATTGGATCGGCTCTTTCCCTGCCTCTCTATTCAAGGCTATCGGGCCCATCGCAGATTCGATTTGGATTTCGTGGGGCACGATCTCATGGCTAGGGATTGCAATGATCTCCTACCAGGTCACTGCCATTGGATGGCTAGAGACTTGGGTTCTCGTAGGAGAGGGGGAAAGTCGGTTCAAGAGGGTCAGTCACCACTTTCATATCACGAATGCTTGGGTGCCTTACAGGGCCTGTGTCATATTCCCGACCTGACCTTTCTACTCATCTTTACGCGGAAGTAGTCTTCTTCCATCAATTTAATGCTAGGAGAAGCGCAGCACGCAGTGCAAGGAATAATCTCCAATATCACACAGGAAGTTTTGAAAGCGGGCGTGAGTACTGAGAAAGGCTTGGCGAGTTTGAATCGTGACGGGATTTTCCTCTCGGGAACGCCAGTCACTGACCGCCAAACCGTACAAAAAGAGTATGAAAAAGTGTTGAAGCTGAAAACTTTGGTCAAGATGTGGAGAACACAGGTTCGCAAATTTGTGCTTGATTTGAATATTCTGGATTTCTATCGCAACCAGATCCCAGACACGATGAATTGATTTCTCTTATTAACGCGTTAATTGGGCTTTCAGAACGTGTTCATCTTGCGCGGCGCTGTGAGTACCAAGCTGTCGGAGAGTTCTTGTTATCTGATGGTAACATGAGGCTCACCGAAGATCCTGATGACAGGACCCATGTACGCAAGCCGGGAAGAATGGCGCGTTTGATGATCCCAAGAGACTGTCGTATTGTGGAGAAGATGCGATGTATGTTATTTTCTGATAAAAAGCTGGTTGAGATGGACAAGTAGCACAAGTGAACTCTTCGATTTCAATTTTCCTCCCTTGACCATGGCACAACTTGGATGAAGCATGATGAGCATTGTCAGGGGCGAAACTTCAGGCCATGAATATGATCCCACAATCTATGGAGCCTTCCAGGTTGAGGGCAAGTACGGGTTTACAGCCGAATACCTCACCACAGCGTCATGGGAATGCCAGCAGAAATACGGTGCTTTCGACTTTGAGCCCCAGTTGTGTCGGTACGTTAAGTATCACAGTCTGACAGCCAAATCCACTCAAGGCCTTTGAATTCCTTAAGCTGATGGTATATGTGATTTAATCTGTCTGACAATAGGAACATGACCGATGTTCACAACTTGCGCAAGCTGGAGGACTGTATCGTCAATCTTCCAGTGTGTGACTGCACTCGACCAGGTAAAGAACCGATGACTTGATTAGAAGCTTCCCGAGATATTCTTGCCATCTCACTTAATCCGCATGTCTAGACCGGGAGATCTTCATGAAGACTTACTCCATCTCACCATCTATTCCCCTACATTTAGATATCATGGATGCCTTGAGAAAGGGCAGTTCGATTACCAAGGCTTGTCGGCAGATTGGCGGATTACCAATCTAAAGCCATTCGAAACAAATACCTCTGGAAACCGCTGATCAGGTCTTACGTCAAGATTCGCACCTTCTCCTCTATGGACGGCTATAGCTAATTTCTAGTCCCTGAAATTTTTGTAATTTTTCACTTGATCTACTCCTGTCACTAATCAATGATGGCTCAAGAATGATGTGCAGGGTCTTATGGGTCACAATTCATGTTTTGAGGCTTGTATCAGTATGGCCTAGTGGTGACCATCACAAAAGCTTGGTGAACCCTGGTGAACCACTTTCCCCCCTACGACAAAACTATATATCAGAGAATGTGATAACTTGAAGTCCAGACTCTGGCTAGGTGACCGCTCCAAGCCTTGGATAATTATACGCCATACTATTGATCCAGACCTTCTTTTTTTTTTCTTGAACAAAAATATGAAAATTAATTGCCACAAGATGAAAAAAGCCTGTTTGAGCTGCTATTTTGCTTTCTTGTTCTCAATTTAGCTCTTTGTAAGAACCATTTTTTTTCACAGTGTCCCAAGATTCAAGTTGATGTGTTTGACTTCTGATTTTCAAAAGGGTTAAAAGATAAGGTCTTGAGTCTACCAACTGTAATGATTCTTGGGATCCATTTTTCACCAAAGTTGAATCTCTGCATATTCAGGTCAATAAATATGTGTGTGCAGTTTGCATATTGGACTCTCTTAACTTTCTCCGTAGGGTTTGGCTGGGTACGGCAAGAGTTGCAAAATTCGCCCCCCCCCGCTATGCCATCCTTTTTTTGATTTTGGAATTGTTATGAAGATGCAAAATTTCAAGGATCGGTTAGTACCCATACTGTTTAATGTTGAATGAGCACTCCATTACAAACGCATTCTTATATGGTACCTAGGTTCTAGTTCTCGAATTTGAGATGATCAGACTGGAAGGATACTCGATGGAAGAGGCTGAGGGTGATCTGGTTCTCTGTTATTGGGGGGGAGGAGGTCATGACCACAAAACGCTGAGAATTTTTCAAGTGATGGGAGTATTGAGCCGACGATTCTTCTTTTGTAAAGATTGGGTTATGGCAATCACTCCACATCAGCTCTACCGATTCTTTATCATCCCTCTCATGCTATTTCCACGATAGTGGCCGTGAAGTAAGGCGCTACTGAGCTCCGGGAGAATCTTGAAAATGAATGTGGAGAAGGAATATTAATGAAGCAGATGACCCCTCCACTCCAGCAGCGACTCCGGCCATCGATCAAGATTGTATACCGCGATCGGAATGGATGAGGGTGTCGAGATCAGAGTGTGTTCTGGGGAAGCTCACAGACATGATTGCTTGGGCCAAAGTGAACAGTTGGTCGGATTGGGTCCAAGATACAATTCCTTGCTGCCATACGATTACGGACTCTTGCCATCACAAATTCGATGGATGATGTGATGCCCGCTTCTCTGAGACTGTGCCCACATCCTCGGGCCTTCCGAGACCTTCGAGTCATAAATGTACATCCGTTGTAGAGCATGTTCGCCGTTCCGAATTGTTTGCTTGCCCTTTGGGAGAAGAGAGCACGCAGGTCGAGCCCAACATGAGGCCTTCTCCTGCGAACACCTGCAGACACCCTACAGGCCCCGCAGAGCGGGGGAGGAGCCCCACAGGGTCTCTCTTGGCCTTGCAGTCTGTACGCTTCGGCGTAGATGACTCCGAAGTCAGGCGGATAATTGGAGGAGCGAAGGGACAAGCGGCTTGAGTTGGGTTCGCAGGTAGATGTGCTCTTACAAATCGATTGATCGATAACTTGTTGGCATCTCTTGCTTGCCCTTCTCCCGAGAGCCTCGGTGAACCTAAATGGTCAGGAGTTTCATCAGTATGCCTTCCTTTGCTTTTAGCAGTCTTCTGATCGATGTCCTTTTAATCCCTTCTCCCTCTCTGCAGCACTTCAACGATGACGATTAGGAACCATTGGATTTAATAAGAATGATGGGATCATATACACCCAAACTTTCTCAACTAGTCTCCATGAAGTCGTCCATTTCCGATTGAGATTTGGTGATCAAAGCATCCTTCAGCTGCCCTTCCTGCGCCATGCAGATGCTTCCCTCGGACGTGCACCGTGCAGAACAACCTCAGAAAAAAATTAACCACACCCATCTTTCCTTCCTCATGAACCTCATCCCACTTCTCAATTCCAGCTCGAATCGAATATCTCAACTAAACCAATCCACAGCCAACCTCCTACAACTCGCCGTTGTGTACTCCTGATCCATCGCTCCTTAATCACACTTTTTCTCATCATCATCATCATAATAACAATAATAATATTAATAATAATCAATAATCCTGCAGACCCTTCTGCTCTCACTCTACTGCACATTGCCTCAGTTCTTCTAGTGCTGCAATCATCCTCTGTCTCCAACAACTATTTTTTTTCTCCAACCAACTTGAGCAGACGCTCAAAGCTATCTTTTGCTTTTGGTTCGTCTCTTGCTACACATCACCAGCATGCCAGTCTGCTTCACCGGCTCCTCCGCAAACCAGGACTCCGACTCCTCCGCTCAGAAACCCATTTCTCCGCCAAACCTTCTTGCACCTCAACCGACTGCCGCGCCAGCCTCACTGCCAAGCAAATCTTGCGACGGCTCAAGAACTGGCCACCCTACTCCCCATCAACCAATATACCGCAACCCATTTAATTCAGGCCTTCCTCAAGCACAGAATCCCCTGCTCATCCAGCAATACCAGCCTCCCGCCATGATCGCCCTCCACTCCCACTCGCCACCTTCCCCCACCCCTCCCGACTCTTCGATCGCCCGCAGTGGGAGCGAAAGCCCCGAGAATCCCCACACCACTGACATTGGACATTGCCCCCAATCATGGAGTCGCCAGCATTCGCCCGGTGGCCCTGAGCACTCAGAAGACTCGCTAGACGATGGCCATAGTCTGGACACAATATCACCGCCGCCATCTGCTCCCCCAAGGATGTTCTCATCTACATCCAGGCCTTTTGGTCAGCACTCAGATCTCTTGGGAGATTCATCCTCTCATCAGACCCAGTAAGGCAAAATCATCCATTCAATATCCCAATAATTATTTCAATTAAAAAAAACCAAATCTTGTCCTCACATACTGACTTGTCTTATCATACCTGGCCCTCAGGTATCCTGTCAATGGGTCAGCAACCTCCGCCCTCTTCACTCGCAGACTATCCGCTAGAAACTCACATTTGAACACGACTTTACCCTGCAACTTGCGCACTCTATCATCCACCTCCACCTCTACCACTGATTCAAGTCCCTGCTCTGATCTTGGATTCAGCCAATCTCTCGCCCATCAGTCACAGATCGCCACCCCGGTGACGCATCCGTTTGATGGTGACGAATACCTAGCCACCCCACTCACACCACCCTCCGTCCTCTTCCCCTCCTCAGTCTCGCTCACCCCCCATCCTCTGCCACAGTCGGTTCCCTCAGAGCCGCAAGCCCAGTACGGCTATGACCTACCCGTCCAATCCAATCCCTTGCCACCAGCGCTCTCCCCCTTGAGCTACCTTCCCTCTGTATATCATTCGCCCCACAAGGCCAACTTCACCGACTTCCTTGCCGAACAATTCCTTAAGATTCAGTCCCTCTCTCCCATCTCCACATCTTCAGGCGTCTTTCAAACTCAAGCCGAAGCCGCCGACCAATGTCGCCAAATCAAACTTGAACTCAACGAATACATCCTCAAGAATTCCTTCAACCATCATTTCCATTCTTCTCCTGCTCATTCTGATAAGCTCCAACACAACGAAATCATCATCCTCAACGGCTTGATCCATCTTTTGGACGACAAGTTGGCCAATTTGAAGAATGGTCTCTCTCCCGCCGCCCCGCGTCCGATCTTCGAACGGGCAGATCCTCACAACAGTTGTGAGAATCACCAGAGCCCGACCATTGATATCATCACCGTCGAAGAGAAGCCAGAGACTTCAAAACCTTACAAGATTGTGGTCAACAACAAGCAGCTCACAGCAGAGGAAGAGTTGAAACTGTTGAAGGCTCAAGTCAGCGACTTTGCCCGAGTCTGTAAGGTGAGTAGCAACAGCCATTCCCAAATGGATATATTTCAAAACTGTGAATTCACACCCTTTCTCTCCTTTTGAAAGGCCGTCGCGAGGGGCGACTTGTCGCAGACTGTCACCATTAATGTCCAAGGCCATGATTTGACAGAGCTCAAAGCAGTCGTCAACGGAATGGTCCAACAGCTCAGGTGTTTTGCGGGGGAAGTGACGAGGGTGTCGATTGAGGTATGGCTTGGTTCCTATCTTTAAGCACGTCTGCTGTTGATTGACCTCAAATTTCGCTACTCTTTTGACCGCTATCCTCAGGTTGGAACAGAAGGTGAGCGCATCTTGCCAAAATGCTCTTTTTTTGACTCAGGCCCTAATTTTACTGTTGCTTTCCGATCATATCAGGTAGATTAGGCGGCCAAGCCGTAGTCGAAGGAGCCGAGGGAGCCTGGCGCCAGCTGACCGATGTGGTCAACACGCTCGCCGCGAACCTGTCCGAACAAGTGCGCGCCATTGCTGGGGTCACCAAGTCGATCTCCCGAGGCGACCTCAGCCAGAAGATCCAGGTCGAGGCTAAGGGCGAAGTCCAGGAACTAGCTATCACTATTAATGACATGACCGACCAGCTCAGATCGTTTGCTGAGGAAGTCAGCCGGGTGGCTTTGGATGTACGCTCATATTTCTCCCTTACCCCGTTTCCTTTAGCTGCTTATTAACCTCTTCTTCATTACGCCTTCCGTGCAGGTGGGAACTAAAGGGCGGTAAGCCTCAAGTTTTATCAGACCCATCTCGTCAACATCATGTTTTTATTCGATTTTTATTTTATTTTTTTATGTTGACTCGCACCCCCTTTGCAGACTCGGTGGACAAGCTGTCGTTCACGGCGTCGAGGGCACATGGAAAACCTTAAGAGACAATGTGAATCAGATGGCGTCAAACCTAACGAGGTAAATCCAGTCGATTTTAGCGATGTCAGCTGGTGCGATCCTGTTGTTCCTTTCTGGGCACTAATAGTTGGCTATCTATCTTTCTTTCCTGTGGATTTTGTTCCAAAAACTAACCAGTCAAGTGAGGAGTATAGCCACTGTTACCTCTGCAATTGCCGCTGGAGATTTGAACCATAAAATCGAAGTCGAAGTGATGGGTGAAATGGCTGAACTCAAACAGACCGTCAATGGTGAGTGTGATTTGGTAGGAAAGAAAACTGAGTATATCATCAGTCTCTAACTTGCCTTCATTTTTATTTTTCATCCAGGAATGGTTGACAAGCTGAAGGTGTTCTCAACCGAAGTGACGAGGGTAGCGCTTGAGACAGGCGTACATGGCAATCTTGTAAGCTCGCTTCCAAGCTCAGAATACATGTCATCAATACACACCGATGACATGTTCCTTACCCTCTCAGGGTGGCCAAGCCGTTGTTGAAGGAGTCCAGGGAGTCTGGCTAGATCTCACCAGTAATGTCAACAGAATGGCAAAAAACCTAACTGATCAAGTTAGAGAGATTGCAATTGTCACCACATGCGTGGCTAAGGGCGACCTCACCCGTCTCATCACCGTGTCTGCTCAGGGCGAAATCCTCGAACTCAAGTTGACGGTCAACTCAATGGTGTCTACCTTGAGATCATTTGCGGAGGAAGTCAGCCGGGTCGCACTTGAGGTCAGTCAAGCTCGTATCATGTTGCTGTCTAACCCGCGCAAAACTTATTCTCAAATTGCTTTCCTTTTTCTTTCCCCCTCATGATACAGGTGGGAACTGAAGGTCAGTTTGAGTTACGTCCAGTATTGGCAAAAATACTTATCCATTATAAGCTGTCAAACTCAAATAAGCCTAAAGACAATTCAAGCAATCATACAAAGATATATTGTGAAATGATTTCGCTGTGAAAGTACTATTTGAAAGAGTTGAATTTTGATGTTCAATAATCAGGATAAATAGAATGTTGCTGGTTGGTGATGTGTGCTAATATTTTCTCTTGTTTATAGGCAAACTGGGAGGAAAAGCACAAGTGCAGGACGTCTTTGGAACCTGGAGGACATTGACGGACAATGTAAACACGATGGGTATGAAATGCCAAAGGATCCCCCTCTTCGATTAGTTAGAAATGCTGATACCCTATTTGTGAACACATTCCCTCCGATCACATAAAGCTCACAACTTGACCACACAAGTCCGTGGGATTGCTAAGGTCACAACTGCAGTGGCAAAGGGCGATCTCAGTCAGAAGATCGAGGTCGATGTCAAGGGCGAAGTGCTTGAGTTGAAGTCTACTGTCAACGGGATGGTGGACTCCCTGCGCTTGTTTGCCTCCGAAGTTACCAGGTATGTGATTTTCTTACTCGTCTCCAGAATTTGTCCTTTCTCATCTTCATTTGTTCTGTCACTCAGAGTTGCACGAGAAGTCGGGTTCGATGGAAAGCTTGGTAAGAACATTTCGTTTCCCTCGGTGTTTTGTAGATTATTGAACCAACAATATCTGTGATTCTCGTAGGAGGTCGTGCCAACGTGGAAGGTGTTAACGGTGAATGGAGAAACCTGACCGATTGGTGAGTGAACCTATGAGCTGCTTCAGTCTCTTGAAAGAAAACTCAACAACAGCTCTCTTCGGTGCTCAGTGTGAACACCATGGTCGACCGGTTGACTAGTCAAGTCAGGTCTATTGCAATCACTACCACGGCTGTTGCGCAGGGCGATTTAACCATGAAAGTCGACATCGAGGCTGCCGGAGAAATCGCTGAATTGAGAGACACTGTCGTACGCGATTCCTCTGGAGTTGCGCCTGTTCACTCAAATCTCTGGACTGAAAACCGCATCTCTTTTTTAGAACACTATGATCAATCGGCTCAATATCTTTGCATCGGAAGTTGGAAAAGTCTGTCTAGAAGTCGGCAAAAATGGTATGTTTATTTTTTTTTGGTCATGCGGCAGTCCAATTTGAAGTTGATTCTTAAGCTTGCTGATTTTTTTTTTTTTTTTCAGGAAATCTCGGCGTCACCGCTCATGTGACTGATATCGATGGTACCTGGAAGGACTTGACAAAACAGGTCAATCAAATGGGTTTGTCACCGCTACTATATCATGCCTTTCTCTACGCGTGACTTACCCCCTTGCATTTTTTGGACCTTTCTTCATCCTGCCACAGCTATGAATTTGACTGGTTTGTCACCGCTACCATATCAGACATTCCAGACGCGTGGCTGACCTTCTTGCAATTTTCTTTTTGAACTGTTCTTATCCTGGTACAGCTCAAGTTAGAGCCTTTGCTCAGATATCATCTGCAGCCACTAATGGGGATTTCAGCGCCTTTGTGACTGTTGAAGCATCGGGCGAGATGAACAGTCTCAAGAACCAGATCAACTCGATGGTCTTTAGCTTGCGTGACGCCCTGCAGAAAAACACTGCGGCTAGAGAAGCAGCTGAGCTAGCTAATCGGAGCAAGTCGGAATTTTTGGCCAACATGAGTCACGTCAGTTTGCCTCTCCAAATCCCTCGCAACTCAACATATTTTGTTTTTCCCTGAGATTGATTGCTTTGTCTACTCAAAATCTTCAGGAGATTCGAACGCCTATGAATGGCATCATCGGCATGACCCAAATCACCCTTGCCACTGAGCTCACTCGTCACCAACGAGAAAACTTGACAATCGTTTATGCGATGGCCAATAATCTTTTGTTGATCATTGGTCAGTCATGTAGAATTCATATTCAAATATCTATCAGACTCATTCTTGATCATTCTTTGTGGCGATAGATGATGTCTTGGATCTCAGTAAAATCGAAGCTGGTCGAATGACGATTGAGAAAGTCCCATTCGCCCTTCGAACTTCAATTTTCGATGGTGAGAAATTAATTAAACCTGTTTTCCCTTGATAGCGCCCAACTGATTGTCTGTTGACCATTTCATAGTGCTCAAATCTCTGGCGGTCAAAGCCTTGACGAGCAACTTGCAACTGGTATTCGAGATCGCCCCCAACGTACCCGATTTTGTGGTTGGAGACCCATTCAGAATGCGACAAGTCATTACAAACCTGGTTGGTGGATTGTGCTCTTATTTGCCCAATCCTACGATACTAATTATTACAAATGTTCAAAGATTGGGAATGCAATCAAGTTCACCTCAAGTGGACATGTTGGTCTCAGCTGTAAAGTAGCAACACTGGATCCAGTCACCGGCGAGCATCGGCTTGAATTTTGTGTCTTCGATACCGGGATTGGAATCAAGCCTGACAAACTCAACTTGATCTTTGACACTTTCTGTCAAGCTGATGGTTCGACCACCAGAAAATATGGAGGGACTGGGTTAGGGCTCACCATCTCTAAACGTCTAGTCAATCTGATGGAAGGCACACTATGGGTCGAGAGCGAATACAACCATGGATCTCGCTTCTACTTCACAATCTCAGTCCGATCGGACGACGATAAGCCGTTCGAAAACTGGGCCAAGAAGTCTGTGTATCCTCAGGCTCAGGTGATCATCGTTGCCAGGGAATCTGGTGAAGAACTCCAAATCGTCCAAGTGGCCAAAGTTATTGGGCTGTCACTTACCGTCGTCGCATCCTTGCAAGAAGCCAACGTATTGATCTTGCAAGATACGAACCAGAAGTGGAGCGCAATCATCGTTGACTCTGTAAGCTCGTTTACCCTTCAATTGCAACATGGAGAAGGTCCCAACCGTCTGATCCCTTGTCTTCCGGATTTGATCCAGTTGGAAACGACTTCCCAATTGAGAGATTACGAAGGTTTAAGACACGTTCCGAGTGTCCTTATTGCTCGAAAACTACCTAGGTTGGACATCAAGTTAGTCCACCAACATCTCATCCAATTTTTTTCCTCTATCTCTCACTGATCGGCAACTATCCCTTTGGATTGCTCAGAGTCTGTCTGGATTACGGGATTGCCAATTGTATTGAATATCCCGTCTCGCCCTCGAACTTATTCAATGCTCTTGCCCCAGCGCTCGATCAAACTCTCACCATGGCGTCTTCAAACTGCTCGACGGTTTACAAAATCTTGCTGGCAGAAGACAGTAAGCTGGAGAGAAGAAAAAAAACCCTCAATGTACTCTTTATCTTTTGTTGGCTGACCGATGATACGCATTGAATCTTAGATCACGTCAATCAGAAAGTGGCGACAAAGCTGTTGGATATGGGTGGACATAAGGTCGAGGTAGTCGATAACGGGGAACTTGCGGTTGAAGCTGCTACCAAGAACACCTACGATCTGGTCTTGATGGATGTATCAATGCCTACAATGTAAGTCCCACTCCCATTCCTTTGGTATTTCGTGAAATGCACTCGCCTGAACATTTTGGTTTGTATCTGGTAGGGGTGGCTTGGAAGCTACCAGCTTGATCCGGAAGCACGAGCAAGACAATCATCTCGAAAGGGTGCCTATCATCGCTTTAACAGCACATGCAATGTAAGACTGACCAGTCTGATTTTTCTGGGAAACTGAAATTTACACTGATGTTAATCATGAATGTTTGCTAACATAGGCTCGGAGATCGAGAAAGGTGCATAGATGCAGGAATGGGTGAGTGTTTCAGGTGGCGTAGCTAATGGGTTTTTTAGATCATCGACATGTAGCTGATTTTTGATGAACAAAACTTCAAGATGATTATGTGACCAAGCCGCTACGAAAAGCCGATCTAGACGCCTCGATGAGCCGGTAAGTACATTGACGATCAAGCCCACTTGCAAAACACATCCATGCCCTCTGACCGAATATTTTTGTTTTCCTGTTGGCCCCCTCGATTTGATAGATGTGTCGCGATCGCCCGAGCTAGTCGCCAACCCGACACTAGCAACTTTCGGCACTTGCCTCACATCAAAGGCGTCGCTGACCCCGACCCTTTGCCCACCCTCTCTGCTCCTCCGACACCCTCATCTCCCTCCTATTTGACGTAATCTTTCTTTTTCCTGACAGACAAAAAAAGAAGAAACACGCTCGAACTTCACTCCTTTCCGTCGTACATCAACCCGCCACACATCCATTTCTTCCCGGCCCTTGCCTCCTCTTTTCATCATAGTAAAAACATGTTTTTTCTTCTTCTTCGTTGTTTCATAGCTGTTGCTTTTCTGATTGTTGTCTTTCTAATTGTTTTTTTTCTTTTGTTGACAAAATCACTTGTACTTTCGGACCTGGCCGTTCTCTTGTTTCCTTCTATGTATACTCCTTTCAATTCTATCAAGGTAATTGTTTTCTGCTTTATAATCTACATGAGACGTTCCTTTTGATTTCATGTATTTCTAGTGTGTGTGTATGTGCATTGCAGATTTAACTTGTTATCCATCCAACTCCCAAGACAATCCCTTCCTTTTTTCAAAAAAGAGATAAAGGCAAAGGCAAGAGCACTCAAGTGAGTTTTCTTATCAATGGAGAGATGAGAAGTTTGCCCATCAACACTCAACACAAGCTTCCTGGAATCTTCACATTTTTCAAACTTGTAATTTTGTTTCAGGAAAGCACATCAAGATTTCTTGCCACTGGATTGTTCAAGGCAGGCTATATTTGACCATCACTTTCCAATGATACATCCAATTTCCAGTCTGAATTTGTGTATGGATTCTGGACTCTACAACTCCTGAGCTATGTATACCATTTACCTAGCAAGATGATGACCTTACCAATGAATCACATATCTTGTTCACATCCATTCCTACCAACACTTTTCACAATGATGTAGTGTTGATCTGATGTTTTTTTTTTTGTGCTGCTGAATTGCAAGTCAATCATTGCTTCTGACCTTCTATTTTCTGTTTCTTTTTTTTTTTTTGGTCGCATCTTGTACTGTCAGTGCTTCTGAATCTCGCAAAATTTGGATAGTGTAAATATAATTAGACACTACAAATTTGTTGTATGGCTTTTCTCAATCAAGGAATGAGTATGCTGAAGTTTGGAATTGGTTGTCTGATTTTGAAATGCTCTTATACCTGTTACTTATTTTGTTTTTGAAAAATGATCAGTGGTGAGTTGTGGTGTACTCTTTATTCATTGCTTTGAAGCTTGATAGGCTGTGGAAGTCAATTTCTGAAAGTGTTTCAAGTTTGAACAGGACAAAACCCCTCTCCATATTGAATTGACAAGTGTTATGATTGAACTTTTTCTGTTTGTACCTTTCCTTTCTTCTTATTTACTGATCATCGTCACTGAAGATCACTACCCACTTCCCAATGACTTAATTTTCTAAATGGATGGTGTTCACATCCTCAAGGTTTGGAGCTATTGAAATCATTCAACATGTTGAACTTGATTGATTCTGAGGGGATTAGAACCCATTCTAAAAACAAGAAACTTGGCAACAACCACATTCAGGAAAGTTGGCATCAACCACATTATACTGCTTGTTTTTATATTAGGTTTTTATTGTATCGTTGAAAATGGCAGAGAAACTGTTATTAGGTTGTGAGAGATAGAGGCCGACAGAGAATAAAAATGATTAGGTTGTAGAGATAGAGGGTGGTAGAGCAGAGAAAATAAAAAGTTTAGGTTGCAAGAAGGCAAGTATTACAGAGGTAGAGGCTGACAGAGCGTGAAATACAGAAACAAAAATCAAGGAGTATGTATAGTTGTGAATAAAACGACTATTGTGCACCGTTAAAATCTCAGCTATTTCGGGGTTATCCTAATCTTCGCTAATTTAGTTCGCAGGTGATTCGACGATGTACCACTGAGCAGCGAAAGGTTGTCAGCAAGAGTTGATGGCCGACTTAGCAAAACCAGAAGGTAACTTACATCTGACAAATCAATAGGGGGAAGACCGACTACTGCAATCAGGACAAAACTGCGTTCCGGCACAGGAGGGGCGGAACCAGGCGCTTGGTCCACATCGCAAGGAGGGGTTGTAGGAGTCGAATTCTTGGAGGCAGATTTGGACATTCCCTTTGAGCGTTTGGCGTCTTTGTTCAGTTCGAAATAAGATATTCCTAGAAGAGAGTCGTAAACTGGGTGGTTTGTTTCATCAGTATACTATCAGGTAAGGACTGAGCGCAATGCAAACCATAACTCACGAGCAACTCTGTTTCCTGCTGCTGCTTTGGGGGCCCGGGTGGTTTTGTTCGAGTTCTTTCGGAAAAGCATAGTGCGTATTGGTGTTTGTAGGGAAGAGGATGACTGCTTGGTGTGAGTTATTGGTATGGTGCGTTTAAGCGTTTGATTTAGATAGGGATATGTTTTTAGTGGTACCGAAAGAATTGAGAAGGAGTTATTATTAGTGTTTTAGTGTTATGAGTGGTGATGGGGAATACTCCAAATACCCCAGGAGGGTAGCTCCTTTTATACCCGTCAAGACAGCCCTACGCTCATCGAGCGAGGGGAAGCTGCCGAAATAGCACCGCAGTGTTCGGCCAGCACCAGCCAGAACCAGCGGTTTATCGACAAGCCATCCCGTCGGACCAGCCTTCTGCAGTTAAGACTGCGAATTCCGGCTCAAAAGGCGTGTCTGGATGCCAGCCTCCCCGATAAGATGGACTGGCCGATTGTGTTCGGGACCACTATTGGACCAGGATCGTATGAAATGTGGGCTTCGAGGTTATCAAGACTAATTGTTAGCCAGCTGAACTGGTAGTATTATCGGGCGAGATTAGAACTTGCCTGAGACGGATCCGGAGGGCTGTATGCCTGACCCGCCGTCTCTTTTAATCCAGTCACAGCAACATTTTGATGTCGACCAACTGAGAGACAAATGGGAAGTGTGGAGTGAATAGTACAACCAATCTTTGGCAGCGGCTGCCTCTTCCGAATCACCAAAGATCCATCCACAAGCGTTAAAACTTGAAGGTATGTAATCAGAGGTAATCTCATAATTAAGCTTGCTTAATGAGAATCTTTGAGAAGTAAACAACATTTATTCGTGTATGCCAGAGACATTCGGCAATCTAGCGTACATCAGCTACGGAATGTCGTCGGAGGGCCAATGATTAACGTGAGGCGTACATCTCAAAGTCAAGCCAGAAATCCGATGAAGGTGCAGCACGATGCCCTGTATAAACCACATACATATGATCCTTGAAAAGCTGTCATTGCCAATACATAGGAGCTTAGCTTAAAGTTCGTTTGTGCCTTGGCCCCATCTCTTTTGAGCCCACTGTCAGGCCAGACATCCATTGGCATCCTCAATACACCTGGCGAGTGGAATCGCTATAGTATGAAGTCTGAAGCCCAAGCTCAGCTTATCCAGCATATCGATTCTCAATATTATGTTTCTCCGACTGATCTTGATGAAATCGTTTTCAAGACGATGAACATCCTGATCGCTCTGATTATCGCACTTTACCTGTTCGGCGTCTTCAAACAACTCGGTAAATCGCGTATCTGGGTGGCTAAAGTCGATCCCAAAGGCTATTGGCAGCCGAATGTAAACGTTTTGCTGCCTATCTTTGCCACTGCCCATGGCACTGGTCGGTTGCCCATATTTCTCTTCTAACAAGACCTCATTCATTCATGTTATCCCTCGCGCTGCACTTGACTGACTGACTCACTATTGGTTTCCTCTGCTACCTAGCATTGACTGTTGCACTGGGTCTGATGCATCTCGATTTTGGCGGACCTGTGCGCCCTTGGACATTGTCATTTGAAGCAGGCTCTTTCCTCCTTTTGCACTGTCTTAACTGGTCTAAGAGTGTGTAACTTTTGTCTTGACTTGCTTGAAAATTAGATTGCCCAAGCAAGTGTGATTTGAATCATGCCGAGTAATGACCAATGATTACTTCGGATCCCTTCGATTTTGATAGCATGGGTTACCCTCTATGCGATGCCGTATAACGCGGAAGGCCCCCATTTGACGCATTCCCGGACTGCGTTGTCGACACGCTTCGCCTCACCAAACCTTTTCAACTCCATGGTTTTGCTCGGCTACGCAGCTCCGGTTCTGATTGGATTGCCCTTGATGATTTTCCAACATCGATCGATTGATCAAGCTCATCACACCTATCTGAGCTTGCTAGAAACGATCGATTCCCTCGGGAATCAAAGTCCTGCCAATACACCTCTAACTACCTGGCTTTTCAACCCGGCCGTGGCTCTGAAGATCCAACTCCTCAAGAGCGGTGGTGAACGGACGCACCATTATGGCAAGCTGTTTGCCATCATGCTAATAACTATTCATTCGATCAGTGTGTAAGTTGAAAAGACAGGAGGCTCTGCTGACATTTCCCCTCGAGTTTAACAAAAATTCGTAGCTCAATTTTAATGGATCATTTGTTTCGTCTATGTAGGTTCTTTTTGCTCTGGGCAACACAAGCAATTTTGAGAACTCTTTTCAAACAAGTTAAGATTCACCGCCGTTGTATTTTGAATCGACGACATGTCCTAGGATTGGAGCTTTCGACGACCAATTCTAATGAATCAAATCCAGCCAAACGACCAGGTTTCGACAAATTGGAGACCGCTAGTCTTGACTCCCGAGCTGAACATTTCATAGTTGAATTCAAATCAGCCAATAAAATGGAATCTTCAAACAAAGGAAATTCGTTCAATTGGATTGACTGGAAATTTATCACACCATGTCTTAGGCGGGGAACTGAGGTGGGAGCAGAGCTCTGGAAATCTGATTTGATCCGGCACTTGGATGAGAAAGATCAAGTCCTTCAATCCAATCTCGAAGCGCAGTATTTGACATTGAGACAATACACTGCAAATACGATGTGGCAAGCACTGCTCATCTGTATGATTTCGGGGTGCTACATCACTCTTGGCTTTTCATATGGTCTGTGCATCTTCAAAGTCAACCAAAGGCCTTACCACAGCTCAACTTTTACTGAAGTTTCTTACTTGGTACTCAATCGACAGTGTTTAATTGGCAGAATGCACCAATTCGCACCACTTACCCTCAGCTTTGTCTTAATCAGTTAAAATATGCTGGGATGATCTGGACCCTTGGAGGCTTTTTGTTGGCGACAGTATGTGAAACTCGTAGACTCTCTTTTATGCAGATTGAGAAATTCTAACACTTGAAATCATCAGCTTACAGCTATCGTTGCCTCATCGGAATTACCAAAAGACCCTTCCCATCAAACTGATGTACCGAAAACTCAAGAACGACCAGAGTCATCGAGGTTCGAAATGCATCTTCATACCGAAAGAACACTACCGTTTCGCAGTCACGCATTTTAGTGATTTGAAAGTGAGTCAAAAAATTGATCTACTCTTGGCTTCACGGACTTACCGATTGATTTCTTTGTGTATGTCTGTCATCAGAATTACCGACCCGGAAAAAATTGCATCTTGTGCATCTCACCCATCCAACTCGATGGATTGAATTGAGTTTCTTGAAGAAACAGATGTTAAGATTCCACTATTGATTTGATTTGAACAGGTTTCTTGACTTGGGAGCTTACTACTTGAATTTTGATGCTTGATGTCATCCGTTGATTTTGATATGTATTTTGGCTGAAGATTCTTCAGAAATGATTTTTCTAATCTCATGATTGATTATTTATTTATTTTTTGAATCAATAAAACTATTTTACCACCTTTATGCATCAATCCTTTGAAAAACATTCTTCTACTTGAACCTGACTGAGAAACCCGGATCATCAAAGAAGGATGTATCTTCCAATAATGGAAAAATCTTGTTTGTGCAAGATGCAATACATGGCGTCTGGTGAGAAAGATACCCTTTCTATCTGTAACCTCAGTCAATTTTACAATAAGTCCATCCTCATGATCAAGCCTAGTGGAAACATTTTGAGAAACAAATAAATTGAGCCATCGAGATTCATGAAATTATAATGATAAAGAGCAAAGAAGCTGAAATGCAATTTATGATCCAACCACTTGCTGATGTTGTGATCAGCAGTGATACATTGGGTTCTTATCAGCACCTCAAGATTTATATGCTAAGAGCATCTCCACCCGGGGAGGTAAAACCGGGTTGCTACAACCCCGCGATGGCAACTCAAATCTTATATGTAGCAACCCATGCAGGTTTGCCGCCCACCCGTAGTTGCCATATTTTCAAATTTTGATCCGTGATAGTGAATTCCCCGATCTACGGTCACATTTCATCCATCTCCCCCGATCTTTGCTCAACACCCCCATTAATCTTTCTTGAAATCCTCAACAAAATCAACATCATCCTTTTCAAAACACTATCTGCCTCACAAGCCACCCCGATGGACCTACAACTCCTCCAGAGCCTCCTCAACACTCAATCGGCCGCCCTAGCAAGCACCCGCAATGTCCAAACTGTTCTAGTTGACACAGTTAATATGATAGTTGATGAAGACAACAATATTGAAGAACCGCCCAGGCCAGGAGGATCAAGACCTGGACGCCGTCCAAATTTACCCCGAGGATTTGAAGAAGGGTACCAACGACTTTACAAGGATTACCTTGCACCGGAACCCGTTTACGTTGATTACTTATTCCGACACCGCTTTCGAATGCACCGACCTCTCTTCTTGAAGATTGTAGACGATGTGACTGCACACAATCGGTACTTTCAACAGAAACGCGACGCATTGGGGCGGCCAGGCCTGTACCCAGTTCAGAAGATAACCGCTGCTCTCCGGATGCTTGCATATGGAGGGGGGGCTGATCTGAACGATGAGTACATCCGAATCGCCGAGAGCACTTCTTTGCAAGCCTTGAACGAGTTTTGCTCCACTGTAATTGAATTATACGGCAAAGAATTCCTCCGATACCCAACGGAAGAAGATATAAAACAATTGACGGCAGTGAATTCAAAACGCGGATTTCCTGGGATGCTTGGCTCTCTGGATTGTATGCACTGGCATTGGAAGAATTGTCCAGCTGCTTGGAAAGGACAGTATCAAGGCAAGGAGAAGGTAAGCTTTGATTTCATTACACATCTATTACATGCAAGCATTGACAACTCTACTCTGATCCAGGTTGCAACTATTGTGCTTGAGGCGGTGGCCTCCTACGACCTCTGGATTTGGCACTCGTTCTTTGGCCTTCCAGGATCACACAACGACATCAACATCCTCGATCGATCACCGCTTTTCAAAAAGCTCCTAAATGGCGAAGCCCCTCAAGTGAAATACACGATTAACGGAAATACTTACACTCAGGGATACTACTTGGCAGATGGGATTTACCCGGACTGGTCGACCTTAGTAAAAACCATCTCGGCACCTCAGGGGCTTGAGAAGAAGGTGAGTTTGGATTTCAAACAAGTTATTTCACCTTTTCATCTCTTGCTGACCAGGTTTCTTGTCAGCATTTCGCTAAGATGCAAGAAGCCTGTAGAAAGGATGTGGAAAGAGCTTTCGGTGTCCTCCAAGCTCGATTCGCGATTGTTTCACGGCCATCAAGAGGGTGGAAGCATACAAACATGCAGAGGATAATGACCACCTGTGTCATTCTGCACAATATGATCATCGAGGACGAACGTGGTCTGAACGAAGAATTTATATATGATGGGAATCCAGTTTCAATCCAGCCCAGCTCGTCTCGATCGACTGATTTCTCAGCATTCATCAATAATTCAGTACAGTTACGAAACTCCGAAGCTCACTTCCGATTAAGAGATGACCTCGTTAAGCATTTATGGGACCTTAAAGGCAAGAGTAACTGAGCAATTGGCTTGTTACTCAGACTTGTTACTATGTTTTCCATTGCTTTTGCTATGTCAATTGGATTGGTCTTCTTTATTTCTAACATTTGCATATATCAATTAAGCTTATACTACACCACCGAAGTTTTCTCCTCTTTATACATCCTGATTGCCCCTCTTGAGTTTTTTGTCTCGGAAATGAAGCCTTGTTACTACCTCTTGAGTTTTTCCTCTCCAAAATGAAGCCTTGTTATTATTTATGGCTCACTCGCAACCAACACATCATTCATTAACTAGCGAGATAAAAATTTATTCCAGAAACAGAAAAAAGGAAATTGAACTAAAAAATAGAAAAAGAGATCAATCAAGCACCAGGTTCCTCATTTCAAAAGGCTTGTAAAAATCATTGCAACCAAGAAATAATAAGATTGAACAACCAAAGTGATCGAACAAGAGGTAATAAACTTGAGTGAAACAGCAGAACAAAAAGACTATCATCACATGTTGGCCTCGCTGTCCTCTTCATCGCCGCTGCTTTCATACTCGTCGCCAGTATCCCCATCATTATCGCTTTCATCCTCGCTTTCTTCCTCATCTTCATCCTCCTCGTCTTCCTCGTCCACCTCAACCACTACTTCTTTTGATCGTTTTTTTTTCTTTTGTTTTTCTGCTTTTTTTCTCTCTTCTGCTTTTTTTCTCTCCTCTTCTTTTTTTCTCTCCTCTTCTTTTTTTTTCTCATCTTCTTTCTTTTTTTTCTCTTCTTCTTCTTTCTCTTTTTTTTCATACTCTTCTTTTTCTTTTTGCACACGATCCAAAACCTTCTTTTGCTGCCACTCGTAGTACGGTCGGCTTGCATCAGTGACACCTGAGAGTTCGACTTTCATGATCAATTCGTCGGCCATCGTCTTGATCGCATCTTTCTGCTCAGATAGGATTCCGTTTTGTATGCGAGAGTTTTCCGCAAGCTGTTTATGAACAAGTAGTATGTTGTCCTTAAAGTATTTATCTTCTCGGGCCTTTGCAGCGAGATCTTTGGCCTTCCGATTTCCAATTGGTCGTGCCGTACCGCGAGATTGAATTGTTGAAGCTTCGCTGTTATTTGCTGCATCATTATTCATATCGGACGAGAGAGACGGAGCCGGGCCACTGTCAACAGATGTGATATCTATCACAGACGATTCACTCGGGGTTGTTGCAGACAATGATTGAGTCGGAACGTTTTTCTTGTTGATGTCGTCGCAGTGTTCCTTCCACTTTGGCGCAAGGTTGAGGATGTTGTAACATACAAGGTGTGCAAAAGTCTCCTTCGTCAGAGCATGGTAGAGCTTGAGCGCGCTAGACAAGCGATCTTCGGCCGTTGTTCCACTCTGGTTTGAGAGCTTGACCTGCTTAACGCATCCAGAGAACTTGTTGATGCGTCGCTGGAGAACTTGCCAACGACTCTTGATGCTGACTGCGGTCCGACTACTATCAAGCATAACCGTTTGAAAGTCCTCCTCTACGCGGTTCCAAAACGTATCGGCCGTCTGGTTGGTTGAGTTGAGAGGATCCTGAGAAACTTCAAGCCAAGACTTGCAGACTTGAATGTCCTCATGATCTTGGTAGCGAGTGCGAGGGGGTTTTTCTGCTGGGGGATCAGCGTTTTGGGCAGCCTTCTTTCGAGGATTTTTTTGCGTGGTTTTTTTCTTGGTCTTCGTCTGAGGTCTGGCTTCGTTTGTGTTGGATGCACCGGGCTTTTTTGATGTCGTTTTCTTTTTCTTTGCAGGCGGCTTTTCCTGGTCTGATTCGGCCTCAAGGGGACGACGAGGTAGGTTCATATGAACCACATCAATGTCGATAGCACCTGAAGTGTGAAACAAAACCAAATCAGATTGTGATTAAATATGTATGAACAAAAAAAACATACCAAGAGATGGATCGATCATTCCGGCCATCTTGAAAACAGTTGATTGAAGTGTGGTTTTGTAGAGTCAAGGTTTCAAGCGGATATGAGTTCAAGAATATTGAGATGTGGCGTAGACAATTCGGGGGGAAAGTTTTGGATGAAGATGAAATTTCATGAGGAGTTCACAGTAGAAATACAAGGCCTTTCATGTAAGTGAGGGATTTCACAGGAGCTAATGAGTTGCTTGAGTGTTGCTACTTCTGACAACTCGAAAAGGTTTTTAACCTCCGGAGGCAAAGTATTTTGTTGTTTAGCACCTCGGGTGGGTGCACTTTTTTCGGGTCCGGTTGCTAAACCGGGGAAAGTAAGTGAGTTTAGCTCCCGCGGTGGAGATGCTCTAAGATATTGGTGGATCAATATTCATGTTGGGATTGTTTTGATTGCCAGAGAATATTCCAGTTGAAGCTGGGTTGGTTGTTGGTAGAGTTGGTCCGTCTTGAGCCTGGGAAAACGCCATGACTTAGAATAAACTGATTCCGATTGCTTTATCTTGAGTTGAGTTGTTGATAATTTCTAGTAGTAGTCCTAAATTCTTCTAACTAATGTTGCTGGTGTTCTTATCCAGGGCAAGGTTGGGGGGTTTTGGTTACTAACTGATAATAATACTAATAAAACTAAATAATATGATACTACTATTCAATTATATAGATTCGTGGAGGTTGTCATAGACTAGTATTCTACTTCGCACTGAGTTTTAATCGGCTACCACCTGGTAGTTAAACTTTTTTATCCTAACTACTCTAGTACGTCGGATAATCGGTCCCCTCGTCTTCTACTTTATAATTGATTCTTGAGTATTTAACTACTTAATCCGGAGTTCTACTAGGTATATCTAAGAACTAAGTCGTATAAAGCTAAACAGAATGTGATTATTCAAAGATATGGTTTGTCACGTGTTCAAAACAGGAATTTTCCTGCCTAAAACTAACTAAAAATTCTACTAAAATAAACTATAAAAATCACTACAATGGTTTAGATATATCTAATCCACTTGCCAAACTTCAGGATCCTCTATCACGTTGGGGACTCCCTTGTAAGAGCATCTCCACCGCGGGAGCTAAACTCACTTACTTTCCCCGGTTTAGCAACCGGACCCGAAAAAAGTGCACCCACCCGAGGTGCTAAACAACAAAATACTTTGCCTCCGGAGGTTAAAAACCTTTTCGAGTTGTCAGAAGTAGCAACACTCAAGCAACTCATTAGCTCCTGTGAAATCCCTCACTTACATGAAAGGCCTTGTATTTCTACTGTGAACTCCTCATGAAATTTCATCTTCATCCAAAACTTTCCCCCCGAAATTGTCTACGCCACATCTCAATATTCTTGAACTCATATCCGCTTGAAACCTTGACTCTACAAAAACCACACTTCAATCAACTGTTTTCAAGATGGCCGGAATGATCGATCCCATCTCTTGGTATGTTTTTTTTGTTCATACATATTTAATCACAATCTGATTTGGTTTTGTTTCACACTTCAGGTGCTATCGACATTGATGTGGTTCATATGAACCTACCTCGTCGTCCCCTTGAGGCCGAATCAGACCAGGAAAAGCCGCCTGCAAAGAAAAAGAAAACGACATCAAAAAAGCCCGGTGCATCCAACACAAACGAAGCCAGACCTCAGACGAAGACCAAGAAAAAAACCACGCAAAAAAATCCTCGAAAGAAGGCTGCCCAAAACGCTGATCCCCCAGCAGAAAAACCCCCTCGCACTCGCTACCAAGATCATGAGGACATTCAAGTCTGCAAGTCTTGGCTTGAAGTTTCTCAGGATCCTCTCAACTCAACCAACCAGACGGCCGATACGTTTTGGAACCGCGTAGAGGAGGACTTTCAAACGGTTATGCTTGATAGTAGTCGGACCGCAGTCAGCATCAAGAGTCGTTGGCAAGTTCTCCAGCGACGCATCAACAAGTTCTCTGGATGCGTTAAGCAGGTCAAGCTCTCAAACCAGAGTGGAACAACGGCCGAAGATCGCTTGTCTAGCGCGCTCAAGCTCTACCATGCTCTGACGAAGGAGACTTTTGCACACCTTGTATGTTACAACATCCTCAACCTTGCGCCAAAGTGGAAGGAACACTGCGACGACATCAACAAGAAAAACGTTCCGACTCAATCATTGTCTGCAACAACCCCGAGTGAATCGTCTGTGATAGATATCACATCTGTTGACAGTGGCCCGGCTCCGTCTCTCTCGTCCGATATGAATAATGATGCAGCAAATAACAGCGAAGCTTCAACAATTCAATCTCGCGGTACGGCACGACCAATTGGAAATCGGAAGGCCAAAGATCTCGCTGCAAAGGCCCGAGAAGATAAATACTTTAAGGACAACATACTACTTGTTCATAAACAGCTTGCGGAAAACTCTCGCATACAAAACGGAATCCTATCTGAGCAGAAAGATGCGATCAAGACGATGGCCGACGAATTGATCATGAAAGTCGAACTCTCAGGTGTCACTGATGCAAGCCGACCGTACTACGAGTGGCAGCAAAAGAAGGTTTTGGATCGTGTGCAAAAAGAAAAAGAAGAGTATGAAAAAAAAGAGAAAGAAGAAGAAGAGAAAAAAAAGAAAGAAGATGAGAAAAAAAAAGAAGAGGAGAGAAAAAAAGAAGAGGAGAGAAAAAAAGCAGAAGAGAGAAAAAAAGCAGAAAAACAAAAGAAAAAAAAACGATCAAAAGAAGTAGTGGTTGAGGTGGACGAGGAAGACGAGGAGGATGAAGATGAGGAAGAAAGCGAGGATGAAAGCGATAATGATGGGGATACTGGCGACGAGTATGAAAGCAGCGGCGATGAAGAGGACAGCGAGGCCAACATGTGATGATAGTCTTTTTGTTCTGCTGTTTCACTCAAGTTTATTACCTCTTGTTCGATCACTTTGGTTGTTCAATCTTATTATTTCTTGGTTGCAATGATTTTTACAAGCCTTTTGAAATGAGGAACCTGGTGCTTGATTGATCTCTTTTTCTATTTTTTAGTTCAATTTCCTTTTTTCTGTTTCTGGAATAAATTTTTATCTCGCTAGTTAATGAATGATGTGTTGGTTGCGAGTGAGCCATAAATAATAACAAGGCTTCATTTTGGAGAGGAAAAACTCAAGAGGTAGTAACAAGGCTTCATTTCCGAGACAAAAAACTCAAGAGGGGCAATCAGGATGTATAAAGAGGAGAAAACTTCGGTGGTGTAGTATAAGCTTAATTGATATATGCAAATGTTAGAAATAAAGAAGACCAATCCAATTGACATAGCAAAAGCAATGGAAAACATAGTAACAAGTCTGAGTAACAAGCCAATTGCTCAGTTACTCTTGCCTTTAAGGTCCCATAAATGCTTAACGAGGTCATCTCTTAATCGGAAGTGAGCTTCGGAGTTTCGTAACTGTACTGAATTATTGATGAATGCTGAGAAATCAGTCGATCGAGACGAGCTGGGCTGGATTGAAACTGGATTCCCATCATATATAAATTCTTCGTTCAGACCACGTTCGTCCTCGATGATCATATTGTGCAGAATGACACAGGTGGTCATTATCCTCTGCATGTTTGTATGCTTCCACCCTCTTGATGGCCGTGAAACAATCGCGAATCGAGCTTGGAGGACACCGAAAGCTCTTTCCACATCCTTTCTACAGGCTTCTTGCATCTTAGCGAAATGCTGACAAGAAACCTGGTCAGCAAGAGATGAAAAGGTGAAATAACTTGTTTGAAATCCAAACTCACCTTCTTCTCAAGCCCCTGAGGTGCCGAGATGGTTTTTACTAAGGTCGACCAGTCCGGGTAAATCCCATCTGCCAAGTAGTATCCCTGAGTGTAAGTATTTCCGTTAATCGTGTATTTCACTTGAGGGGCTTCGCCATTTAGGAGCTTTTTGAAAAGCGGTGATCGATCGAGGATGTTGATGTCGTTGTGTGATCCTGGAAGGCCAAAGAACGAGTGCCAAATCCAGAGGTCGTAGGAGGCCACCGCCTCAAGCACAATAGTTGCAACCTGGATCAGAGTAGAGTTGTCAATGCTTGCATGTAATAGATGTGTAATGAAATCAAAGCTTACCTTCTCCTTGCCTTGATACTGTCCTTTCCAAGCAGCTGGACAATTCTTCCAATGCCAGTGCATACAATCCAGAGAGCCAAGCATCCCAGGAAATCCGCGTTTTGAATTCACTGCCGTCAATTGTTTTATATCTTCTTCCGTTGGGTATCGGAGGAATTCTTTGCCGTATAATTCAATTACAGTGGAGCAAAACTCGTTCAAGGCTTGCAAAGAAGTGCTCTCGGCGATTCGGATGTACTCATCGTTCAGATCAGCCCCCCCTCCATATGCAAGCATCCGGAGAGCAGCGGTTATCTTCTGAACTGGGTACAGGCCTGGCCGCCCCAATGCGTCGCGTTTCTGTTGAAAGTACCGATTGTGTGCAGTCACATCGTCTACAATCTTCAAGAAGAGAGGTCGGTGCATTCGAAAGCGGCGTCGGAATAAGTAATCAACGTAAACGGGTTCCGGTGCAAGGTAATCCTTGTAAAGTCGTTGGTACCCTTCTTCAAATCCTCGGGGTAAATTTGGACGGCGTCCAGGTCTTGATCCTCCTGGCCTGGGCGGTTCTTCAATATCGTTGTCTTCATCAACTATCATATTAACTGTGTCAACTAGAACAGTTTGGACATTGCGGGTGCTTGCTAGGGCGGCCGATTGAGTGTTGAGGAGGCTCTGGAGGAGTTGTAGGTCCATCGGGGTGGCTTGTGAGGCAGATAGTGTTTTGAAAAGGATGATGTTGATTTTGTTGAGGATTTCAAGAAAGATTAATGGGGGTGTTGAGCAAAGATCGGGGGAGATGGATGAAATGTGACCGTAGATCGGGGAATTCACTATCACGGATCAAAATTTGAAAATATGGCAACTACGGGTGGGCGGCAAACCTGCATGGGTTGCTACATATAAGATTTGAGTTGCCATCGCGGGGTTGTAGCAACCCGGTTTTACCTCCCCGGGTGGAGATGCTCTAATTATGTATATACCTATTGCAATGGCAATTCTGATTGGAATAGTATGCCACCATCAGGAGTCCTACCAAGCAGCCGCCGGCCCGTCCGATTTCCAAACATCTATCACTTACCCTTACGCGTCACTCGGAGGATGTCCATCGGTCCGATGCGTGTGCACAGTGTAACTTCTGGAGTCATTCTTGGCTTTTATCCTCCCCCTTCTCCCCCTCCGCCACCCATACAAAAAGAAGGTGATGGCTATCGAAAAACTTGACCCGCCATGAAATGATAATCGAGAAGCTCCAACAGCCTACTACTAAAGGAATCTCTTTCGCTAAAAATTCTACTTATACTCTGACGATTCATCACTTTAAACCTAATGGAACACTGGCTCCTGTCATTAAGGATCGTGACAATAACCAACGTCCTTCGTGCGTTCGACCACTAGATGACGTGGATTTGACTTTCCCCTGCTCTCCCTTTCTTTTTTCTGGAGATCAAATTGTACCTCAATCTGAGTTTTAGTTCTTCTTGTTTTTCTTTCCTACGATGGTAGAACCTACTTATCTTCATTCCCACGGTGGATCAAGCTCACAATTCACCATTCTTATCAACTCCAAACTGATCTCCTTTAACAAGATAGATCAATCTAAAGCACATTGCTTCTCAATCTGAGGCCCATTTCCGCACGTGACTGTTTGCACGCGGGTTCTCAGGGGTATTTGGAGGGGATTGGTTTTGTAATTCAAGTATAAGATAACTTTGATAAATATTTTTACATGTGTTGTATTTGAACAAGCCAAAGTGAGCCCAAAAAGATGATTGTCTATTGTGTAATATGAAAAATTCTTGTCCATAATGATAAAGCTAGCTCTTGGTTGGTAGTAAGAGATTAGTAATAACCACATCGGCTTGCTTTCTTCCAACAGTATCTAGCTAAAGCCCTACAGCTTGCTGGGTGTGCGCAGTGGACGGGAGCTCTGCATCTTGCTGGGATGATACAATAGGTTCTGGTCTGAAGATCTCGACCGGCTATGACATTTCGTGTGGATTGGACAGGTGTACCGTATTCTTGGGAACCTGGTCCGCCTTGGACACCCCTAAATGGATGGGAACTTGAAGTATAGTCTGGGAGTCCTAAACTTTCTCGAGCAATCTTGGGCTCTCCACTCGAATAAAGGACTGGGTTATGTTTGGATTCAATAACTCCGGGGACGGCTTCTGGAAGACTTGGAACCGGATGAACTGAGTGAGCTGTCCCGTCTGGTTTAGTGTAAACGCCAGGAGCCAAGGCCGGTTGGGAACCAGCATGGCGGCTAATAACAGGTTTGAGATAGCCCTGAATTGTAAAAAAAGGGATTAGATTATTAAGCGAATGATATCAAAAGAGAAATCGAGAAAATACATACATCTGGAGCATTCAAGAGCTGGCTGTTGTCACCCTGGAATGAGGTAGGATTAGAGGTCGGAAGCACTGCGTGGGAAGGATAGCTGGGACTGTAGCCCGCGGCGGCAAGTGAATACGAAGGATGTTCTTGTGGTTGGGCCGTGTAAGTATTGTGTACATTTGCGTTGACTTTCAACGAAAGGAGAATGCAAGCGGCCAAGATAGCAAAGCTGTTCATGATGAAAAGTCTTAGAAGAAGGGGGCTTTAATTATTTTGAAAGAGATGGTACGCGTGTAGGTGAGTCGATGTGTGTGGGGTATGTTGTAGAAAAGGTAGGAATTGATGATGCGATGTGATGAGGGTATTGAGGCGGCTCTCACCCTCTTTATATATCCTTATGACTACTTGGTTAAGGTCAGGTTTGGAGAAAGCGGTTTATTCGAATGTACAGCTTCATCAACCACGCTGATTTAGAGCTGGGCCGGTCTGACTCTTGGAGTCGCCTAGTCTGGCTATAATGTAATATTTCTGGCCGTCCATTTGACTCTCGAACTCAGGCAAATCGGTTCCAAGTCTTCCATTTCCTCATAGTTGAACCAAATTTTTATTTGACTGGCTATACAGAAGGTAGGCCTGGCAGCTGGAAGCAATTCGCGACGACGAAAACAAAAAAAATTACTAACACCATTATCTGACCCATTGGGTTAGCCACAAGCTTTGGAATTCCAGAAGGCCGGTTTCTTCAGTTGCTGATCAGTGATACCCCACCCGGTATCTAGGGAACATGTCAGTCATGCGGGCAAGTTTTCCTGGGTCGGTCAGAGTCTTCAAGAACATGTTGGCTGCACCTTGCAAGACCAAGAAGGTCCCTTCTGTGAGGCACCTTACCTGAAATAGTGTTTTTTTGCCACAAATCTTTGGGGAAATTGCTTGGCCGTTGAGCCCAAGGCCACTAGAAATTTGAATTTTGTTTCCCCAAGTCCATACAACTTCAACTTGATCTTTGTCACGACTGATATTTATCCATCCACAAATGGTAACTCTGACATATGGGATAATCTGGAATCCGGGGTTAGCACACAGCAAAGTGAATATATTTTTACATGTTTCTGATGTCCAAAGGTTATTGGCCAGTCGGTAAAGATAAAACATTGTTTTTTTTTGTTTTTTTTTTTTGCATGCCAATGATGTCCAAAACTTTCAATTCATTGAATTGCAGGTAATAAATATGGGCGATTGCTTCTTGAAGTTAAAATTATACAGGAAAAGTCTGCCGGCTTTAGAGCCAGATTAGCTAGCCAAAAGACTACTTAGCTCTAAGTGTATGTTCACAAAGTACTACATGTGGTTGTTTGACCTTAAAACATATCTTCAATCATTGCACCAATGACTATTGAAGCTCCATAAGAATTCCATGGGGAAAGATTGAAAACTAAGCCAATTGAATTCAAAAAAACACTCCTCAATATGATTTTCAGGTCTGTCAATTGTTTTTGTGGAGATTACAGATAAATCACCCTTCCTAAAAATCACAAACAATCTTTGGGTTGTATTTACATCAAAGCACATTAAAGCTCATTTACTTTTCAGGTAGATCTGGGGCCCTTCAAAAGAATAATTCTTTTAGCAAAAACCATGTTTGACAGTTTTAGGAAACTTACAGAACCACTCCTGATCAGACCCACAGAATATATGTTCTCATTTTAAAATGTCCTTGCCCAAATTATGACCGCGCACTGATAGACAAGGACTCAGATTCTAGGTGAGATTGGTTTTGGTGATCCAAAATTGGACCAGAAAGGAGCATGGAGAGCTCTTAATCAAAGAGCCATCAAGAATTGCTATTTCATTAATTTACGTGTATGTTTTCATATATTTCACATGTGACAATAGTGCGTTTCTTTCCAAGAAGACGAATAGGACAAGATAAGTAAGTAAGTAAACAAAGAATCGATAACCAGTCCTCTTCCTCTGTAGTTTCTACACAGCCCACCATTTGGTACTTCAAACCCTACAACAGAAAACGTGAGAAAGAATCTTCAAAATGTATAAAAGAGAATCAATCAACAATATCAGGTTATATGAGGTTCTCAGTCAGATCTCGCTAATTTGGATTGACGCCAAGAAGAAAGGAACTAGTCAAGTTGATGTAACTATGTATGTATGTAAGTCTCTGGAGAAATTAGAAAGTCAAGGCAGAAAGGTCGGAAGACAAGATGATGAGAGATGAATCACGTTTGATTGGTGTCCATTGAATCCAAACAGAACAATAATGAGAATACGAAGTCCTTTTTCTTTGGGTTGATGTTATGATTACATACAACATGATTTAATTTTACAGTTCAGATTCCTGAGTCTTCGAGAGATATGAGTAGATATGAAGTAGTTATAAGTGGGGAATTCGAGACGCTCTGATCAATTCAGGGAAAGAATTTCGGTTAAAATATGTAATTCATGATCGAAAGAATTTGTGATCACGTGGTTGAATCCCCGTGCTAGAATTCTTCCGCCAGATGAGTTACTTGGGAAACAACGAGCGATGGACGGTACGTTGATGTCGAAGGAGATCGCTTCGCTGGCGGAATGCGCGTTGGCAGCCCGGAATATCACAGCCAAATTCCGGCTCGAGCTGAAGATGAGCACTCTCGATGTGATCTGGTAGAGTTGGCAATATAGCTTCAGTCAGTGGATAGATAACCTTTGAAGTTGTACGATTTAAACTGTCTCTGCACTTACATCTCAATCTCTCATTCCTGGTAAAACTGGCTTGGCAGAATCCACAGATTTTATCGGCCGGGGCTTCACGTCGTAGATGACCTCCGCGATTCACCGTGTCAGCTCTCTTCTGGTTGGTGATTCGAGTGGAGGGGATTTCTGCGGGTACTGCATTCCGATCGGCGCGTGCTCCGCTTGGTGTGGTTGGAATGGGATAATTATAACCCATGGCTTGCCCAGAGCTGAGCGTATGAGCGGGAAGATATTGATTGGATGCTCTAGTGGATTCCATGTGGGACGACCCAGCGCTGCTTGAAAGCCCTCCTTGAGAAGAATAATCGTGGTGATATGAGGAATGTGTTGAGGAAAGCGGGATGTGTGGGTTGTAGTTGACATTTGGTGCGTATGGGTAAGTGGAGGTATTCTGTTGATGACCGTCATTTTCCTCAAAGCATCGCCGCAAGCTTTCTAGACAGTCGACCATTCCTACTGTCAGAGCAACGTATTCATTTCTGCGAGCATCAGAAGGTGACATCCATGAGGAATAATGCTGATCGGGATTATAGGAGGGGTTCATATTGGCTAAATAGTCTATAGGGGTTTTGTTTTTGCCTGTGAACAGACCGGAGTAGGGTTAAGTAAAAACAATTGGAGGTTTTTAAAATGTGCAACAAAGAAATAGCAATCCAGTGGAGTCTACTTTATCTGAGAGCAGGCAGAAAAAAAGATAGGTAGAAGTAGGGCTTAGAACACTGACTGATTTGTTATAGTAATTCGAGTATAATACTTCCAAACAAAGGTAAGATAAGCTATCACTAGATGCTATAAGAGTTCCTTGTTGCCTGAAATTGTTTCATCGATCACACATTCTAGCAGCCTTATATACCAATGAGGATTCTCAGATGTTTCCAATCCTCCCGTCTTGAGCAAGCCGGAAGGGAAGTGATTGCTGTTCAGGATAACAGCTCGACGAGGTCTTCGGGCGGCGATGAAGGATATTCTTGCGAACCGTTGCCTACAACTGGGAAGTAGAATACGTGCCGGAAATGTCATTGCTGTGGATTCTCAGGCGGTGGCTCACCGCTCTGTGGTCGCGATAGCGGCTGGTAGCACAAAGATACTCACCGAGGTGGGAGTTTAATGCAAAGTAAATCCAAACTCATCGCATTTTTGAAGCCCACACAGGATCCTCTCTTTCCAGCTGGTGAGTAGAGTTGGGCTGTGCAGGAAACCAACGCGGAGGGAAGGAAATAGCAACAAAGATGAGCTTGGTATGTGGTAAACTTTGCCTGGGTCGACAAGAATTAACGCGTCCTTGGAGGTTAGGGGGTAGCGCTAGCGGAGTCCCCACCGACTACATAATTGGGACACATACCGGTGAGATTTGCTTTGTATCCTAAGGATAGTATTGTTTTTTTATGTATGATAGTCGATGTACTCTTTACCAACCGGTGATTGGTGTAATCTGGTAGACCGCCTTGGAGATGCCGAAGTTAAGAATACAACTCGTAAATGAGGGCATAGAAACGGTCTAGACCCTGCGCGCTGGCAATAATGCCCTCTCAAGAGTTTGTTGCCGGCAAACGAAAGTGGAAGGATCAGCGAATTTTAAAGACGCAGGCCGGCTGAAGGTGCGTGCTGTGATCGCCTTGAGTTTTTTTTTTTTTTTTTTTTTTTTGGATTTGGCTTTCGCCATTTCGAGCAGTCAAAAGTATTCCCCTGCAGGCTACACAACATGGTTTACACATAAATATCTAAATAATTTACATGAGATGGAACTGTCAGTCCCAACTGTTATGAATCAGGTATCGTATCTTTCGGCGTGAGTGCATCACGTGAGCCCAGTGTCCTGATTCAACTCTTGCCTGCATGTTTGGAGACGCAAAAGAGCCAGCTTGCTTCAGATTGTATTATCAGTAAGTTGTGTTGTATCTGTGAGGAAATCCGGTCTGGCGGACACCCATCGCACAGGCCCAATATTCAAGCTCCGATCCAGCTTGGCTCTTTCTATGGAACTTGAATTGCAATAGATGATACTATCAACGTCAGACCAAACAGACTTTCTCATAGTGGCTCATAGTGATACATAAATAAATACCTTATCCATCAGGCCGCGGAGATCACATGCTACATGCTGAGTGTTCCACTTGGCAGTGTGGCAGATATTTTACATATGACACGCATTGTGATCTTCTCCGAATGGGCTTGGTAGATCTTCATAGCATGCGTGGCAAGCTACGAAGAACATAGACTATAACAGGAAAACCAGCATTCTCGTCGGCAGGTGCCGAGGTAGCTCATACGAATATACCAGGTAATACCGTCCCAACCGGCGCGAATCTCGTTCTCCGCCAAGAAAACGTGGGTTGATGGGAAACCGGACAGCAGCCCAGCCAAGCAGTCCGCATTTACGATTTGGTGGGAGGGATATCCGGGAAAGGCAATGAATGCACTTGTCAATATACACCAGGAGCTGATGTTGGGACTTGAGCCTACAATTCCAAGGAGGAGCACGAAGGTTCTGAAATCTCCGGCCCCCCGACAAGACTGACATTCAGGGACACTCCTGTCGGAGGGAGCAGCGGGGGCTGTTATATAAACACATGTTCAAGTGAGGAAGTGCGTCCGGTCCAGCACGAAATGTCCAATGGAGGTTGTATCGGAAAAATTGGAATCAAAATGATGGCTGGTACCAGTGCCATACAACAGCGCATCATGTAAGCAGAAGGCACTGATCTGCTAGCAACCAAGTAGGAGGTCCTCGCACCAAGTCTCATTATGCTAAATTGATGCCCTTCATTTTAAACTGTGTTCTTTCTTTACTGCTTCTTTAGATCAGTTGGTAATCGACCATGACTCGAAGGAAATATCCTAGTTCAATCTATTGAGGTACATAGCAAAGCTGGGGATAAGTGAAAAGATGACATCCGGTGAATCGTGTCTGGTGGCAGTCGCGTTGGATCATCACGAGGTGGGACCATCGCAAACAATGGCCCATGCGCCAGCACTCATGTTTGTAGGGAGTGCCGGTGTGCCGAAAGACGGCTTCGAAAAAGGTGAGCCGATCGCGGTTGTTTGTTGGAGAGGTTGTCTTCCTTGCTTCTTTGGCGCCAACCTCCACAAAAGCACAAGATCGGTTGGTGATATAGATAAATAAGTACCGTCGTACGAGTTGCGACGTCGCTGACATAACTTATGGTTGACACACAAGGACACACATCGATGCACAAAATGTGAAACCGATACTTGTCGACATTGCATCTGCATCTGTAATGTATCCATTGGAGCTCGTTGTATGTAGTTGCTGTTGGAGGTGGAGGAGGAAGTGGACTCTGGAGCCTGCCTGTCTGGTAGTACAGTTGAGTTGTCTGTCCGCAACTTTGAACCCGAGCTGATTGAGCTCGTCCCCCCGGCAAACTCGCCCATTCCTGGATTTCCTTGAGAGTTGTCGTCATCTCATTGGTTGGGACATCCTGATAAGCAACCAGCACTTAGGAGAACCTAGGCTGGATGGATCAGGAGACAGACAAGATAACAACATTGCTCTTCCCTCACCTCCAACTGACTAGGACCTGCTTTCAATTTCAACGGGCTACGGGAACCTACAGGAGGAAGCTCACCATTCCGAAAAATAAGAAATGTCTGCACATCAACGGGTTGTAATTAAGATCAAGTCAACATCATTCTGTACTACAACACATCCAATCCAGGCCGGTCGGCCAGTAGCACATTGGGCGGCTGGGATCTACATTCGGTACACAGGTAAAAGATGCGCCCTACGCCCACCATCAAGATGGGCCATGGAGTACCTGTGATGGTAACTGGTAGTGATCGAGGCATGGCAAAATGACTGTTGTACTTGCATTGATGAGATGAGAAATAGAAAAGTGTTTACATATTCAAATGGAAGTGATAGGGACTGTAACTAAAAAATGAGAGAGAGTGAAATTCAAACATCGTTTTGCTGGAATAGTTGGAAGGGTAGGCTATGATTGGGTGGGTAAGATGAAGTGGCAGTTGAGGAGCTGAGTAGGTAGGTATCAGCTTCAGATGTTGGATGGCTTGAATCACTAATTCAGAAGTGGTGAGAATCTAATGGTGCAGCTCTTATCAGCGGTAGCATGTCTAAAGCTAAGATATACTCTGCCATTAGGCCCTTCAGCTCCTCCTTCGATCCGGATCACACCGCACTGTGGGATGGGGTATCAGGTAAGCGTCTTTGATCTGACCAGTAGAAACAGATATAAATGAAGCTCACCTTTTTATCACAGAGGTCAAGGGTCTTCAGGAAGTCGTTTTCAAGTTGCGCCTTCGTCCTGATGTGCAAAAAAATGGAATAGTAGTTAGAATCACTCTCTTATGAGTACATAAAATGCTGAAGGCTAAGATAACCTGCACTCACACATCAAGTTTGGAGAAATCAATTGTGTATACGGCGAGCTGGATATATGGAGAGTTTGAAGTTGATGTTAGTTGGGTTCTGAAAAGCAGTTTGGGTTGGACTGTGCATTATCATAGGCGGGGCAAGAGGTCTAATATTGTTGGTGGCTACTTACCGTGCATGTTTTGCTGGTTAATTCAACAGAGTGGGTCCGGCGGTTATCTTGATCTAAGAGCCGTCCATGAGCGTCAGTGGGGATGTCGGAGAACGCCCTAGCCGTTGGGAAAAAAAAAGAGAAGTTGTAAATAAGTACACTCAGGTTTTTTGCAGACATAAACAGGCGGCCGAGTGTGCAGGTCTGTGGCCCATCAATGAAAGACACACTCACTTGATGCAATCATCTGGTGATAATTTTGCTGCGCGGTCAGCGACTGCACAGGTTGGCAACCGGGCCGGAAAGTCGGAGTCCCAAGACTTGTACCTGTCGAGTGAACGCATGCCGACATGGAAATAGGTTTGATCGAAATCAAATCCACCGGTCTGTAGTGTTAAGTCGTAGAATTCACATAGATTTCAGATGCCAGGTCAGTCATAGACCCACTGCTGTCTTGACTGAACAAAGAGTAAATGACTATGTATGCAGCTTACGTTGGGACATTGGTCAAGGATTTTGCTGAAACGCTGTTTGACTTGGGCCTTGCTTCTAAAATTGTGTTTGTGTTTATGAAGAAGGTTAATAATTTAGAAAGACTGGTAGTGAAAAACCCGGCTGAGCTCACATCGGAATACCCGAAGTATTTATGATAGATATCTAGTGAATGTCATTGAGTTATGCATTAGGTGGACTGGGTGGGTGTTCAAAAGATATACCACAGCCGACTTACATTGCATTCTCCGTAGGTGTAATCTACCTGCTTGGACAGTGGGTTGAGGGTTTGGTGGGCGTCGGCGTCGTAGACAATTTGAGAGATGGCTCTGATTAATTTGAAAGACGATGATCCCAACAACAAAAGAGAGTGTCAGTTGGGCTACTCATTATTGAATGAGAGGAAAGCAAGGCAGCCTGCAATTGAAGAGAAGAGGAACGTACCTCATACATTCCTCCTTGCGAACAGCTCTGTGAGCGATAGGCCCAGGATAGCACGTAGTTGCAAGTGATTTACCAGCGAGCAGAGCGACCAGAGCGATGGTGACAAATAGGTGATGGTAATTACTCATCTTGGAATGAAGGTGTTGGTTGAGTGAGTGTGATGGCTTGAAGAGATATGCAGTGACAACAAGTGAGATGAAAGAAGGAGTGTCTGCAATACGATGATTGTTACGCCGTTAATAATTGCGCATGGATGGTCCATCTTAAATAGACCCCAACTCAATAGTTGGGTCCCAAAAGAGTGGTTCTACCAGCCAACTAGCCAATTTTCAATAGCTTTCCATCCTGGACGGAATACATCTGTTGCAAGGGGTGACCATCAGCCACTAGGGATGAAAGAAGCGGACTCTGAGTTCTGGACCTTGAATGCTGCTACCCTCCTGGAGTGGAAACTCCAATCAGGCAAACAGGGTGTTTGACAAAGCGCCAATTGCTTCCCAGCAAGTATGATCCTAGGGGTGATTGGACGACATTGAACCGTTTGGAAGAGACCCTTCTGGTGTCATGTTTGCATGTAGGTACGAAAGTCCTGGACCAACACAACCGCGCCAGTGTTGTGAGGGTCCGCCTACTACTCTCTTTTCTCGAGTGGCTTTAAGTGACTCCAAAAGGAGATACCGCCTATATCATGAGAGGTAGGGGTAATTTATCTTATACAAATAAACTCTTAACGTGAAGGAAATGTTTGCAATACGATGTCTTTATTATAAGGGTCGAGAGTAATGATAATATGGAGAACAAAGATATCGCACAAGAAAAAGAAAAGAAAACAGGAACAAAGAAGAATCAAAAAGGACTATATATATAAAAGAATTATGGAAAGAACTAAGTATTCGTTCGTAAGATAAAATAATCAAAACAAACAAAACTAATAATAAAAGAGATCAATTTCGGTAACAACTAATCAAAAGATAATTAACCATAACTCGTCATATCATCACCATAATTAAGTCACTAAAGAAGACATTAGTTAACGAGAATCTCAAGCGTAACAAGTGTGCCACGGAAAACAAAAACGAAAACCAGCGGTGAATCCAGTGCCAAGATGAATGTACCTGGGCTAGAATGATCTGCAAATTTCACCAAGCGGTAAGCCGGTCATGAACATACACCGACCAAGTAACTCAAAGATTTTCGCTTAGGGTAGGGCGGCTGAATGCACGATTTCACCAAATTGCTATTGTATGAACATTATTTGTCATGATGTTGAATTTTTCTTGAGGCCCACAGTATATTCATATCGATGTTTCCATTATACAAGCGGATGATGGCCAATAGTCAATCTAACAAACCAAATTCCAACAAAAGGGGGTCGTATCTGTGCAGGCTGATAGCACTTGCCACTCAAACTTTATCAAGAGGACGATTGAATCCACCTCGTCTGGTAGAAAATACAAAGCAACAGTAGATTAGCTTGAGAAAAATACTAGCACAGCAACAAAAAAAGTTTGGGCTTGGGCTTGCCTATTCATGTATTGCCTCCATGTCCTCACTTTCACCACGTCAACCGTCCCGGCCTCATTGTTACCGGCGACATGTTTTCCTTTGGTAGTCGTCAAGGAAGAGAAGCCCATTAGACGGGCCATTTTGGCCTCTTCGTCTTCATCATCAACGTTTGGATCAACATCCATCGCGTTACCGGTACTTCTTTTGCGAGTGTTCTCCGGGCTAGTGCGATCTTGAGGGTAAATTGAATTAAAAAATGGGCTTCTTCAGCTCTCCTGATGGAACTTGATCCGTCAAATCTGACGAGTGAACTAACCTCCCCCTTTTCCCCCACTACTGCGCCTACTTGGACCCGGCGACCCACTGGGAGAGCGGGAGCGACTACGTCCATGGCGCGACTTGTGGCGAGAACGATCAAGCTTCCTGGACCTTCCGTCTGGACTTCTTGAGCGGTCCCTGTCCCTGTCCCGGTATTCGCGATCACCAGCAGAATCCCGGATTGAGCGATCTGAGTTTCGGTGCTTGCCATCTCCATCACGAGTTCTTTCACGATAACGATCTCTGTCTCTATCCGCGTCCCTATCATAACTTTTTGAGTAATCTTGTCCTCGGTCTCGGTCTCTTGTTCGATCGCGATCCCTGTCAAGGTCCCTATCGACGTACTCTCTCCCACGCTCACGATTCCGCTCTCCGTCTTTGTCTCGTCCATCCCGATCCCGGTACCGGTTGCGATCTCGATCAGAATCTCGAGTTCTTGAGGTTCGCTCGCGATCCTGGAACGAAGATTCTCTCTGGTTCCTACTGTTGCCATCTCCTGGTGATCCCGCTCGCGAGTCGTGCCGACTGGGCCCACCCCGCATTTTTGATATATTGTAGAGTCGACGACAAGTGAAGGACTGATCGATTGGAAGCCTTTGACTGGTGGTAGTTGATGATGAGAGGTGCTACATTCGAACAGCACGAGGCGGCGCGGGTGGATGGGCCTTCCCAGCGCTGCGGGAGGGTGCTCGCGCCCCAGAGCAGCTCCACCGCGGAGTGCAAACTGTGAATGTGCCGGCCCGGGCCACACTGGCACCGCGGGTGCAAAGTCAAATTGCAGATCCAGCCCTGAGATGACATTGCCCCAAGGCCATCCCCGGCCCCAAAAGCTATCAAAAGAGCCACATTGGCAGGCTGTTGTGATAGTAGCTGTGGCTCCCTTTTAAATGGATGCAGGACACACCTGGGAAATTTTTTTGTGTGATGTCCCCAGGACACCAAACTGCACGTTTTATGTAGGGATGCAAATTGGGAGCCAAATAGATTGGGGATGTAAGAATTGCCCCAAGCAGCAAGTGTTATGGAATTCCAGTGAACAAACACTTTCTTGTGTGAAACCCAACCATTGGTCAAACACCTTCCCTCAACTCCTCTCACACAATTTTCCATCCGCATTTACCTGCAGTGCCTTTGTTGTAGGCCACACATGATTTTAACTTCAAAAAAAAATCAAGATTTGAGATCATCATGATTCACACAAGCTTTACACTCACATTTTACAATCCAAAGTAGAGTTGCTTTTAGTATGGCTCACATGTGCATCTTGAATAAATTCTCCCAGACTTTGGACATTCACATCCTCACCTGTGTATGTACATTTCTCTACATGCAAGATCATCCCACAGAGATGAAAATTATCTTTCTATCTCTGTGAAGACACTTACATGCATGGTATTGGCTAGAGTTTTTAAGTAGCTACATAGCTTGCTTTAAATTAAAACAGTGGGTGTTTACTGCATCAGATAGAACTTAGTATCCACATGTTGGTTGAATTTAAAACCTCATACAAAAAGGTAAACAGAAGATTGCTACCAGTTCAAAAAAAAGACTGCTTATTCCCTCAGGGAGGATCCTGAAAACAAATTATGGACCCAATGTCAATGGCTTTCAGGGACTTATGTTGTGATAAACACATTTCTTGAGTAATGTTTCACATTTCTGTGAAAGAATCAGCCAACACAGCCTATAAATCCAAAATTCCATGAACGGAGAATGCCACACTCAAAAAGGCTGGCTTCTGTCATCAATGGGCAGCCACACTACACTACTCTAAAAATCCCACTAACATTAGCGTAGCAGCCTTCAAAACAGTAGTTTTAATGCACTGTTAGTTCCACTACACTGTGTTATGCCTGTAGTGCTAGTGCAGCATAAATTCTGCCACAACTGCGTCAAAACTATGTGTTCAGGCCACACAAAAGGGCCCACTAGACTGAACTACAGTACATCTTAGTAGTTTTTTGACTGTTTTTGCTGCTAAAAGCACTGTAGTGCCACAGTGTAGTGTAGAGATCGTTCGTTCGGACCTGGGTACCTGTTTATACCTAGGTACCTGTTCATTTTTTCAAGAAAATAGATACCATGTACCGCACCAGACACCTCCCGGGGGGTACCCAAGGTACCCGTTGCAGGTACCTCAGGTACCCCCCCTCTCTTTTTCACCTAGTTTCACTCCCAGAGTCCCAAGTCACTTTATTGTTATTATTATTTTTTCATATTTATTGTAAAATATCACTCACAAGTCACTTTTTTGGCATTTTTTAATATCTGTTGTAATATATCTACATCTGATTGGAAGAATCTTACTTTTCTATTTTTTTCATATTTATTGTAAAACATCAGTCCCAGATCACTTTTTTTTCATTTGTTCATATTTAATAATTTATTGAAAAGTTGAAACTATCTACAACTTATAACTAATTGGAAGAATCTTCATTGTCATCCAAAACCATCACCATCCTTTTTTATTTTTTGTTAGACTTCTTGTTATCCTTGAGTCCCTGTTTCCATGCAGCCAAGGTACCTTCTTGGATCTTGGAGTTCTTGGAGTAGAAGGCCACCATCATTTTGATTTTTGGTATGGAAGTGAGGGGGTACCTAGGTACCTGTTCAATTTTTCACAAAAATAGGTACCAAGTACCGCACCTGGCACCTCCTGGCGGGTGCGGGGCGGGTGCGAGGGGTACCCCCCAGGAGGTACCAGGTACCTGCAAAAAGTACGGACGAACAATCTCTAGTGTAGTGTGATTAACATTGGATTAATACTACAGTGTTGGTACAGTGTTTTGAGGGCTGTTATGCTAATATTAGTGGGCCTTTTAGTATAGTGCAGCATAGTGGCCCATTGCTTCCTTTCCAAATATCAAGATATTACTCTTCTCAGTTTTTTGTACTTGAGGAGAGAAATCACAAACCGGCTGTTGAATAGATTTGTGAGCCAAAGCAACCAAACCACTGCACATACTTGCCATCAATTACCCTTGGATGGAGGATGCAGGCCAAATCAGCACTCACAACAGCAGTGGGCCGCTACGCTACACTATGCTATGGGCCCATGTAGCGTTAGCGTAGTGGCACCATTTTTTTTCATGTAGTGTTAGTGCACCGCTACGGCTGCTGCACTATGCTAATTTGTAGTGGCGCTAACACTAGCCATTTTTTGGGGGAGTGTTAGCGCGCCGCTACGCTACAGCGTTTTTAGCGGCAAAAAACACCTAAAAATCACTAAAAATTGCTGTAACACAGCGTAGTGGGCAGTTTTTGGAGGCCTGTTTGTGTAGCATTAGCGCAGATGGGGGAAATCGCGCTAAAGCTACGCTAAACGTTAGCACAAGTGTTTGCCCCATGCGCGTAGCATTAGCGCAAAAAATGAAAAAAGCGCTAACGCTACGCTAAATTGTAGTGATTTTTTGCTATGCTACGCTACGCTAACGCTACAGTTAGCGTAGCTGGCCCACCGTTGCTCACAAACAGAGCCAATCCCGGACTCCTGCAAGTGAAGCACTGCTTTTGAGATGATGGAGCCTTTTGCATTTTAGATCATATCTTTTAACCTGCAAAGAGTTTTGTTTTCAGCATCACTACTATTCCAGAAAACCGGTCATAAATTATGGATCACATCTGTATACCATGATCTCTCCAAAGTAATGTTTATTTGTTGTCCTGGATACCATTGAGAAACCAACACCAATCCGTACTTCTGCATGTCATATTCAGAAAGAATAATTGACATCTACCAGGCTTGGCTTGACTTACACACAAGAAAAAATTTCCAGTTTGATTTATCTTGATATCAATGCTGAACAAGCTTGCACTGGGCAAGGCCTTTTATGTCCAGTCCATGCAATCAATGCTTCCACACTTCACTCAACAAGATGTGGCATCTTGGTGTGGACTTGTGTTGTGTAGTTTTTACTGATTTACATACTCCATTAAACCTCTGATCTGAATATTGTGTGTGGATCATATTGTTACTTGTTGTATTTGTTGTTGTTTTTATTGTGTTTATATTTACGTCATAAGAAAACTCAAAATCAAAGAAAAAATGAAAAACGAACAAAAGAAAGAAAAAGCTCAAGCAAATCAATATCAGAAAGAGAGACAGAAAATAGAGAGAGAGAGGAAGAGGGAGGGAGGAAGAGAGAGAGAAAGAGATGTATGTATGTGATGCACTAACAATAAGAAGGCAGAAAAAAAAACAAATTGAAAGAACATTTTGGGCTTGTTGCTTCCTCTACTATGTTTCTTTGGTCTCTTTTTTTTTTATGAAAGACACAAAACAAAACAAGAAGAAAGAAAGAAACACACCAAGATTTATTCACACTTTTTTCTTCTTCTTTTTTTTTCAAAAAAAGATATGGAAGTATATATATCTACACAAACACGCAAGATCTGATCTATAACCTATATATATATATATGTATCTAACTACTAATTTATAACAAAAAAAGAGATGACTTTTGCATATATTTTTTTCTTCAAAGCTTTTGATTTTCACAAGTGAGCCAAGCCAGTGATCAAGATGATGAGAGAAGAGTGAGGGGGGGGGGGGGGGGTCAGGAAGGGGTGAAGGGGGAGAGGATTGTTTGAGGTCGAAATTAAGACTGATCTTGATTGAATCGATCGACAGTTTTATCCTTGACTTGGTCCAAGAATCCTTTCTTCGAGTCCTCATATTGACCGACTGGAACACCTATCAAGCCATCGAAAAGAGATTAGAATTCCTCTTGTGGCAGCAGGAAATCAAAGGGTTGATGGGGACGAACTAGATGAGGCACCAAGGCCGACGCCTTTTGAGTATTGGGCCGCTTGTACTGGGTCGACTCTCCCGTTCCCATTGCCTAATCCTTCGCCCTTTTGCCAGCCCATTTTCTCCAACATCTGACAGACGAAGAGGGGGTGAAGTCGATTAGCAGAGCAAACAGAGGATTTGAGTCGGGAGGGAGATCAGATGAAACGAGAGAAGGATGTCTGACCTTACTGCCGACATTAGTGGCTTGGATCCCGTCTTTATCTGGCTGGGCAGCGGGTACGGCGGGAGCAGGGGCGGGCTCATATCTGGCCTTCTTAGCCTCGTGTTTGTCTGCGTTAGGCGCATCGGGCTGCCCGTAGGCCTCTCTCCTTGCCGCCGCACGATCGGTGTACTTGGCTCCACTGCCCTCTGCCGTCGCCGACGTGGTGGCAGCATTCGGGGCGGGAACAGCGGCTCCTGGGTTGTTCAGCTTTTTCGCCAGACTAGCCGCCTTCTTCGCTCGCGCTATCTTCTTCAGTTTCTCGTTCTGTAAATTGGTCTGGTAGAATAGCCGACAGATATCAGTTTGTAATCTTTTCCCGATATCATATAACACTATCGATTCTGTGTCGACCCAAGAGCCGCATAGTCAGACTTACTTTGTGAAGGTTCGATAGGTTATTGTGTCTTTGCAAATCCTCGGGAGATTTGAATTGTCTTTGACATAGTACACAAGTCAAGCGATTGAAATCACTAAAATCGTCTTCATCAACGACCTGAACGACATAGGAATTATGACACACACAGGAAAAGCAATCAGTTGATCGATAACCTGAAAGAATCCCCGGGAAGAAGGAGAAAGAGGCGAGAAAGATAGTAAAGGATGACTGACAAGGTGTTCAGGGGCTATGGTGAGATGAGACTTCTCCTCTTCCGATGTTCCAGCAGAAGCGATTTCTTGATGTTTGCTTTGCCATTTTTGAATGTTGGCGACCATCTAGAAGGAAGTGAATGTAGGTTTGGTGAGATGTCAACGATGAAGATCAATTAAATTCGTTCGGCATATATGTTAAAGGGGTTTGTTTTTGAAGAACTTGGTGTGAACTCTCTCTCTCTCTCTCAAGATAAACGAAGGATCCCATTTCGAAAATGTGCATCATCATCCTTGTCGAGCGAGAGGTTTTGGTGAGGGGGATGTTGATTGGGGAGGGCTTGGGTGGAAATGATTACCAACCTTCTTAGTTGCGATAGGTTCAACGCCATTCTTTTTCTTCTCAGTCTTGATTTCAGCGCCTTATTGAATCATTGGCGATGATCGAAAAAAAAAAGAAGAAAAGGTTTGGGTAGGTAATGTGAATGAAGAAATAAGAGCAACCGAGTATTCTCATGTGAATCAACTTGTTCTTTCAAAATACTTATATCTTGGTGATAAACTAGGATCTAATAGAACACATCAAGGGCTGGACGGACAGACCCTTTGGCTTAGAATTCATGTTCTCAATTTGTTGCGAGCCTCCTTCTCCAGGGTTGATGAGATCTGCTTGAGTCTTCAGTTCTGCCTTGAGATTCTCGTTCTTCGGGTCTTCAGAGGTCTGCGATTCCATTGTCAGTCTATCGCCTGTGTTAGCTTCACGGTTATTCAAAGTGTCAGACTTGGCTTGATGCTTGAATGAGTTCTCTTGGTCAATCGAGATTTCCTTCTTGGTTGAATTTCTTTCCGATTCAGGATCAATAGATGTAAGCACTTCATCCACATCAGTCTCTTCATGTCTGCCATTGCTGGCTTCTTCTGCTTGCTTGGATTCTGTTGGTGCCTTGGTCTTGCTGCTAGTCGATGGAGACCGATCGGGTTCTGCTATAGGTGAGATATAAAGAGCTGCGTAAGCTTTGTCATCCCAGTATGCCAACTCTTGGCCACTAGCTCCTCTGAACGACCAATCTGAAGGGGTGTAAATTGGATGGAACGAGTGCTCATGAGCAAAGGTGACGGTGATCGTGCGTGATCTGATCTGAAACCCTCGAGGGAATAAGCTGGTATTGAGTAACAGTGACAAAGCCTTGACAGCGACCTAGAGGACAGACGGATAGAATAAGGAAGGAAACCGAAATCGGTCGAGAAAGGATGGTGAGATGGCTCAGAAAGGTTAATGATAGCCATTCCACCATATTCAACAAAGACGAAGAGGATGTGATACAAAAAACAGACCTGTACTTCGGCAAATTGAACAAATGCATAACCCCAACTGGAACGTGTGGCCCGATCCTTAATCAGCATTACTTTCCGGATCGACTCGGGCAAGACAGTCTGAGAAGGATCGGGAATGTGTTGCAAATGTTGAGCAATTTCCTGTTCGGTGGAAAGCGGATCGAGACCTCTGAGTAACAGGATCGAGGTAGGTGTCCCGCCAATATCTCGGGCACCATCATTGATGACGGTTGTTAGTGAGGACTCTGAGGATGATTTGTACGAGTAAGTGGATTGATTAGGTATTTCACTGATGAAGGGGGTGGCTGGGGTGCTACGTGGGGCGAGTTCACGCTCTCGCTGTCTGACTTCGAACGGTACTTTTTCCTTTTGACTGTAATCGATCTTGACCTTCAAACCGTCACCGGATCGATCGAACCTCGAACCACTAGGCTCTTTCCAGACCACCATCGGGAATGCAGGTTCGACGAAGGCCCGGGCATGTTCAACACTGAGGAAGCGAGCAAATCCATAGCGTTTGCTCTGGCCGGTGATCCGATCATAGATTATCGTCACACTATCAACCGATGCACCAGATTCTTCGAGGAATGCTCTGAGATTGGCTTCGTCGGTATGGATCGGCAGACCCATGAAGATGACGGATTGGGATGGAGGGGACTTATCCTTTGGAGGACCGTGGTTGAATTGACTGTTGGGATCATAGGTTCTTTGTGGGATGTGCTCATGACTACGAGAGGCTGGCATACGCTCATCATAGGCTGGTGGACCGCTGGAGGATGAATGATAAGCAGCATGGCCAGTGACCCCGTTGGAGATGCGGCCGATTGATGGTGGCAAGTGAGAATCAGCCCGAGGACCAGAAGGGGGATACGGATTATAACGGGCCGAACGGGATGCAGGAAACTATATAGTGGTGAATATCATGGAGGGGGCGTAGAAGCGATGTTTGATCAGCAAGGTGATTTTTTGAGGAAGTGGGATTTGTCTATTTCTCTCTTTCTGTTCTTATTGTTGATCATCATCTTGACTGAATAATAGTTTTTTTTTGTTCGAGAGAGAGAGATATTAAGAAATACTAACTTCGTCTGATCTGCGATGGATATGATGAGTATTGCTCGAGTTGATTGGGGTAGTGGTGCTGGTATGATTATTATGGTTATTGGAAGAAGGATGATCGTCATAGGCCTTATTGCTGCTAGGATTATTATTATTGGTTGTAGTGCTACTCCTGTTGTGCTCATAGGTCCGCCTAGAGTCTTCAAAGCTCCCGTTGGAGTGATTGTTTTGGGCGGTGGTCATCTGACGTGCTTGGATGGTTCTTTCAGGGTAGTCGATTCGACGAGGTGCGCTATTAGGTTGTGATCGAGATAATCTATCGGTGGATGGTGAAGGAAATCGATGATCGGCTGTGCCAGGGATGTTCTGATGGATCCTCGTGCTGCTAGTCTGATGATGGTGGTGATAGGTTGAAGATGGATATCTTCGTTGTTCGAATTGAGGGTGAGGGTGTGCTTGGTTGTGGTGGGGATGTGATGCTGCTGTTGCTGTTGAGCTTGGTGGTGGTGGTGCTGCTGCTGCTGTTGAGCCTGTTGGATGATGATGGTTATGATGGTGGTGGTGATGGTGCCGTTCGTCTGGTCTGATTGGCAGTCTGTCCTGGTAGGTGGTTGAGTTAGTTGAGGAGCGGTCGTAGTCGAATGGACGAGACTGTCTGATGTTTTCGTTTGAGTGACGATGATACATTATCATTTATCTTTTCCTTGTCTTCTTTCTTCTCTTGAAGTGCTGATGACCGGTTTCTGTTGTTGTTGGTTTCTTGTCGGTTTTCCTTCCGAGCCGACCAGGATGCCCACTTGGGTTTATCCCTCCCTGGTTTCTGCCCGTCAGAAACAGCAAAAAGTCAGTTTCATAATCGGAAAAAAAAAAAACGAGGGGGTCTGATTATGTAATCGATCAGCCACAACACAGCAACCATCTCGAAGGTGCTAGAACAGCAACCACGTTTCAACAACCTCACAACTGTTATGGATGAACGTCTGCCATTTCACCAAGAACTCTCTATCCAACAAACTTCAGGAAATGGGCGTGTGGAGGAAGAGGAAGCTGAGGAAAGGAGCTGGAAAATTGAAGGAGCTCATGATCGAAGACGAGACGGACTATCCTTCGTTCAAGGATAGTAACATCATTCTTGTACATCTAATTAATCAGCTGATGAAGGAAAAGGAAAGGAAGCCGGCCAGAAGAGGGGAGAAGGAGAGAGGGAGGGGGAGATGAGACTGAAGAAAGCACATCAAGGTCATTGAAGGGTAACTCACCAAACAATTGAAGTGCAAGAAGAAGGAAAAGTAGTTGTTAAGGATGTGTTGACGTTGAAGACGCGAAGTCCTTATAATCAACGACACCAGAAACGAGTGGGCAAGAGGATTATTAAAGCCTTTCTTCTATCCTGAAAAGCAGTGGAGATCGAGGTGTTTATAAACCAGCTGAATGTACAACACCAATTGTTGTAACACAAAACCTCAGCAAGCTCCCGACCCAACAACACCGCCCCCCTAGACTTCAAACAACACTGAACATGTAATAAAAAAAAGGAGTATCCGAGAGGAATCTTGAGAGTTTCAGAATGCTACAATATAAACCAAAAAAAAAGAAAGAAAGAAAGAAGGAAAGACAACAGAATGATTGTAGCAGAGCGGGTAAAGTGATGATTGAAACACGCCTTCGATAAATCCACAAGATCATGAGGAGATGATGTCAAGAGATTTCGATCGAGCATCCCTGGTTCAATCCAAGCCATCCCCAGTTATTATGTTGTAGCTGTTGGCTGAGACTCCGACCACACCCGACCATAATATTATGAATAAGGGGATGGAGGAGTCAGTGCGAACCGCGATCGAGATCGGGCTCGATCAAACCTGTCTCCGAGCAAGCCGGCCATCCCAAGCACCCTGTTTTTTTGTCTTGTTTCTCTTGTTTTGGCTCGTCTGCTCCTCTCTCTCTCTCTGTTAAACTCAACCCGTCGCAACGACGTCGTCCGTCTCAACATCCTACTGTCCTCCTTTGGCTGGCTTGATTTTGACAAGAAAATTTCTGATACATACACACTTGCCCTATCTATCCCGACTCGTTCCGTCGATATTGCGTCCCGTCCACATGAAGCTCCCTTGAACACCCTTGATAAACACATAAAATACGTATATTGACATAAACAACGGCTGTCTCCGAGCCATTGGCTCCATAGATAGGCTCTTCCGCAGGACCAGCTCGGTGTCGTTTCGGCGAAAAAGACCTCCAATGGGAGTCATCGCTCCACACACTTGCTCCAATTAGCATCTCGCTATGTAACTCCGGTCCAGGTGGGGCCCTGGATGGCTTGATCTGTATTTCATCGACAGGCTTTGTTATGGACAGGCTTTGTTTATGACAAAAGCGCCGTCCCCCAGATCTGCGGCCAACCAACTGATCCAACTCAAAAACAATATTGAACTAAACTTGAGGGGAGCGGTTCTGGTGGAGGGTGGAAAGAAGTTTGAGCATGAACTGCGTCCAGATATATCTATCCCTCGCTATTACTGGCTCTGTTTGAATTGTGCCCCCGTTCCTTCCATTGATCTAGAGCTGCTCGAGTGTGGCAAGCGGATTTTAGCTGGGTTTTTAGGGACTTCGACCGGCCGCATACATCCATAAGCTATCGATGGAGGCAAATCAACCACTTGTTGAAAATATCAGGCCGTAAGATGAGACTGCAATGTCCGCTTTTCATTGCTCTCATCGATCAGGCTGGAGATCCACCAATAAACTCAAATCGAACCGAATCCTTTTTCTTCTTCTTCAGTTATTCTTTATAATCCACATATCATTCAAACGAAAGCACCAATATAACATATTTCTGGAAACCAAGAGTCCAAGAGATTTGGATTACAAGACTATCTAGTGGCTGCTCACAGAGCAACAAGACTATAACATACAAATTCCAAATTATCAAGAGAATTAAAAATGTGAAACTGATCAAACAAAAATGTCTTTGAGATATTATTTAGTCGGTGAAAAGATTTGGGTCTAGATTTTCGTCCTGACCAGGGAAAGTTTCATTGGAAGTATGAGACGACTGCGGAGATAGCGACAGGGAATCGAGCCGGGGCCTTTTAGTGAACTGCAACGGGTCGGGGTCGGGGCCGACGACGAGGTCGATGAACAGCTTGCGCTTATTAGATAGATGACCAAAGCTGCCAATCTCCTCGTCAGAGTCCAGCTCCTTAGTGAGGCTCAAAATAGATGGCTTCATGATCAAGGTCTGGATGTTTTCCAGCGTTGGATCGACGACGAGGGCCTCCAGCGGAATTAATGCACTCTCCACAACGTGCATCCGATACTCGCGGGCCAGGTAATACATGTGTTTACAGGCGCTACCGTAGCGGATGTAGTGTTCGCAATTACATCGAGTTAGTTGGCCAATAGAACCACGCCCGGGTTTATCGATAGTGATCGCGTAGGCCCGCGATGTGGGGTTGGTGAACGAGCTGATGAAGAACTGGAGGGAGTTATATACCGGGTGCGTGAGTTTTACCAACCATATTTTACATGGATTATGCCCTGTAAAAGGCATACCGGGTAAAAATATTGTTTGTACGGTGAGAATGATAATTTTCCACGGGATCAGGCCTTGTGTCAGTCCATGTAAATAATCCTATGTGAAACATACCACGGGAATTTGCTATGAACAGGGCTTCTAGAGAATTTTGCACATTATGTTTCACAACCCTTGTAACACCACATCTGTAATTTCGATGTTTCAGCTCATATCAGGAGATTTATGTTGTACACAACACATGGCTTGTTTTACAAGGCTGTATCCACTGGAACACTCCACCAACATGTGGACGAAATTGAATTTTGCAGGCCTCAACACTGTTGTCACACTGGAATCATCTGTGGTATAAGCCCTCCGTTTTCTCTCTTCCCCCTCTATTTCCCTCATTTCAAACCCGGTTTTTGCTTACCTAGCCAGCCAAGTCCTCCCTACTGTCACCATATATTTTTTATTCAGTATCCTTAGGGTTGACCATGTCAGATGGGACCAGCGAGCTCAAGGTCACATCTCAGCTTGACGCCATCGAAGCCGCCGACTTTGAGCCAATCAAAGGCAAAAAGATATTCTTTGCCCCTTCTGGAAATGAACAAACATTTATCGACCACGACTGCAAGCTGGATGATGATGGATATCCAATATATCCTAATCGACAGACAGTTTTTGTCAAAACCCCAGATATGGTGGTCCGCAACTTTGGATTTGTTGGATTCACAAAGACCTCAAACGTCGAATGGCGAGCGGATAGATCTTGGAAAATGGTCCGAATTTCCTGTCTTGGGGCCTTGATTTGCAATGAGCCCGGATGCCAGTGGGTAGGGTCACCGCCCACTGCCAAGGATGCAATAAAGGAATACTTACAGACGTAAGGAGATTTCTTTGGTTATTCATTGCTTTTGGTTTGTTTGTTCTCAGTGCTGAACAAGGCAACCCACCAGAAATCCCAAATGCCCGGGTGCTGCTGGAAAATGTCCTGGGAAAGTTGCACACCAAGCCTGCAACAACACTATGACCCGGTTTGATGAAAACAAACTGACAAATTGGGCGATTCTCCGACACCATGGCATCCACCACCACCCATGGCCAGCTCCAAAGAAGCCGGACCCTCTGTCGAAGCTCAAGCTGAAAAATGAAATCATGAAAAATCCAACTGCTGGTGCTTTCAAACTCAAAGTGAGTCCCTCAGATTCTTCTATCCTTGTTGTTTGCAAGAATTGTGAATTCCAGCTGATACATAATTATATCGGTCCTCTTTAGTTAGGCAAACCCACCGCTCCGTTGAACCCATTTGAAAGTGTGACCAAGATTCATGATTCCTTTGTGAATAGTGATCGAGTGCGTTACCATCGCCGTCTTATCCTAACCGACCTTGGTATCAACCCCCACAAGGGGGGTGCTGGGCTAGGTGATAAATTTCTGCTGGATATGTTCCAATGGAACCAGTAAGTTTAGTCCATTCAATTTTTTCCAATTTAACATTGGCTGATCCATGGATTCTAGTGTGGGTCTCCTAATTATCTCATCATCTTTCAAACCGGGAATCGAGCACTTCACATTTCAAACAAAGTGGATGGCTGAACGTTTGGTTAGCCGCGATCACAACAACGAGGTTTACGGTGGCGGTCTCCTGTCAGATGTCACATACAGACTATTTGAGACTGGCTATTTGTTATCTACATCCATGTTCTGCGAGGAGACGGCTCGCTGGATCCCGGTTCAACTCTCCTGGATCCGAGGTCTTAGCGCTGAATACTACCAAGCACACTTTTCAACACTCTTCGAGCAGTTCGATCGGCCTGGATTCACGGTGAACGATCGTGACACCCTTGTTCGACAAGTGGTGGATTTCTCCCTTGCTCAGAGGGAGGGATTCATATCGGCTTACATGAAAGTATTCCGGGTTACGGATCGACAACAGGCCCTGTCAAAGCTGAAGGGGTGCCATGAGCACTTCCGAGCTCAAGTTACCCGTGTGAAACGAAATCGGGCAGTAGTCCCACCTGAACAAGAGGTACATCTTTTTGACTTCTGCTTGATCTTTTTTTTTCTATTTCCCTTTTCTTATGGCTGGTCTGACAAACAACAATTGTTTTGCAGGCTCAATTCCAAAAACTTTGTCTGGATCTTTTGATTTTACCCGAGGCAGGTAAGCCATGTCACGAGCAGAAGATTGATGAACTCCGACGACTCTTCCCAAAGACCAAACGATGGTTGGATTGGTGGACCATGGTTGATATCGAAGCAATTCTCTTTCCATCCAAACGTGCAATGATCACTGAGTCGGCAAACGGCAAGGACAACCTCCCCGATACCACAAATGCCCAAGAGAGTATGCACAGGTTGTACTATATGATTAGGTGAGCTTTTTCAATTTTTGAACCTATTCATATCACTTGAAACTGACCATCAGAGATTGCTTTGAACCAATAGTGAAGGCAAGAAGTGTCTGTTGATTGGCATGGCAGAGCTTTTTGCATTTGTCAAGGCCCTCGAGGATGACTGGCATGCAGTCATGAGGGGAGTATCGATCGAATACGGCGCAAAGAATAAGTCTCAACAGGACCTAGCTATCTCAATCGGCTGGCAGAAACCACCCAAGCGCAACCCGGCCAACCGAAAGAAAGTTGAACTTAACGATGGTCGGGCCCCTGACACCACAGCCACTCTGCTTCCTCAGCCAAAGAATGTTGGCGGCCGTCCGAAAAATTCTCACAATCTAATCAAAGATCCATTCTCAACATACATCTCGTACTCTGCATCACAGGATTCAGCTAAAAAAAACCGCTGCTGGTTGGCTGCAGCGCTGGAAAGTCTGTATGCCATGTTCAATCCGCTATGGCTTTGTGGGACAAATGGCCTGAAATCCGATATCTTCACCACACTTGTCAAACATTTCAATTCCAGAAGCTCCTGGGAATTGTCGCTATCAGGTCACATTCGGTCTTTCTTATCAATCGGCCAAAACTCCTTACATGCTGCTGCTAACAAAATATCGCCAGGTTGTTTCAACCCTGGTGTGTTTTGCTCAGCTGATCTGTTCATCGACCTTCTCATCGATCCCCACATTAGGAAGCAATCAAAAACGATCTATCCTCCTCGAGACCTCTTTACAGTGACTGAAGTGCGCACAGCTACTTGTGAACTTCAGCCAGAGGTTGACCAAGTACATCCTCGTGGGGTTCGAGAAGTGACTGTCCTACGAATTCAGAAAGAAACATTCGATTCAGCAAATATCGAACCATTTTCGGTCCAACAGTTGATTTCGGTGTGGACTACGGATGGCATCTCTTCAGTATCGGGTCTGTGCTGCAAGTTATGCCCTTCAACGAAGAAGCAAGAAGAGCCTCACCACATCGTCGAACGGTCGGTCTTCACAGTTGAAAATGGTGGGCCACCCCAGCACTTGTACTTGTTGGTTCAGGTGTCATCAATATTCGACGAGGCTGATCAGCAAACATTCATGGCGGGATTGGATTTCCCTTTCCAGTTGGAGTTCCATGGGGTCTCATACACCCTGTTCTCTCGAGGCTTCTGGAATGGGGTTCATTATTGGTCCAAGATGCTCAAGAACATCGGGGGGATCTCAGGCGTTTGGATCCACGACGACCGAGAGAATGGAGGTATTGCGCGGCTGATCAGTCCCGATCATACGACCATTGCTGGACTTGCTGCCCACACCAGCTGGGTGTTTTACTCAAGACCTTGGAATCGCAGCGAGGAGAAATTTGTAGAAGATAGCATTGCCAAGATCACCCAGGATAACAAGGGCGCTCCAGGAACGATGCCATTTGCCCATCTGGGTCAGCTCCTGAGCCTCTCACCAAATCGACTACTTCCCGCGACAGAATATACAAGCACAGCAATGTCGGCGGGTTCCACAGTTTCAAAAGGAGATCCTAGTGCCTCATTTACGGCAGACCCCCCTGAAGATCTTAAACGCGAAGTGTCCGGCCTGGAGGATGTTAAACGCAAAGCGTCCGGCGAATTCAAGATCCGATTGAAAGTTTTGAAGCCTAGCAACCCAAGACAGCCGACTGAACAAGATAATAATCACACCAAGCTGAAAAATGCCGATCAAAAACAGCCGGGCAAATGCGAGGTTAAGAAGGTTGGAGAGTCGAAGAGTAAAACTAGCGTCGCAAAAGCAAAGGTGATCAAGCCAACACGCTCAGCCACTCGAGCAAGTACCCGAAAAGCCTTGCAAAATTGACCATGGGAGGATAGGCACGCAAACGGGTGTCTTTTCTTTGCTTTTATATTTTTTTTGTGATAGCATCGTTTCCCTTGTAAAAGTCTGGATGCCTTGTAAAAATCTCATGGGGCTCCCGCCATGGGCGTTTTTACGTTGCTAGCGAATGAAAAAATACATGCCTTGTGAAGCATCCTTGGGAATTCTGGTGCTTTTGGGCCTGAGGTTCTTTTTAACATCGCTTTTATTTTGCGAGGCATACCATCGTATGAGATTCCATTGTAAAATTACACTTCATTGGCCAAGCTGTGAAATTTACAACCGATCTTTTGCAAAGTTTTTTTTACAAGGTAGGGTCAAATGGTGGGAGCCTTGGAAAATTATGAATCACTTAGGGCAAAAGAAATTTTCACGTTGGATCTCTTTTACAAGGCATAAGCCATGTAAAACAAGGGTTGTAAAAATCAACCCCCCCGTTATATACTTATATCAGGCCATGTGTTGAGTTTTCATGAGTAAATTATTTTACGATCAACACCACTCACATGAGAAGAAGTCCTGAACATGCCTATCCCCAAAAGATCAAGGCTGGCCTTAGTATAACCTTCTGAGACGGTCTTCGCCTCGAGCTGGAATCGACTGGTTTGTTGCCGTCGGACTCCCAATTCTACTTGTCTCGTCAACCATTGGTAATGCATCAGGACCTCGTCCACGAGGATCTGCAAGACTTCATCGATCCGTCGGCTTTCCGTAGAGTTGAAATAGTCTGAGGCCAACACTCGCCGCCAGGCCTTGGTGTAATTATTGGTGAATATCCCTTGATGGGCAGACTGAAAAAAATATATACAACACATGAGTCAGCTGGAAAAAGGAAAAAAAAGAGCAAGAAGAAAACTGTAAGACTTACGGTCCGGAAGAAAACAGCCCAGTGTACAATGTGTTCCTGCCACTGGGTTTTGACATGTTCAACAAACTCGGGGCATTCGGGCTCCCACTTGATGAAAAAGGATTTCAAGAGCGGATCGGGCGAGCTAGGAGAATAGACGATCTGCCGGAAATCGTCGACAGCCTCTTCGGCACGATCCTGCAGAAAGCTTTTGGCCTGTCTCTTGAATGCGTTGAGCACCTGGAACAAGCACCAATAATGCTTGGGTGCTTGTTTTCCCAGATCGCTGTATATCTCCGATACGGCCTTCGTCACTGCCAGGGAGTAGTCGCTCATGACCGCCTGGGGAATCACGCCCGTGGAAGTCCGAAGCCAAGCGAGCACTGTTGCAATGGGCTGTCTTTCAAACGCTCATGTTTAGCATACATCAAAAAAATCAATAAATATGGGATGCCGTCGAAGGAGAATGGGGCTTACTCAGTCATTGAGGTGGTTAAGGCCCATGCAATGGGAAGTCCTTTCCCCACTAGGGGGTCCCTGATCATAACAGTGTACAGACACACCTTCTTACCATTGGGTGAAAAGCAATTCTTGACGGTATTGTTGGTACTACTATCAAGCATTAACAGCCCACGGCCATGTTGGAGCATCTTCTCCCTCTGCCAAGGGGATTGGCAGAAAAATATAAAAAAATCCCCGGAAGGACCGGGTACCGGGGCCATCGTAGTCCACCGCTCGTTGACTAGCTCCCGGTTCCATATCGAAAGCGACTTGAAGACATCAGGATCCCGCTGTGCACGACCGGTCATGTTTGAGTATCAAATATGTTGATAATATCTTGGTATTCAAATCGATAACCCTCAGGAATGTCGCGGGTTGGCTACAAGTATTAAAATAAGATAAAGTATCGGACAGGGATCAAATGAAAAAAATGTCTAATGTTATAAAGGATGATGAGGGGGCTGAAGGATTGTTCATATGAGCACAATACAGGCGCCTTTTCTAATCGACACGCATTCTCTGCACAAGTCTGACTATCAATGGGATGAACTGGCAACCTTTAGAGATAAACCCTCTGTCGTTAGATTTGATGTTCACAAAGCTCCCGATTTGGACGAATGTGAGAAGATCGGATTGTGATCTTTCGCTTGTTTGTTATGAGGACTCTTCCTTTTTTGGAGGAAGATGCTTATTTTGAAGTAAAAGTCTGTAAACTTGTTAGCGTAAATCCCGATGATTGGTGATAAGATCTGCCAAAGATAATCCCAGTCGGTTCCCACCTACCCAATAGGAAGAAATCTCCGACTTGAGACTGAGTTACCCGCTAATTATTTGATGACCGCGACTCATGTGAAGTTGGCAGGAAACCCCTTAGAGGTGAAAGATTCAGCGCTGAGCCCGGTGGTAACTATTAACAATCAAACAAGGGATTCCAGATACAACTTTGCTTTTGAGATGATTCGGTACCCAAACTATTTATAGGTTGAGTGACGCTCGGCATGGTGACAGGAGGGATGAGCGGAGTTGAAGTTGAGGGGATTGATAGATTGTCTTCTTGGGGGGTTGTAAGGCGATCTTCTCTTGGTTTAGAGTAACACCCATATCCTTATCAGCGGTGTGACAGTGCTTATTCTGATGCTCATTGCTGACGACGACCGGAACAATATTTGGGGTGGGTTCTGAGAATCTGATCTGGGTTTGCATTAACGTGGTCCCCAAACCTTGTTTTTTTTTCAGCATACAAAAGTGCGATCGTCGGTAAGTTATGGCGGAGCTCTCGGCCGACGGTACATCTCACAAGTGCATATGTACTATGGATATCAGAGCTAATTCTGCTCTAAACCTTTTCTGCGTCGATATTTGTGGAGATGGAGATGACCGTCCCTAAAAAGTTTACCCACTGTTACAAGATGGGAGTGGGTGACGGCGTTCTGAATCAAAACACTATTTAAAGAGAGCTCCTTCCCCTCCATCCCCCTCTTGCTCTTGCTCTTTCTTCTCCATCTCCCTCAGAAATAGACAACTCCACGACCACAACCCCGCCTGCCCAAGTCATCATCCCTGTGCCTCCTGACCGTTGCCTCAGTGCTCAACTCATCCTCCTTTCGCCGGATTTTCACCCTTTGCTCTTCTTAAGCTGTCGAGGAGAAACGCGTCCGCTTGTTGACCGCCTGATCTCCTACCCCTCTCCCTGCTCTGTCCATTCTTCCCTTGGTCATTGAGAAAATCACCGTAGATTAGGAATTTGGTCCATCTGACCGCCTACCAGCTTGTCTTTGAAGTTTTCTACTATTTTTCATATCCCCTTCTCCAACCATCCTTAAGCCAAGCTTGATCTCTTGACCTAGACAGGACACTTTCCCTCATCTTCTCTCGTCGATCAAACCCCCTTCATCTCCCGATCATCATGTCAAGTGTAGAGTCAGCCGCGACTGTTCAACCAGTGATCAAGGATGTCCAGACCTTGAAGGCCAACCTAAAGGAGCAAGAGAAACGCGCTCGGAGTGAGAATGAAGTCGAAGAGGTAGCACCTGTCTCGGTCACCGACCAACAAACACCAGTTCAGGACGATGCTGGCGAGCAAAGAAAGCGTCGAAAGGTCAGCAACCCCACTGGGCCCACCAAGGAATCCCAAGAGCCGCTCTTGGATGGTCCTCTCCCTGCAACCTCCACCGAGTCGGTCGAGCCCTCTAACGGCACTACTCACTCCATTAACGGAGCTGCCAAAACCGAGAAGGATGCCCCATCGGCAGCACCGGTTGCGGCAAGCCCCTGTGCTAAAGCCACCGAGCCAGCTCAATCACTCGCCCCAAAGACGACGGCTCCGGAGGCAAAAGCTAGTGCTCCCTCCGAGGAAAATAAAAGTCAAGCCAAGGCAGCCAGTGAGTCGCGTAATTTCGACAGATTGATCCCTCTGAAGTCCTCTGATCAGTTGTCTTTCATCAATTCAACAGCTGTTCCCGCACCAACTGAGGTAGCAAACGAACCGGCTGCTTCTAATGATGAATCAAAAGTAAGCTATATATCTGTTGCGCTGTTTATTGACTTGGCAACTTCCCGCTGACCGATTTCCTCTCTTCGTTGCCAGACTGAAACGGCCAATCACGAAAAGTAAGTTTTGGATATCGTCCATCTTTCACTCTACGATTCCGGTTTACTGACTGGAGTTTCTTATTCTGATCATTAGATCCGATGCTAAAGCTGCCCATCCTGAAGCTGGCAAAGCGGAGCCAGCAGTATCAACCGAGATCAAAGACAAAGCTCCCCAGACCGCCGCAAAGCCTGCCGAAGCCGTTGCGATCACCGCCTCGTCTTGAAAGATCTCACATACATTTCCCTCTCGGACTTCTCATGTTGTACGCGCTCCCTCTTCCGGGTGAAAAGCCATCCTTTGTTTTTCGCAAATCGGCTCGTGCTATCACTTTTACGTTATCCCAATTATCCCAATCTGAAATTGTTCTCTCCGAATGAACTTCTCCTTCCCCCCCCCCCCCCAAAAAAAAAAGAAAAAAAAAAAACTGTGCGGCTTCGGGGCCTGCTTTCCATCTGTATTATTTCTTTCTCTATCTAAAAGTGAACTAGTAGAGTTTTTGTTCCTGATCTTTAGCTTTATACAATTGACGTGTGTAATCACCAGAGTGAATCTGTTTTTCCTTCAAGAAAATATAAAAAAAATGTATCTCAGTGTTTTTCAACAAAAGAAAAATACCTGCTTTGGACGTTGGTACGCCAGTTCTATGTCATAGACAAGTCAGCGAGGAACAGCTCGAGGTTGGTTGAAATGCAACAGAAAAGGTTAGTTGATGTGATCCAAGAGAACGCAGTCGAAGCTTGATGGCAAACTGCCCATATCGGAGAGGACCAAGCGACACTCTGAGAGGGCGAGCAGAACCGGTTGAGTGGAGATTGCGAAAAAGACCAAGTGAGAGTGCCTCCCCAGACCAGTGATTAACTGGGAGGGCTGGTGTTTTGGTGCCGATAGTATCAGAGGGCTGGTAAAACCAGCTCAGCAGACAGCCATCCATCTGTGAGTGCATTGACTCTCTTGTGTACCACCAGCTGCTTGCTCCGAGTGCAAGGTACTCCGGCTTGTAGGCACACATCTTGGCTATAAATACTGGGCCACTCAGCACCAGTTTTCCATCTTCCTTCATCCTCATCCGTCTTGAATCACCTCTGTTACCTACTCACTGTTCCTTCCTGCTTAGCAATCACCCAATCTAAACTGCCAGAAATAACCTACTCTGTTATCTACCTACTATTCTTGCCTTCTTCCTTATCACTCATTGCCATCACTCCTTGCCATCACTCCTTGCCATCGCTCCTTGCCATCGCTCCTTGCCATCGCTATTTCCCGTTGCGCCTCAGCACCTTCCTTAGCATCACTCTTTATCATCACTCCTTGCCTCCTTTGACCGTCTTCCGTCCCGTTCAATCAATCTTCCAAATCCGCATCCATGGAGAACTCGCAAAACCACCTTGGTGCGGCCGCTACTCCCATTCCGAAAATCGTCAGCTCAGTGCTGCAGGAAGCTTCCACAGTGGATGTCACTTCGTAAGTCACACACATCTGACAGCTAAACCTTTCCAGATGTGCATCCCTTCTAACAATCACCCTTTTATCTTTACAGCCATCCAGCTACTATCAATAATATTACTACTAATCGAATTGGATCATACCAAAATCTAAGCATCCTCGACGCCTTCTTCCATCCAAACGATTCACAAAACAAAGAGGGAAGCGCGTTCCCTCAGACACGCCTAATCGCCGTCGCCGCAGCCGTCATTTCCGTCTCGTTCTTCGTGGCCGTTTGCATCTGGGCCTGTTTTAGACTGCGAAACCAACGTAGGTCCCTTTTTTTTACATGCAAGAAGCGGTTCTTCGTCGTTGAAAGTGTTAAATAATCTGACTGTTTCGTTTGTTGTTCATGCAGATCGTTCTGAAGCCCTTTCTCTGCCGCACACCTCAAGACCCACTACACACATTGATCTCTCCTCCCCGGAGAAGAGCGTTCCATCCACAAAAGCTGACTTCATCGGGAGTCCAAGCAGTGGTTTCGGGACGAATACGCCCACTACCTCCACATTCTGTGAGGAATTCGACTTCGTGCCCGCTGTTGTGCCAGTGATCCACAGCCCTACGACAATCATGCATCATGGAGATATCAGCCCTTGCACCAAGGGTGCCTATGGCAGTCCTCTCATACGGGCGGGTTCACAGTGTTAGTCAATTCCCCGCCGTGCTGCTGATTGCTGTCTAGACTTGAATGCTCACCAATATGAATGGTAATCATTAGTAGATCGAATTCCCAGCCGCCCTGATTATTTGAACTTTGTACCGAGGGTCCTGCTCACTGGGAACCTCCTGCCTCCGCAAGCAGTGGCAGTCTCGGACTCCAAACTGCTCCACTTCAACGTGTCCCACGGAGTGGCGATGAAAACCCTTCCAGAGCCCGCTCCCTGCAAGATGAGCCCGGCGGAGGCCTCTACTGAACTCGAGAAGCTGATCCAGCAGGTCAACCTTCGGATTTTCGAAGACTTTGACGCCGACGACAGCTTTACAGAAAGTGACAGTTCATCAATCCCGGAAGGCCTTTCGGGACTCACGGGGGATCCTCTACCGTTTGGTGGTGCCCAGCGTTTGATGCAGCCACAGTTACTCTTACCTCTCCCACTTCCCCTGCCCCGTTATAACTACCGGAAACTTACTCCCCTCCGTCAAAGTCCATCCATCGTGTGAATCATCCAGCCCACATAATCTTGTATACCCATGAACCTTGTCTGAACCAAAATGAACGAAATAATGCTATCCTTCACCATAGTTCGCTCCAGTTAATGATTCCTCAAAGTCTCATGTAGTCTGGCTGCTCACAAGACTTGGAGAATCCACGGTGAGTATCCCTGAGCTTTGAGTATAATGAGCTCATGCTAGAAAGCAAAGCTCCTTTTCAGATTGAAGTCTTGATAAGTACAGAAAGCTCAGAGGCTCCTGCCTGGCTCATTTTGCCAGCAATTTGATCACCACCTTGTCGGGCGCGTTAAATCGCAATAAGTTTTGAGTCCGAGACTACTGCTGGTTGCGGAAGGACCCCAGTGTCATGAGCAAGACCCTGCCAGTTTTGGAATCCAACTTTGGTACAAAATTCGAATGGTCAGGGCAGCTCATCCAGCTGGGAAATCGATCTACTGAGAATGACCGCCTTGAATCTCGACGGCTCAATAGGCAAGCTCAGGTTCATTGCGCGCAGAAACCACTGGCCGGTGATAAATTTCTTGGGTAAAAAGTTTAGATAGCTTGAGTAGTCGTGAAGTCTCTCAACTGATAGTTTCCATCCAAAGTGCTCAGAATTTGTTCCACCAATGTTGAGCAAACTAACCTTTTTTGCACTACTAGAGCGTCCCACCAATGTCGACGTTTTGTGATAAATCTTCGGCGCATTTGGCATGTATTTAGGTCGATGACAACACAACAAGTCCAAGATTGACTTCTTCACAAAACTTTGAATGTGGAGTCGCTCCTACATTATGATTAGCCAGTGTTTGTTCCACCTGAATCACGCCGTCCGCGGTAGAGAACTTTGAGAGTAGCACAGGGAGATTTCTCTGACCAGGAACACTGACGGCTTCTTTCTTCGGTTTGATTTTATGTAATATCCCTCGACGCAAGTTTTTTGATCAGTGTTGAAAGTCCTACTATCTTTTCTTTCATATTCTTATTTTGTAACTGCTTCCCAATGATCATCTGCTTACCGTACTACCTTTCAGACCGCAATGGACTGCTCTCTGCCGTTTTTCTTTCTGCTTTTTTTTCTCCAGGTAATGTATTGTAATCACGGTATAGTTCATTCTACTTGTGACTGCTTTTCTGGTGTAGTAAGTCAAACCGTTTGAACTATGTAGCTACAATAGTGCATTGAAAAACCGTTCAAAGCCTGTGGGATAGAACATGAACCATGTCTGTTTTCCGGCCAACTATGGAGGATGTCGGCGTACAGTATCTTTCAGCCAAAAAAGTCCTTCAGATAAGGTTGCAATCGTGGGTTTCAAAACCTACGATTTTTCCCATTGCAATCTGTTTTTTTTTTTCTCGTCATTTTTCAAGATGTTGGACCACTCCTGCTTGGGGTTTTCCCTTTTTCCATTGGTCTAACAACTTTTTGCTTGCCTGCCACATTGTACTGAGAGACCAGTGTTAATGGCACAATCTGAATTACACAACCCTCTCAAATTACATGTAGGAATGTCAGTACTTTCACTCAAATTATACCTTCCAGGTAAACTCACAAAATTCGAGGAAAAGAAATTCAATGTACTACTGCATCTTTCAAGTTCACCACAAGATAGCTTTTCTCAATTTTTTTTCCCCCTTATATTGTACTTTCACAGTGGAACATCAACGAGGCTTCAACTTTCAAGGAAGGCCCTGGCCAACTCTTGAGTCTTGATGATTGAAAGGAGACCAGAATGATGTACACCCTCAATCTTGTGTTTAGAACGGATGTCAAACAAGTATGGAAATGTTTCAACTTGTTGTCCAATGGGTGTATCACACATGTCTTGAGGGAATTTTTCCTCATATGGTGTGATGGAAAGAAATCTATGTAGATAGTGAAGTTGCATTCACATGATATCAAGAAAACTAAAAAAAAAAAAAAAAGAAAGGACATTTCTATTACAATTTGCAGCTTCCGAAAAAACAAAAGGGATACGTTGATGAAAAAAAAAAAATTGTAGATGTTAAGTTTGTCGATATAAGATTAGGAGGCATTTAAAACTCTATTAAAGTGAGAAGGCAATGATTTTTGGCATGAGCGAGTTTTTTCCATCGACCTAGCCGATGTTCTTGTCCAAGACCTGTGGAGATAAGCAGCTTTTTGGGGACGGATTCGCGATGATTATCGCCCTCATTCGAAAGGATGATGGCGTGTAAGCTGTTGACAAAGCCGGGTGATTGGAGGCCGACATCTATTTGACCAAGGAACTCGAACTTCTTGATGTCTGTTGAGCCCCTGTCTCCTTTGACTAGTCTCCATATCTTGACCAGTCCATCCCATGAGCCCGAGAGAAATAAATCGCTGTATGGGATGCAATATAGGGCGGTAACCCATCGCGGTTGATTGATAATTTCGTTGGTCGTTCCCGTCACTGTTATCGCCTCGGCCCCATGCGCTAGAGATTCAGTGAATACGGGTTTCTTTTTGCTAGTTGTCCATAGACAAATCGAACTGATTAAAGGAAAGATTAGTTTGACTGGGCAACGATATGCTGCAGTTTGGAGAGGAGACAGTCGTGATCTCTAACTTACCCGCTGTCGCCACCACTAAGGAACAACTTATCATCAACCATACAGACACAGTCAATGGAGCCCTCTGCGTAGCTGGCGGTTGTTGTTGGTCTGGGTTTCTTGGATTTCGGATCGTCTGGCTCTTCGTTCGGGTCGAATCCAACGCCGTCGATCAGGTCTCTCATCTTGCTGTTCCCACCGCCTCTGAAAACCAATTGACTCTCGTCCACGATTTTCCAGTACCGACAGGTCCGGTCTCGACCACCAGCAGAGACCACAAACTCGTTGCGAAGCGCAGAGATCGAGTGGATTCGGTCTTGGTGACCGAATAAGGTTTCGGAATACGTCAGGCTTTCGAGGTTGAATACTTTGATCATTCTATCATACGACGCCGAGTAGAGAGTGGGTGTTCCCGCTTGAAAGGAAATCGACTAAACAGAGAAAAATTTCTTATTCAATTTGGAGACTTTTTTTTTCAACAAACTGATTTTTGTAATTGAACACCTACTGAAATCACATCCTTGTGGCCTCGAAGACCAGTCTTCCATTTGGATGACTGGCTATCAGTCAAATCCCAAACGCCGACCAGCTTGTCTTTGCCTCCACTCGCTAAAATTGTCTCATCTTCCGTGATGTCGATTGTCAGGATTTCGCCGATGTGTCCATCTTGAGTTCCAGGTGCCGCGTTAGATAGAGATTTGATCTTTTTAGACTCTTGCTTCTTTTGAAATTTCTCTAGATCTGAAGATTTCGGTGGAACGTGATTTTGCATTACCCTCAGAGGTCGAATGACTCCAGCGTGGAGTGTTGATTGCGTAGTGTCCACAGGCGGGGAAAAGGTCCAAATCTGACTGCAATCATACTGTACAATTTTTCCCTGCTTGTCCGCCACATATAGATGGGAGCCGTCCTTATTAAGCTTTGCGCAAGTTACAGGTAATCGGTGGTGCTGCTTTCCAGTTTTCCAACTAGTCAGCTTGCAAGTCGAATTTTCAAACGCTGTTTTCAGCTTTTCGCCCAGATACGTATATAGTTTGCCTGTGGTTTCAAGCTGGTGATTCAAAGTTTGCCCTAGTCAGGGATGTCGCTAGCTTTTGGAAGAAGAAATGTTGTATATTTGGAAAGAAATACGTTGGACGCACATAATCTTGCTGAAGTCGTGAAGAAATGATCTCCCTATCAATCTCAGCGGCGTCAAAGGTACCTTCCTCGGCTGAAATTCAGGTCAGGTTTTGATTGTGAGGTTCATTGTTTTTTAGAAAAAGAAAATGGAGTGTGATGTTAGATCATGGAAGCCAACGATAGAAATTTTCACACTTGTGCAAAATCAGGGAGTTCCACCAATAGTACCCACGTTGTTTACTTGCTTGGAGTCGATCGAGATAAACTTGTGCCAACCGCAATCTTTTCTGGGCAGGAGTTTCATGTTCCAAGTCCTCGTCCTCCTCGGATTCTCCTCCTGCGTCATCATCATTCAAATCGGCTGAAAGGCCATCATCGCCATCGCCATCGCCGTCTAGATTTTCTTCTATCTCTTCATCGAGTTCATTTTTCTTTTTACTCTTTTTGTTATCTGATTGATTTTTATGATTGCTCTTCGATTTGTTGGTTTGGATTGTTGATTTCTTACGATTCGGTCGTTTACGCTTGGTACTGGTGTGATCTACTGATTTGAAAAACGGGTCCGCAATATTGGGCATGTCTGTTGGTATCTAGGGAACCTCGTTTTGAAGACTTCTTGACTGATTTTCGATTTTTCCTTCGAAGTGCCTATCTTGGTGAGGTTCCAGGCGTTTCGTTCGTGATATTGTTGCTGATGATAGAATATGTGGTATCGGGCTAGCTGATGACCAGTTGGCTGGTGGTTCTCTGCGCTGAGCTCGAAATCAGAAAAATATCATTTTGCATTATCCAATTCAATTTGCCATTTTCCATTCTGCATATCACGCTCAACCTGGGCTCGCACCGTTTCCTACATAGCTCACCAACGACCCATCCTCTCATTTATCACAGCCCATGCTCATCAGAATCAAGCTAATCAACTAGTCCTCCACAGGGAGGGCCTTTCCATGCCAGTAGAGACCTAATCTTGTCTCAACTCAGAAATCAATTGTGGGAAGATTTCAGATTTTGCCTGAACACCTGTTTTTTTGTGTATTTTCCTCTCTAGGTGCTTCTTCATCCACATCTGTGAGATTTCCTTCCAAACGAGGGAAAGCCTGATTCTTTTTCATATTGCCCTCCATTCATGTTTTATTGCTCTGGTTGCAGAAACATATTATATCTATTTATCAAAAGGCTAACTTTTCACCTCAAGTACTTCTTTTGGTTTACATACATTGGTTGAGCAAACCCCAAAGAAAAGCTGAAACCTTGATTTCAAAAAACAATTATTAAATCATCTTGTGTAATGATAACTCTGAATTTTAATTGGATGGAAGTCCATTCTTTGCTAGGCTCCCTCTAAGGTAATACCCACCATTGAGGTGGATAATGTTGGAATTCCAGTTCTCAACATAGCCCTCGAAAGAGGAGAGTAGCAGGTAAGCCTCACACTTAGATTGTGAAGCTACCTAGAGAATCAAAATCTTATACTGATCATGTTTATTCGATCATGTAAAGAACATAATTTATGTAATAGCATTAAAGAGGCACGAGTATGTAAATACGAGTAAGAGAACTAAGAAGTAGATTGCATGAGGAAAAAGAGCATAATCATCTGTATAAATACAAGGCTATTTATACTACATGATTATGTAAAAGGAAATACTCGTGAGAAACAAAATAGGATGAGAAACTAATGTCATTAGGATTGTCTGTCGAGACAGTCGTGAGTGAGGTTCATGACGTCTACTGTAGGTATACATAATATTATGTATTACGCTACAACACCCCCCCACTCGACGACAATCCTTCTTGTACTATAGAACGTTGAACTTGATGAATTGGAGCACTGAGATTCTTCGTAAAGATGTCGGCAAACTGGTTTTTTGTGGAGACCCATTCGACCGAAATTTGCTTTTCTTTAAAGGCTTGATTAGTAATGTAAAATTCGCGGTCTGTGTGCCGGACCCTCTTATTGGATGTGTCGTTGGATGAGATCTTGACCGTTGCCTGATTATCACACAGAATTTTACCAACAAACCAACAACCGTACATATCGAAGAGTAAGTTCCTTATCCACAACACTTGTCGGGTACAATGACCAAGCGCCATGTATTCAGCGTGAGCCGTGGAAGAAGCAACAGTGGCAAGGCGCTTAGAAATCCAGGCAACGGGACAGCCAAGATGAAGAATCACCAAACCATAAGTGGATCTAGAGAACTCACCCCCCCAGTTTGCGTCAACGTATGACAAGAGATGAGGATGCGACATGTTCGGGAAGAGACGAAGCGGTAGGTCCTTCGTTGTCGCAAGGTAATTCACCAAAGTCTTCGCTCCATTCCAATGCGCAGCAGAAGGATTCTTTGCAAAGCGGGCCAGGAAATTGACGGAGAAGCAAATGTCAGGCCTGGTCCCAACCGCCAAATAACTTAACATCCCTACTAGGGACAAGTAACTGGATGGGTTAATACTTTCTGCTTCAGAGTTTGTCAGCGGTAGATTCCCGGTCGGTAACGGCGTCCTACTGGTAGACACCCCGTCCCAATGTTCGTCAAGGATTTTGTTGATCAATTTTGGTTGCGACAGTATGAAACCAGAATGATCTCTGACGACAGATAGGCCTACGATGTCAGTAAGAGATGTCTCCCATTTAATGCTGAGGACTGCTGACAAATCTTTCTCAAGCTGTTTCAGGACTTGCACTGTGGGTCCCGTTACTATCCCATCATCGACGTGAACCCAAATCGATCCCCCCCCATTCGCTGGTTCCACTAAGTAAAGGCTAGAGTCGTATTTGGAAGCCTTATAGCCTAAACGCTCCAAAGTCTTCGCCAGGTGGTGCCACCAGCAACGGGCGGCTTGTTTGGTGCCGTAAAGTGCCTTCTTCAGATGGCACGCCGTTCCCGGAGGGGAACCCAGGACTTCTGGAGGAGCGACCCAGAGATCTTCGTCTATAGGAGAGTTTAAGTACGCGGCAACAAAGTCAAAGGAGTGTACAGGCCAGTCATGTGCAGCTGCGAAGGACAGTAAAAGACGCATAGAGATGAAAGTGGCAGTAGGCGCAAAGGTCTCACTATATTGAATCCCCGCTACTTGTGAGTATCCTCGCGCGACGTAGCAAGCCTTATAGCGATTGATGGTGCCGTCCGAATTGAGTTTCTTCGCAAAGACCCATTTCGCTGTCATGACCTTTGTGCCCGCAGGAACCGGCTTCACATCCCAAACCCCCAAGCGCTCGAGATTGGCTAACTCTTCCTTGATTGCCGCCAACCAGTTGTCCTTCTCGGGACACCGCATTGCTTGTCGGTAGTTCGAAGGTATGCCTGCCACAGAGAATTCCGGAACAGTCGTCGTCACTAACTCCACCAGTCGATCTTGCGCGTCTGCCGCTTCTTCATCACGGAAGTCGCCGATGCTGGGAAGCTCCATCTTAGCCAGAGAGAAATGAGGTGAAATAATTGTTGTTGGCAAGGGATGATGTCGGAAAGTAGCTATGTTGGAATTGGCAAAGGAGTTTGTGTGTGGCAACCAAAAACACCAACCCTTGGAATCGGGCAAAACTGCGACAACATAGCCTGGGACGGCCCGTTCGTCGAGCTTCTTCCTTTTCTCAGCATCAACATGGACATACGCCATGTCGCCAAACACCCGCGTCATTTCAAAGGTAGGTTTAGTCCTAAAAAAACGTTCGTACGGAGTGACATCCCCGCTCGTCCCGTTAGGGATTCTGTTCAGAACATAACAGGCCCATGTGAATGAGAAGGCCCAGAAAGATTTGGGTAATCCACTCCCTAATAAGAGGGTGCGCCCCATGTCTTGAAGCGTACGGTTGAAGCGCTCAACTAGCCCATTCTGTTGGAATTCTGAAGCCCCGTGCCATTCTCTCTCCTCCTTCTTCTCTTCCTGTCACAGTCATGTCACTCTCTTCTCCATCTGTCACCATCCTTCTCTCCAGTTCCAGATGAATATCTAATTTCACCTTCTGTCCCACAACTCAGCCCATACTGTATGTAGATAAAATATTCATGCTCCAGAGTTAAGAAATGAAAAATCATCTGTCTTCTGCGCCATTTCCCTGAGGTCAATAACAAATACAACCTCTTGTAGCGTGTACGCTTTTCCGTCACGCAAGCTAGCAGACTCTAGCCCCTTTTTGGGCTCTTTAGACCATTTTTTTCCCTCTGAGCTTTTTCCTCGAGGATTTCATCTCCTGGTCTCTTCCCCCTTTCTCTCGGCAAAAATCTTGAGTTTCTTCACATTCTGGTAATGGTGATAAGCTATTGCCCGCTCGGCCCGGATGCCCTTCCCTTTCAGATAGTCCGCTAGAACAAGGTTGTTGAATTCTCCTCCATTATCGGAGCGCACAGCCTTTAGCTGCCTGCCCGTCTGTCGCTCCAAACACGTGATAGTGTCGATCAAAAAACTGGTTGCTTCAGACTTGAAACGCAGTATCTTTACTTCCCCATAGCCGGATCCAACATCCCTTATGGTTAGAATGTACTTGCCCCCCCCGGTTGCTTCTACCTCAAACGGGCCAATAAGATCAACGTTCCATAAATCCATGGGCAAGAACGTTCGTTGGGTAGAGGAGAGAGAATGTTTATGGACGCTTTTGGCAATCATACAGGTTGGACAATGAATTTGACCCGGCGGAAGGGTCTGGGGAAGGCCGAGACCTACTTGGTACTTGATCATCCGCCGGATGACCCGAAGACTTACGTGGCCAAGCCTTAGGTGAATCAACAGGAGCTCACGCTCATCGGCAGTAAGCTTTGGGTTGGAACCCGGAAGCCGGACAGCTTCTGGGACATTATAAACGAACGGAGCTTCATTTTCATGTTCAGCAGCACGAGCACCGACGACGGTTGGAACATGAGAACTATGTACAGTAGGTAAACGGACAGAAGACAGGGCAGTAGCAGGTTTAACAGTAGGGACAGAGGTAGGATAACATGAGGCCGAAAGGGAAACAGGAGTATTGACAGGGAGAGGAACAGGAAAAAGCCACTTGCGGCTGCGCGGATTCAGTACACTTTTAGCCCACAAGACATGACCAGAAAAAATGTTGAAAGAGTCGTCACGGCAGTCGTAGGTCATCGTAAAACCGGAGAGTCGCAGAGCCGCAGGAGAAATGAGTGTGTTGGTGGCATCAGGACAGTAAAGGACCCCTTTAAGCTCGATAATGGTTGAATTCGGCCCACGGAAAACTAAAGTCCCGATTGCTGTGATGAAATGAGATTAAGTGTTAGTGGCTACTTTCAGCGGAATTGGTTTAGACAGTAACTGTAGATGATGGAGAGCTGACTTGTCTCCGCTCAAGTGATGAGTAGCACCAGTATCAAACAGCGCTTCGGGAGGAGGAGACGGGAAGCGGAACTCAGCGTTCCGAGCATCGGGGGAGGGTTCAGGGCCTTGTTCATATTCCATGGCATCAGCTGGGGCTTCAGGTTCTTCGCCACTGCCAACCTCAGCCTCGGCCTGGCGAGCAGCGGGGCGCCCTCCAGACCGCCGGTAGTCAGGTCGGTAAGAGTCAGCAGGGCGCAAGCCGGGAGCAGGGTGGACCGGTGCCGCAGGTTTAGAAGGGCGAGCGGGGTTCGGATGACGGTAGCCGGCAGGGGGCGTGATGATGGGGTAGTGGGCGGTGAATTGGTCAGGATGGCTGTGATAGATGTGGGGAGCATTCTGGCGAGGCGCCCGCGGAGGCTCGGTACAATCCGCAATTTGGTGAGCTGTGGACCCGCATCTGAAACAAGTACGAGGCCTATTGTCCATCCGGCGCTCCGGCCGGCCCGCCATCCCATAAACATTCCCTGGGTGACTTTCAATGGACGAACGACGTTGCCCGGAGGCATCCACCGCCATCCCATGGGAGGTCATCTCGCGTTGGCGATCCCGGGCCCGAACATTCAGCCGAGCCTGACTAGCTGCCAAAAGATCAATGATGTGGTCGAACCGAGGGGCGGCATTGTTGTTCCAGGAAAGCTCCATATCCATCCTTTGGTCAAACTCATTGCGAAGGTCCGTACCATGAGGAATCGAGGACTGAAGGATGAGGCCAAGTATAGCATCACGCGAGAGGGGAATCCCAGAGGCCAGAAGATCATCGAAACGCGAGCGGAAAAGGGAAGAGACTTCATTGGCGTTGGTATCAGCTGAGATGGGGAGGTGGAACAGATCGCGCCAGCGAGATAGCTGAGTCGCCCTACTGATAGTCCCGAAGCGACCCTTGATGGCCCGCAACATCGCATCACTCCTCGCAAAATCATAAAGATCGAACCGGATGCTGGCGTCGACAGACCCCAAAAGGATACCCCTGGCCGCACGCTCAAGAGGGTGTCCCCGCCGGTCAGAGACGAAGAAACGTTCATCCCGCAGGAAAGAGAAAGCCACTTCGGTCAGCTCCCGAAGCCACACGCGGTAATTGCTGCCATCGGACCGGAGATAGGTGTCGGAGAACCGGGCCGTCCCATCGCGGATCAAAGCCGACTCAGTTCTGTGATCGATACTGGGGGGTTGGGTACCGACAGGGACTGGGGGAACGTCGGAGACTTCGCCATCGCCCAAAGCAGGTTGACTAATGAAGGTCTCATCATGCTCGTTGTCCGAGACATGGCGAGTTGCAGCTTGGCGGCGGGCACCGGCGCGGGTAGTGACACCAGGAGGGGGGGTACGTTGAAGGGACATATCGGTAGAGAGAAGAAATGGGATAGGGAAAGGGTTTTGAACAGAACAAAAGGTGGAAAAAGGAAAAATATGGAACACGCAAGGTAAACGGGAAAGTTGAGGAAATTTGGTCAAGGGTGGCGGAAAAAAATGGTCGAAAAATTGGATAAGGGAAAAAAAATGAAAAAAGGTACGAGCAGATATAGGAAAGCACACCACAGGAGATAAAGTGGCAAGGAGGAGGATAATCCGATACACGCGCAACCGAGGAAACACTAGCGCTCGTAGATGAAGGGTAATCGAATCGATGATAAAACACACACACACAGTAAAGTAATCGGTTAAGCACACAAACACAGATACAAACACACAGGGTTTCAAAGGCCACACAGGCACACGGCACCCACACAGGGTAAGTAATTCACACTTTTAACACACTAACTAAGTTCGCCACACAGGCGGAAGAGAAAAAATATAACTATGCCTCCTATCAAGTAGCAGAGAGGCTCATAACCTAAAGAGGCACGAGTATGTAAATACGAGTAAGAGAACTAAGAAGTAGATTGCATGAGGAAAAAGAGCATAATCATCTGTATAAATACAAGGCTATTTATACTACATGATTATGTAAAAGGAAATACTCGTGAGAAACAAAATAGGATGAGAAACTAATGTCATTAGGATTGTCTGTCGAGACAGTCGTGAGTGAGGTTCATGACGTCTACTGTAGGTATACATAATATTATGTATTACGCTACAACAAGCATAGCCAAGCGACAAGCTTGTGAAAGAGGAAATGACGTCAATGACGTCATGATTCTAAATAATGATGATTGTCAATCATCGAGCTCTAGGTGAGTCTCAATGATTAACAATCAAGCAGATAGAGTAATCATTAACGATCACTCTATTCGCTTCAACAATCATTATTAGTTCAATCAACCAAAATACGTCGATTACCCTCATCGATAGAATCTCCTCATCGTCTGTCGGTGAGTATTATAGCCTTTCTTTATTTCAAAGAAAGAGAACAATATAACTGACCAAAGAAATGCTTATAAAATAGCACCGTCAACCGAACAATCTAAATAACAACCAACAAAGAAATAACTTAGTCTCAAGAACGAGTACAGTTATTTTCTTTATCAAATTATTTATACTTTTGGAGAAAAGATAAAATAACAAACTAATGAACATGTTTTCTTTTATTCTAGATCGTTACCTCATACCTGTTCGATCATAGCATTTAACCATCAAGTCATTATCATTATTATTTCTTTATCTTACCTAGTTCAGATTCTATTCTGCCTTTAGGTAAAAAGCCTTTTCTCATTTATCAATCTATTGTATTTCACATGTTATAAGAAAAGATGAATTAATAAAGAAATAAAACTTTAGTTTCCAAAATCTTTCAGATAATTGTACTGAAGCACTGATATCTAGATGAATATAAAGACTTTGGGCATAATCAGGTTGGGCATACACAGGCACCTTCCAACAGGTACCATGTATGGGTATGGGTGTCTCATAATTGTGAAAATCACCAAGGATACCCAGGTCTATGTTGAGACAAACAGGGGAGACTGATGACTAAATGTCACTGATGGATTGTATGTGACACTTCAGGATTGAGAAAGAAAGGTATGGTTCTGATTCACTAGAGAATACACATCTAGAATAATCTGTATGAGAACTATATACAAGATTATTCCTACTGTCAACTGACTTGATTGAAGCATATCTGGCAATAAGCATATACTTCAACAGTCTACTTGGTGATTGTTAGCTCCCCCAAAACCCAGACATGTTGGATTTACAAGCTAAACAGTGGCTGTTCTAGTACCCACAGGTATGGGAGAAAAGGGGGAAGGTGGGGTGTAAAACACCTGGAAACCTCCCCTCTGACCAGAAAAGGCTGTAGAGGATGGAACTCAGATGCAGATGAGGGGGTATATCAGACCCCCCCCATCCCCTCTTCACTTGTGGAGAAAGGAAATACTTCCTCCATCCCTTTGAAAAAAATTGAAGAAGAGACATGGTCTCTCTCCCCCCTGGAAAAGTAAATATCATATCTCCCCCCCTGAAAGTGTTGTCTTTCTTCCTACTCATCCAAGAAATGGTGGGTGGGATCAACACTGAAACCGATCTGATCCGATATTTTATTGGTCAATTTATTGGATTAATGGATTGCTTTTTCAATCCCAGGTATCAAAAAAAAATTGGGGATGGGATCACCCTAGCAATCCAATCCCTTGCATATTGGATCAAAATAGAGCGTATCAAACAAGGAGGCATCAGGATCATATTCCAATTTCGATCAGATACCAAGCTGGTATCTATGGCATCAATCTGAGGGATGTTCTTTTTTCCAAAAAAAAACCTCCCATAGATTTTTTCTCGTTCTTCTTTACTTTTGTAATAATGGCAGTTGGAAAAATGACTCCCAAGGATTTGTCAAAGATCTCAAATATGGTTGTTGGATGTTGCCTGGGAGCATGTACGACGAATAAGATGGCCGACTTGGGAGTCAGCCATTGACCATTCATTTTTTTTTTTTTTTTTTCGGGGGGGGGGGGGGCGGGAGTTGGCTCCCCCAAACCACCCCCTCATCGTTATATAACCTCATTTTTTTTGCAAAAAGTTTTCCCCAAGTTGTGTGGAGCAGGGATAGCAGGGTTTTTGCGAGTTGAATGGGGACATGAATTTGTTTGTAGTTGGCAAGAAGGATGCTTTGACCCGGTGACCTTGTACAACCATGTTGGTTTGAGTTTGTATAAAAAGCATCTGATCTAATTATGGCAAGCCTGCACATAGTCATGATATGTAATAGTAGTACACTGAAGATAAACTGATCAAAAAAAAAGCAAAGCAAAGCAAGACAGCATCATTGAGAACACAATTTGTCCCCTGCGAATCAACAGCAAAAAAAAAAAAATTGAGATGACAGTACTGGGAAATAAAAAAACTGATGAAATGCAGGGATGGAGTCAGATACAAAACTGGCTTGTTAGATCAATCCGCAAGGGCCAAACAAACACAAAACAAGACCATCCAGATGAAGATCAAACACTGTGCTGCTTAATCCTTGTTTCTGTCTTTTTCTTTTTTTCTTTTTTTTCTTTTTATCTTTTTTGGATATATGTAGATATGAAATAAATAAGTAAATGGGAAGGTCTTTTTTCGGGAAGAAAACACGAGCGGATGATACATATAAATATGCTGAACAAACAAAACAAAACTAAACAAAAAACTGAATGTCAAAACGATATAGAAAAGCGATCGAGATTTTCGAAGCAAGAGGATTGCAGAAGGAAGCAAGAATTTCACGCGTCTACAGTGTATATCGTTATAAATATATATATATATATTCATGTAGTTCTCCCAAGTGTTTTTTTTTGTGTTTTAGTTTTTAGAGTCCGTAAAATTCTGAGGAATGTGCGAAAGGAACCTGATTGGATTGTTTGTTTCTCTTACTGGTTAAATCAAAAAAATAAAGTAAATTGTTCCCAAGTAATGTTTTCCGCGAGCAAAGTGAGTATCAAGATCAGAGTGTTTTTGTTTTTGTTTTTTGAGATGAACGAGGATGATCGACGAAAGACGAATCAAAAGTCGAACTCGACGATTTCTTGCCAGGGGTTTTTAGTCGGAAGTCCGTTAGGATTCAAGACGCCACTATCGCCGATCGGCGTCGGATGGCCATCTTGGTTATCTGCACATGCGGTTGGATTCCAATAGCCTGGATGGAAGCTGCCAACGCCGCCGAGGTTTTTAGGAGCAGATTGCCAGACGTTTCCGAAACAATCGACTGGGTCGGAGGAGGATGTGAAGCTAGTTGGATGGGCCAACTGGCCAAGATATTGATCCGAAAGATTTCCTCCGACTGGGAATGACCAATGGACCGACGGATTACTTTCTGACTGAGGTTCATGACTGATTTCAGTTGATGTCGATCCAGTCGGGCAGTTATTCTCGATCGGATTGGACTGATCGAATGGGCCCGGCTGGTCAAATGAGCCCGGCTGAGAGGGTGATGAGAGCAGGAGCTGTGATGTACCAGCACTATTGATACTCGGTTCAGGTTCCATTTTAATCTGTTCCTCCTCATCCAAGCGACCCAAGCCTGACCAGCTTGGATGGATCTGGGGTTGACTTTCATACTGCGAGAAAGTCTCCCATCTAGGCCCCACCAATGAGCCCGCTGTCGGGTTGGTGTTTTCTGGCGCACCTGATCCGATCAGAGGGGTACCCCAATTAGTGCAGGTTGCAGGAGCTGACTGTGGGATCGGTCCGATCCCAGCTTCAACTAATCCAAAGGTGTTGGTCAGATTTTTCGACCAGTTTGCGACCCCCAAGCTGAGATGTTGAGGTTGATGGCGGTACCCTCGAGTGGATGGTGGAGGAGGGCCAGGGTCTTCAGGCGGGAGAAGCGTAAGCTCGTTCCAATTCTGTCCTCCGGGGCACCAAGAGCCTCGACGGGCTTCAATAGGTTCCCCATATACGTAGCTTGCTGAAGACTCGGAGGGTTGTGAGGATATCTCCAGGCTGAGCTGAGATGAGGGTGGAGGTGCTTGATTGTATTGAAATGGGTACGCAGGGTTATGATGCGGGTGGGCGAACTGCTCGTGATGCCGTTGAAGGGGAAGACTAATAGACTGACGTGGGCCATTGTTAATCATGGATGGATCCCGCGCAAGATGAGATGGTAAGGATAATTGCTCCAACGCCGAAAGCGAAAGCCCCCTTTCGCGGGCTATTCGTCGATGAATATGGGGTGGAGAAGCGAAAGAAGGCTGAGGAACTCCCGAGACAGACAACATATCGAAATTGGACCGGATTGGCGAGCTAAGCAGATTGCGTGGTGGTTGCTTGGAGGGTGATGCTGGTGTCTGGGATGGCTGTGCCGGTGCAGACTTATTGATGGCCATTTTACTATCAGATCTTGAATGAAGTCGGAGATGGCGATTCAATGTGTCTCTACTCAAGGATAAGGGCAAAAAGAAATTTTTGAAGGAACATTAGGAAGATAGTTCTTGTAGGATAACTGATGGAAGAAATCGAATGGCAGAGCGAAATGGTATACTGAACTGTCTAGCAAAAGTCTTCATGCAAACCGTACAAGAATACGGCCTGGCCAGCGTGTCTAGAGAAAGAAATGCAAGCATTACGTCAGTATGCAGGTCCGGGTTATTATCCAGCGGAAAATGTGGCGGAGGGGAACAGATGAAATTGCAGAACATGGAGCTATCGGTGACTGCAAAAAGGCATACCGCCGACCGGTCGCCCGGAGTAGCACTGAAGAGGACGGTTCAGCAAGCCCAGATGATTTGGTTGCCGCTGCCCCGCTCGGCTCTCTTCTACTCGCATTAAGAGGGCGGCTCGTAAAATATGTAATACATTGTTGAATGAGAAAGAGCCCAACATATCCAGTCAAGTTCAAGCTGAAGTCAGACAGCATGGTTGGTTAAGGAAGTGCTTTTTGTCAAAGTCATGCACTTGTGAGAAAACTGATTGATGCACACAAGGGACATATCCCTGGGAGGGCGGTACTCTTTCATTGATAGAGGATTACGGAGACTCGAGATCAAGCGAGTGGAGTTCTCAAGCAGCGTGGGCAGTCGCATGGAAGGACAACAGAGGCCTACATAAGAGGGGTTTCACTTCCGAAGAGAATGGGCTCCGCTGTTGTACATAGCTCGAGGAGCAACCGGAGCGGTCGGATTCGGGATCGAGCCGAAGTGGAGAGGGAGTGAATCGGGAGTGTTCTGATTGGCTGACCAATTGAACGATTAAGCGCAAGAACAAGAAGAAAAAAAAAAAAAAGTGAAAAAGAAGAACCGCTGGCTGCAGTGGAACGAGCCCCTCAGATCAACGGTGATCGACGGGCCAAGCGATCGACCGTTGGGCTATTAGCACTGGCTGTGGGGCTATGTATGCCGATCAGCGTCATCATCATCATCACGGGGGGAGATGGATGGCCATTATTTTGCAGGGATCGGGAGCAAGAAGGAAAACTGCGAGGCCGGACTGGATGTCGAAGATGTGAGATGGTGGATTTGGACACAGCGATTCTGTACAGAGTCCCATTAAAGGTAATAATAATTTACCCATTGGCGGGGAAGACATTCACAAATCCCTCCTCCAATCTTCCGCTGGCTGCGTCAGGAGAGAGAGTTGCGTCTGCTGGGATCACAATCCGACTGGAGGCTACTCTGGCAATACACGAATGCCCCACAGAGATCGTGATCAATCCACGGGAAGTATATCGGAAACAGAGGCATATACGTAGCTGAAAGATTCCGATGGGTATGACGGAATAATAGAACCGGGAGGGAACAGGCACGGAGAGGGGGATCCACATCACAGATAGATGGAGGGGTGAAAAGGGAAGGACATACGGGTTCGTTCATGGCGTTGACAGTGTTCGAGTTTTTTGAAGGTCATTCCACAGAACGGACATTTGGCAAGCGGCTTGCCGTTCTTCTTGAGCGGCGGATTGGCCGCGGGAGAGGCTTGTTGGCCGTTGTTCTTTGAGATTTCGGGTGTCGATTGAGCAGCAGTCGACTGATTCGCACGGCTCCCGGTGAGCTTCTTCTTATCCGAGCCGGCAGGATGGGAATAGGTTCTCTTGTGGTGATGATTTCCAGTCTTCTGAGCACTGAGCTTCTTCATGGGGGAGTGTGAGAGATGTGGATCATCTGGTTGGCCCGCGACTCTGGTGGGGTGGTTAATAATGTTGTTGCTAGTGTTATCCAGACCATGATTATGGTTTGTGTGTGACTGTCCAAAGTCAAGCGGGGGCCGAGTTGGATTAAAATCACTTGAGATACCGCCAGTTGGATAAGGGGCTAAACTGATTGGTGTACTGATGTTAGTAGTACTTGTTGTTACTTGGACAGTGTTGAGTTCTTGGTTGTTGTTGTTGTTGGAGTACAGCCCATCCTGAGAAGACAGTGACTGACGATGGATGAACTGATGTCCATCTGATGAGGGGGTCATGCTGACGAGAATTGACGATCACCTGGTTCCCGGGACAGCCGAAGGGGAGAAGGGGGCGAATAATACAGAGTAGGAACTTGGCCGAGATGATGTGATGTGGGGAGCCTAAGTTTTTCTTATAAATTTAAATCGATCGGGTCGAGCGCCACTTGGATAAGAATCTTGTTGTTGTGTACTTGTAGTGGAGTTGAGACAGACCCACTCCGGCAAACTACTCTGGAATATGCGGGCTTTTAATACAATCTAGAAGGTTAAACTAGTCCACTGAAGCACTCCAATTGGTGTTGTTGTTGTATGTAGCTTTTGCTGGTGCTATTTTTGGTTCTGTGAATATTTTCAGTGGTACACGATGAATTTGAATGGGATATGATTGTAGGAGCGCAAGTGGTTGAAGTACAATGTCTATCCTATTATTTATGTATGTATTGTATGAAGAGAGAATAAGTTCACGTTGTCTGTTCCTTTTCTTTTTTTTTTGTTGTTGTTGCTGTTGTTGTTCTTCTTCTTCTTCTTGTAGTACGCTTTGTTTATATTTCTCTCTAGTCCTCCGGGATGTGGATCGGAGAAAGCACTGGTGCTGAAGATGGGCTTGAGTTAGATCAAAAGGTTCTACAAATTCTGTTTGGGATGAGAAGGGGAGAGGAAACTGCAAAACAGATCAGGATGGGAATCTTGTAGGAGTTTTCGAATTGAGCCAGATGATTGGGATGTTAAGATAGGACAGTCCGATGACGTCTAACGTAAGCCGAGATAAAGTAGAGAGTTTAGAGCGGCGATGGATGAAAAGTAGCAACCGAGAATGGATGAGCTTATAATAATGTTGAACAAACTAGCAGTGCAATAAAAGAAATCAGAAGAAATGAAATAGATTTGAGCTAACAAAAAAAAAAAGAGAACAAAGCTACGGAGTGAGCTCAGAAGAAGGATTTGGGAAGAAGCGAGATTGTATGTAGATTGGGATCCCTCCAGATACAGGGAGATGTGGAGTGTAGGGGTGTGGGTTTCAGATCTACTAGTGATTTAAATCATTTTTTATATTTGAAAGGTGATGAAAACCGGTGACGAAATCAGCGCAGTTCCCTGATGAGCTCGATGCGTAAGGCCAATGTTTGAGATGATTGGAAACTGTTTGAGAGGTTGTATACAAACCAGATGACAATCAGAACAGCAACAGTACGACTGTAGAACTAACTAGCAAAAGATTTTTTTTAAAAAAAAAACAGATCATAAAAGCTTTTCGAATAAACAGAGTCCAAAGAAAGGGAGTTACATCACTTTAATTTCAACCCCGGCACTCCAAAAAAAAAACATGTGTAAATAAATTTGATCATATTCGCAACAGCGGCGACGGCAGAGTCGGTTGTTACGTTGATAAGACTTTGGAGGCGGTGCACTGCCGGCGTGCCAACTCCTGATCTTTTCGGAGTGTTGCCGGGACAAGTCATGAAGAACTCGATCGAGAGTTACCCACCGGGTCCGTTATGTAGTGTTGCTGATAATGAATCCCAATATGTTTCTAGCTCCGCCTCCCGTGTTCCTTCACTATATAGTATCTTTACGCACCGCACGTTGGCATCATAAACCATCAAGACATACACCTAATACCAGAGCACCGCTTCTGCCTTCTAACCCCGAAATGGCCATCTTTTTGAGTACTGTATAGTATATAGTGACCGGGATGGAAAAGTTTGATCGGGCTCGCTGAAATCGGTTGCTCGTAGGCCACAGTTTGAATGCCCGATTGATTGCATACATATACCCATCTTACGTAATTCTTTATCATGGAAAGTAAAGAGCATATCGACTACAGTTGGTGCAAAAAGTCCATCAATCATTGAACCTGTCAAGGATTGTACAACTATCATTTCCATCATATTTTCGGCTAAAATTCATTCTAAAGCCGGTCTGATTGAAACCATTTTGATTTTGTTACTCACTTCTTTGCTTATCTTGGTCACAGGCTGAAAATATGACTAGTATTTTATATCAAGAAAACAACAGATTCATCAATCCAAAACACACATACTAAACTATATTTCTATATATACGAAGAATCCAGTCACAGAAAAAGAATGGTTGCGATGAGGTTATGGGCACATGATCTTTGGCTGTGGGTAGTTTCTGCCAGAGGCTTCCTCCTTTTGGTTATTTTATGAGAGTATCCCAAGCTTGAAGTAACCCCTGAAAGAAAGAAAGCCTTCTGCCAGCTTCTGAGCGGCGAGTGCCAGCAGAATAAACTTTTAAATCATCCGATCACATTCCCATGCCCATAGTGCTTGGTTGAAAGCAAACCAAGCCCATAACTCAACACACTCTTTAATCCTTGTTGCTGGTTTCTTTTCTTCTTCTTCCTCCTCCTCCTCTGTTCTTCTAAGCGCCTTGTGACCCGTTTCCGTCAATAGACTTAATTGTTCTTTTGCTGCATATCAGAAAAACAAGCAAAGCTTGAACTCGAACGAGCTCAATCTACATAATTTCTCAGTTCAACTCTCTCTTACAAACCTCTCGGTTTGTGGCCGTTGCATCTTAAGAATCGGCTCCCTTGGAAAATTGACTTTGCCGGACATTGCTTCTTGTTTTAGCGAGTCCCGAGGCATACATCCTGCTCCCGGAGATAATGTTGAGGCAGGTCTGTTTACTCAAGATGAATCAGAGATCAATCGAAGGATCCTACATACTTAAATTTTTAGCAGTCGGATCAAGCACCATCAAAGTTCACGATGACCAATAAGATTCTATTAAGGGGCTTTGCCAGAGTCAAAATAAATATGTAAATAATTAGGAGATAGGATGCTTCGCGCGGACAGGTTGGGTTCCGTTTCATCTTTCGCTGTCCGCTCGAGTCGTCCACGATCAAGATCCCAAGAATCGTTACATCTTTATACAGAGTTCTGGGATAAGTTGGCGGAGTATGTAGAGCTACGCGCCAGCTTGTTTATAGCCGAGTGGCGCTGTCCATCTGAGCTCGCTCTCCAAAGTGCTGGGTTCAAGTTCAATGCGATGATGAACAGTAGATGCATACTACATAGGTTGGCTTGCAACTTGATGCATTTCTTGGACACTCTGAAACAGGCTTGGAAATTAAGGAGTGTTTGATAGGGCTGGGTAGATGAATATCATTGCTTGTAAAATTGAATTTCAAAGAAACACCAGGAACAAAAGAAAAACCAAAAGGAATAGTTATGTATGGATCACAGGATACCACTAATGATCCAATCTATGGTGGTAATATGTCCTACACAGGAATATACAGAGATGCTATTTTGGCTCGAGAAAACAAACCAAAAATCTGAGAACAGGAACACCAATTTAGGCTTTCCTCCAAGGCCTCAACTCTAACTTAATGCCGCTGGCTTCAGGCAAGAGCTCATCCAAGGGGAAACTTGACTCAAAAGCAATGCTATGATTTAAGGCAAAGGGCTAAGATTTGAGTATGTTTCATCTTAGTCCTCCAAGTGGTCTCTTTTCCAACCCTACCACCCTGGTTCAATCCCCAACCCTCTCGCTCTGCACCTCGAGAGAGGATACATGGAAGAGCTAACAAATACTGACAAATTCCATTTGGATGGGGAGCGAAAATCTCTTTCTTAGCTTCTTTGGTGTATCCATTGAGGTTGATCAGGCTACAAGGAAAAAAAAAAAGGAATCGTTCGTCAGGGTGTCTTAAGTAAAGACCAAACGCATCATCAAATTCAGAGAAAAGACAAACAAGAATACGATCCTGGAGGATCTGTTTACCGACTTCTGCGTGAGCCCAACCAGAGACGTGTTTAAAAGATTCAACCTGTTGTTTGATTTTCTTGCGATAAATAGAGCCATCAGAGGGGCTGGTAGCATAACATACCACAGCGAATGTCGCACGATTACGGATGCCAAAGATAGATTGCATGAGATGGGCGAGTGGGTGATTGCTGAAGTCCGAAGAGACATATCCGATCTGGAGTCGAGCCATGCCGGGGGGGGGGGGTCTGCGTGTTCGTCTGTCTTGGTGAGTGGAAGTTGTGGTTGGTTGAGATTTGGGATGAGTGGAAGGGAATGAGGATTGCCGGTGTTGTTGTTGGTATGATGAGGGATCGGAGCGGAAGTTGGTTGGTTGATCTGTTGGTGCTGCTGTTAGTGAGTTCTGGTTGAACAGTCATACAGAGGATGTTTAAAGGTCTGACTGGCACGAGAGGACAGGTTGGTTGCAGCGATTAAATTGGAGGTCAAGGCAGCAACGGCAGCAGCCTGAAGATTTTTTGAGGAGATCTGTGTATGGAGCGCAGAATGAGTGTTGTTGATGATATCAGGCTGATGGGCAGACGACTGAGCGACGAGGAGCATATTCATCGGACGGGGGCAAGGGTGGACATTTCCGAGATGAGAGGAGCTCAGGCCTACTAGGGCAGGTTGCTTGAAGGGTGAAGCGAAGGTGGCTGGCTTGTCCAGATTATTGTTGTTGTTCAATGGTTTATTGGACTTGATGCTCTTAGAAGCGCCTGCATGACGAGCACGAGGTTTAGGAGGTTTGTGGTCAGTATGAGTGATTCGAGCATTGGTTTAATGGATCGCAATGATGGCCGGCCTTGGCAGTAGAGGCGGGTGGTTGGAATGAGTGTTTTCGATTTCGCCAAACAGTTCAATCTTTTCCCTTCATACGCATTACTTCCCACCTGCCAATCATGGCTCTCAGACTGATGCGAACCGCCTTTGACCGCCGACAATCTGATCCGCTACCATACATTTGTAGGCGACTCACTAGGATGAGAGCAATTGGTGAGTTCCTCCTTTCTTTTATTGATGCCTTCTCCATGTCGATTCGGTCTAATTTAATTCCTAGTACTTGTTGTCTCAGACCGTCAAAATGACCCTCAACTGGACGCCAACTTGGCCAATGCACTCGTCGACCGACACCGGATCACCACAGATATTGTCAACTGGAGCCGTAATGGTGGTGCCTTGAAACTTAGACTGGAATCAAGGAGGACATCAACAAAATCTTTTGTAAGAGTAACTCACTACCACCTTGTCTCTGGTTGACGATCTCTGTGGTGATCTGGTGTGAGTGCATTGGCCAAGTTGTCATCCAGTTGAGGGTCACTTTGATGGTCTGAAAGAAAAAAGTACTGGGAATTAGAACGAATCGACATGGAGAAGGCATCAATAAAAGCAAGGAGGAACTCACCACTTGCTCTCATCCTAGTGAGCCGCCTACAAATGTGTGGTAGCGGATCAGATCGTCGGCGGTCAAAACTGGTTTGCATGAGTCTGAGAGACATGACTGGGAGGTGGGAAGTAATGTGTTTGATGGGATGGTTTCCAATTTGGGAAAAGATTGAACTGTTTGGGGAGAGTGAAAACAGGTATTGGGCAGCACTTGGAAGGAAGGTGCTGAGGTCCATGTGCACCGGTCAGAAATTGAGGATGTTTCTTGTGCTGGTGCCTAGTCCAGTTTGAGGTCTGACTAAAAGCCTCAGGACAGAACAAGAAAGCAGGATACATAAGAGCTGCCCAAGGGCAACATACTTCATCCCACTTTTGAATCATTGTCACAAGAGAAGCTATTCCCATCCTGCCGGGCTGCTCGGATAAGAAGAAGCTCACCAGCACCCTTGTGAATCAGTCAACTGCTGCCCAATCGACCGCCAAAATCTCAAAGAACAATGCCCAACAATCTTCTCCTGCGGACAATCCGCCGCTCAAGAAGAACACTTGCCAAATGACCTTCAAGGAAACCTCTGGCAATCTGCCCCTAAAACCCTTGGCAACATTGGCAGCTTCCACCCAGGCTATTGGAATCCAACTGAATTTGCAGATAACCAAGATGGCCATTCAACTCTGATCAGCAGTAGTCTTGAATCCCAGCAGACTTCCTACTAAAAACCCCTGGCAAGAAATTGTCCAGTTTGACTTTTGATTCATCATACATTGATTCCCATTGTTCATCTCAACCAACAACTGTAGACATGTGAAATTCTTGCTTCAAAAATCTTGATCACTTTTCTATATTGTTTTGAAATTCTGTTTTTTTTTTATTCAGCATATTTATATTTATAATCCTCTTGTGTTTTCTTCAAGAAAAAAAAACCTTCCCATTTATTTATTTCATATCTATATCTAAAAAGAAAAAAGAAGAAAAAAGACAGAAAGAAGGATTATGCAAAACTTTGATGTTCATTTGTCTTGTCTTGTTCTCCATCACTGCAGTTCATCATGTTTTTCAGTATTGTCATCTCAAGTTTTTTGCAGTGATTCCCAGGGTAGAAAGCATTCTCAATCATGCTGTTTTGCTTTGTGGTTTCTGATCAGTTTATTTTCAGTGTACTACTATTATATATCATGACTATGTTCAGGCTTGCTATGATTAGATGTTTACCCAAATCAATATGGTTGTACAAGTTCACCATTTGAAGCATCCCTCTTGATCAGCTTCAAACAAATACATATCCCCATTCAACTTACAAAACCTAATCCGTACTCCACACAACTTTGAACAATTTTGCAAAGGAAAAATGATGTTATCATACTGGGCCCCAAATGCTTCTAGCTGGAATTTCCCCAAATAATATAAACCTGTCTCTTGCAAGAGAGTCAAAGATAAACTCTTTTCTCGCTGTTAACCCTGCAGTGACAGGATGTTTTCTATTGGCTTATTGCACAATAATCTTATGATGTTGAATCAGACCCTCTAGATTCAATCTCAACAAACTCCCACTGATACTACAATATTTTTGTATGAATGAAATGATCTCAGTGAGTGTTTGTTGTGATTGAGCCCTTTGGAACCAACTCAATATGATTAGACATTTCATGTAATATATAACCATCTGATGCACCAATTCATCAAGACCATCACAACTATGCATACCTGGTAATCTATCCAATTTTGATTTCTCTTCAGATCCAATAAAAACATCCTCAACTTGATGTCATCATTTTTTGAGCAAGTCTGTTCCATCAAATGTTATAAGTTTGAATTGTGGAGTAATGAACATCCACTGTCACAATTGCACAGAAACTGTGGGAAAAAGTGGTCCTTGGTGCACCAATTTTCCAGCTCATATTACCTCCCTGCTCTGGATGAAGATACATACCTAAAAGGGGCCATGAAAACTTAAATTCACATTAATACACATAGATTGTAAAATATGATTAAATGTTTCACAAGTTCATCAATTCTGATTTTGCATACTGTTGGAATTCTCCCTCTTTTCTCTTGAAAATCTCAATCTATTTCTTTTTTATTTTTCCCTCTCTCTTCTTCAATTTCTGCTCACTCCACTCCTTCTGCTCTGTCCGCTCCCTCTCCGCTCGCTTCATATCTCTCTTTCTCTTCATTTCTCTTTCCCTTTCTCTTTATTTTCAATACACACAATCATACGCCTCCTCAAAACAACACCTCACGCCTCACACTTGTCTCCTCTCCTCTTTGACTCAAACTCAACACCATGGGAACAGAACTAACCAACCACAAGTCCAACCAATTCCATCTCTCAACCACAAGCTGAACCGGTCTCCGTTAATGTATAAAAGTTGCCTCTGTCGTTGCTCCTCTCATTCCAATCCCCAGCAGTCTTAGACATTCTTTTGCCCAAATCATCCTACTCAAAATCCCAACTACACTGCTTGACTCACTCCCCCAACTTCCTCACCGCTCAATCAACTCCTTTCAATCATTCCCCTCATCATTCTTCTCCGACTATGTTTCTTCTCTTCTCTCATCCTCTACTTCCTTTCCCTCTTCTCTCTTCTTGTTCAATCTCACCGCCATTGACTCCACATCCTATTTGTGTCTTCACAATCATCTCTCATTCTCATTTCGCCAACAATCTCCCTTGAAATCTTCAATTGGCTTCTGCCAATTTGGTGAGAAAACAGCTTCTTTTCTCTTTAAATCTCATCAATCAAAATTAACCTTTCTTCTTATTTTTCTTTGCTCTAAATAGTGTTTACTATCTGTCCTTGTTTGACCTGCTTTATTTCAGTCTCTCTGTTCTGTCTAAGTCAAAAGACAACTCTTCATGTGGTAAATTTCTTTTCCTTTTATTTTATGGCTCATGTTTTCTTTTGTGATTATTGTCAATTATTTTAATTTGATTTGTCAGTTCTGATTCTAGCTTCAATTATAATTCCTGTTTTTCATCACATACCCTTCATGCATATGCACATTTAACACTCCCAAAATACACCATGGGTAGGTTGAGGATATACTATGTATTGAAATTAGGATTTATTACTAAACAACCAAAACCAGACTGAGAGAGAAAATGAATCAGTAAGGATGAATAACAACAAATGAATGAGAGAAAACAGAAAACAAAGAAGACCAGATTGAAAGAGAGGGATTCGAGGCATACCGCTAAGCAGATGGTATAGATGTAGATTGAGGACTTGTTGATGGAGAAGAGGGTTTTCATGGAAGAGCAGAGGAGCTAGAGCAAACTAAGAATGAAAGAGAAACAAGAAGAGAGATTCAGCGAATTCACATCAAACAACCAAAGAAGATATAGAAAAGAAGAAAGAAGCAACAGACAAGAGAAAAGAACAAACAATATGAAGAGCAGCAGTAATTGAATATTCAAGAGTCAGAGCCTAGAAAAGGATGAGATAGCAGAACAGTACTGTGGCAATAGACGGAAAGAAAAACAGGAACGTGGAGATAAAAAGGATGAGCATGGTTGTTGCAGTTTGATGAGCCAGAGCCAATAGGAGACTTTACAATGGTATTCGGATATTGTCGACGAGAATCTTGAAGACTTGGATTATCGCCTAGGTGAGCCGATGGGATTGAGCGGAGAGAACCGATGGAACCGATGGTTGAGGGTTTCTGGAGAGCAATCTTCAGTCGGAGTTGGGTTTTTTAGAATGATAGATCCAACCCTAACCGGTTGCGTATCCAGACTTATTGTGAGTCTCACTTCCAGGTAGTTGCTGCAGAGTCACCTTTCACAGAGAAAACTCAACACTATGCAAGATAGCTCAGTAGAGATTACTGATTCTTCCCTCTCTGAGCTAGCTTTCAAATAAAATAGATAGTCAGTTTGGTTCTAGAATCTGTTCAAGACAGAGATCTTACACGTGTGGATAGCAACGAGCTCCTGTCTCTTGCCCTCTGGATTCAGGATTCAAGTGGGCCAGGTCAAACTTGTTGGTACCTGTGGGCAGGTTTGGACATGTTCTGTGTGAAAAGCAACCTGTTGGGTCAGCAGGGCATGTATGGACAGCCCAGTATCAACACTGGGCCGCTACACTAAACAGCCCACTAACATTAGTGTAGTGGCCCTCAAAACAACTCGTCAAGCCTATAGTGTTAGCACACTGTTCTTGCCCCTACGCTACAGCGCTTTTAGCGGAAAAAACAGCCCAAAAACTGCTAAAATGTGCCGTAGCGCAGCGTAGTGGGCCTTTTTTGCTGCCCACACGTGTAGCGTTAGTGCAGATTTCTGTATCTTCGCTAACACTATGCTACAATGTAGCGTATTTGTGCTACACTATGCTAGAAAAATAGCGTAGCTGGCCCAGCGTTGCCAGTATGCAATTGGTCCAGCCCATATTTTTACCACTGACCAAGCAATATGCCGGGATCTGGAGAATATCTGATATCCTCAATCCTCATATCACTCTCCAGTTCATCCGTCCGTCCCTACTCACATTTTAAGGGAACCAAGATGCCTAGAGGAACAAAGCACCCTCATCCAGGGAATCCAGCCTCAAGGGCGGCTACGCTACACTACACTTTTTTGTGCCCAAATCCCACAGTGTTAGCACTTTTTATTGGATTTTTGCTATGCCAAGCTGCACTCCAGGCTGCTAACAGTGCTAAAGGGACAAATTTATGCTAATCAGCACATTAGTGGGCCCTTTTCTGGGTCCTACGCACATAGTGTTAGCACAGATGTTGTGGAATTCCGCAATGCTACGCTAAAGTTTAGCAGAATTTCACTATGTTATGCTACACTAACACTACAGTTAGTGTAAGTGGGCCACCGCTGATGACATCAAGTAAAAGGAAGGGGACTATTAGTACTAGCAGCTGAACTACCAGAAATTGTGACAGTACAGTGACAGGTCAGAACTTGAAGACACAGGCAACCATCAAGAAAGTAAGGGTTCAGGAAAGGTGGATAACTGCAGAATCATGTATCTAGATTAGGTTTAGATGATGTATTTAGATCCCCCAGTCATGAACCTTGTTTCTATTCCTTTTCCTCACTAACTCAGTTGCTCTCATTTAGAGATTTTTCATTTGGACCTAGGTACCTGTTCATTTTTTCAAGAAAATAGATACCATGTACCGCACCAGACACCTCCTGGGGGGTACCTGAGGTACCTGTTTCAGGTACCTCAGGTACCTCCCCTCTCGTTTTCACCTAGTTTCACTCCCAGAGTCCCAAGTCACTTTATTATTATTATTTTTTTCATATGTATTGTAAAATATCACTCACAAGTCACTTTTTTGGCATTTTTTAATATCTGTTGTAATATATCTACATCTAATTGGAAGAATATTACTTTTCTATTTTTTCATATTTATTGTAAAACGTCAGTCCCAAGTCACTTTTTTCATTTGTTCATATTTAATGATTTATTGTAAAGTTTAAACTATCTACAACTTATAACTAAATTAAAGAATCTTCATTGTTGTCCAAAACTATCACCTTCCTTTTTTTCTGTTTCCGTGCAGCCAAGGTACCTTCTTGGATCTTGGAGTTCTTGGAGTAGAAGGCCACTGTCATTTCGGTAGGGAAGTGAGGGGGTACCTGTTCAATTTTTCACGAAAATAGGTACCAAGTACCAGGGTGCGGGGCAGGAGCGAGGGGTACCCCCCAGGAGGTACCAGGTACCTGCAAAAAGTACGGACAAACAATCTCTCCTCTCATTTTTGTGTCGCCTCAATAGGTGATTATCATTCTCCTTTGCTTCAGCTCATTGTCCCCCTCTCCCAAGACTCTTCCTCTTACTCACTGTGGTCCACTGGTGTTTCTCAGAAATTACAAATCAGATGTGGAGATTCTCCTTCCGGTATCACAAGATACCCCTTCTACAGACTCAACTTCAACTTCTAGGAACTTCACTCATTCTGTCCAGAAGTCAGATCAGATGGATGCAACCTCAAACCAAGAATTTGACACTAGCACTGAACCAAAGACAAACGAAAGGAAAACAACTAGGGCCTGTACCATAGGGTTGAATTTTGAAGAATGGGCATGTTTCCCATCTTCTACACAAAAAGTGGGAATAATTGGAGAGATCTGGCATTGAAATTCTCCAATTTCACACCAAAGACTAGCTTTTAGCTCTGGTCAATTTTGATGACATGAAATTTTATGCAAGATAACTTTTGAGAAATTGACTTTTCATCTCATATGGAACAAATTTTGGCTTCAATTCAAGGAGCACAGATCTGGTGAGTGAACTTACTGGATTTTAAATTTGCCACTTTCCTATTCACTGATCCATTAAGTGCTGCTGATCTTTCTTACGGAAAGAATCCCTTCTGGTCCTCAAGACTGTATGGTCCCAATGAACGGAAGGGATTCCTTCCGGTCATCAAAGTTTGAATGATCTTGATGACCGGAAGGGGTCCTTCTGGTCATTGAATGGTCTTAATGACCAGAAGGGATTCCTTCCGGTCATCAAATGGTCTTGATGACTAGAAGGAATCTCTTCTGGTCATCAAGACTGTACATTCTGGATGACCGGAAGGAATCTCTTCTGGTCATTGAGACTGTACCTTCCAGTCATTAAGACCATCCCTCCCAGCCAGTGAGACTCGGAGGGAGGCAGGTCTCGATGACCGGAAGTGATTCTTTCCAGTCATCGAGACTGTACATTCTTGATGACCGGAAGACTCACTGTACATGTCAAGTGACATGAAACTTACTCCTGCCTTTATCCAGTGTTACTTCAAATTCAAAGGGTTGGGACTCCCTGATGACCACAAAGGGCCCATTGACTTGTTATTTAAGCAGACAAGCACCAGAGTAACAATGGATTTGTAACATATGTCACTTCATCATATGTCACCTGACACCTACTTCCCTCAAATATTCCATGGTATATTTACCAGTGTTTCTACTTAAAATAAAACATGTTCCTACTTACAATGAATGAAGTGAAAAAAGAAAGACAAAAACATAAAAAAAAACATGCCTGCCTCCTCAAGATCTTAGTTTCTGTGCTGACAGCCCACAGGCTGCCTGTGGACAGCCCATTTTCTAAATGGGTCCAGGACATGGCTGAATTGGGCCAGGCCAAGGCTGTCTGCTATCATGGCGGGCCCTGCTGTTTGCCATCCTGTCACAGGACCCAGGAAACTCCCCTGTAGATGTCACTGTCAGTAACATAAAATCCCAGCCGTTCAGAAAATTCATACATTTTTCAGCCTTGTTCATATGTCTTGTGCAATACATGAGGCTCAGAGGTCAGCCAAAAATTTTCATACAACCGATTAACTCTTGCATGTAACATTTTGTTTTGGCTGGAGGCTGGAATGTTGTACAATATTTTTTTGTCTCTACCAGTTTTTCTCCCATCTGGAATTACCACAAAGCCAACAAAAAAATTACAGCTAGTCATTCCTGCTAGCAGCTTGGACTTTGGAAAAAAACAACAAAAAAAAACAACAACAACAACAACAAGAGATCTTTGCCATTGCATAGTACAGTATGTAGTGGGAGGAACATCTAATTATTAACTATCACCAGCTGGATCTTTTTTTTTCTTTTTGAGAGACACGATTCTTAGGATTTTTTTTTACCAAAAACTGACAGAAGGGTTTTAAGAAAATCTGACATGCGCATGACATAAAAAAATAAACTGATAGGTCACTCATGGTAAAAGGGGGGGAGGGTCCAAAGATAATAATCATAACAAATCATACATACATCTTTTGCTCACTAACCTTCATTGTTCCTCACACATCCCATACAAATCCAGGTGAGTACGATTATACCCAAAAAGACCGATTAATGATCCATGACTTTTGGTGAGTCTCAATGCTCATTTCGGGTGTTTGCCAAAACGAATTATCCATTTTGGGTCCTGGGTTTCCTGGGTCCTGTGAAGACATATGCAGCTCTTCCGCCCAGGCAGGATACTGGATAAACCAACAAACACACACACATACCTATGTACATAAGAAGATACAATGTATTTGTGTATTTATGTATAAACACCATCTTTTTCATGTATGAACAAGACAAAACAAAACCAAAGGTGGAGATTCAATAAGAAAAAGGGGCCAGGATTGTCAGACTGATTGAACACCTCAGTCGGCAAGCAACAGAAGCAATCAAAGTGATTGGTTTGACAACAAACCCCTCACCAAGAACCCAAACAAAACAACCTATCCTCCTCCCCAAAGAAAAAGAAAAGAAAAAAAAGAAAGAAAGAGAAAGATCTAGAGAAGCTGGATGTCAGTTTTTAAGTGTTTCTTTCTTTGGGGGAGGGGTTGGGGGTGTTCCTTAACTGGAGAATGCTTGGACTTCATTTTTGGTTTTTTCAAAAAAAAAGAGGAGACTAGAGAGAGAGAAGTTATAAACTTACATGACTTATGTATATGCACATACGTAAAATATTTGAGAAATCATTGGATTATAAGGTGGAATGGATCTGCCCGTGAAAGAGAGACAAAGAGATGAAGATAACGATAACGATGATGATGGTGATTGACCGGTGAACCAGACACAGAGAGAGAAAGAAAAAGATGTGTTTTTGGATAAGTATATATATGGAAGTATGAATTCAAACCAAGGAAACCAAACGGAAAAAAAAAATCTACCCACAAAAAATAAAGATAATGATAAACAAAGACAACCAGGATAAGAGAGAAAGCACAGAAAGGGAAGGGGAAGAAGAAGAAGGAATTACAAGACCCCCTGACTGAAGTATTGAAACGAGTCATAAAGTCTAGTGAACACGGAGTTGATGGACGCAAGGATCAGCTTGTTTTCGATAAACTCGTCCAGCTTGGTTTCGGAGGTCAAGTTCAATTGGAACCGGTCGCGTAGGTTCTTGATCACCAAGTCCCCATTCCCGCCGAAACATGGTAATTTAGATTCTGATAAAAAAGTTTTTTTTTTTTGTTTTTGGTTTTGATAGGAGCGATGAAAAAAAAAAATCAATTGAGGGTCTGTTTCTTTTTTTTTTATTGATTGAGGTGTTTTTGAGGGACCTAAAAGAAAGATAAAAAAAAAAAGAGGAAAAGTCGACTTACCGACTTGCATTAATTCGACGATCGTGATGATCCGTTCGGCATGTTTACGAATCTTTTTAAAGGAGACCTTAAAGAGCTCTACGAATTCATGAAAGGAATCAAGATCGTTGGGATTGAGCTGATCGGATCGAGAGGCATTAGCCGAGGAGGCGGAGTTGAGCTCCCAAGAAGGATGGCGTTTGCCGTCTTTAGCGGAGGTGAAATGGGAGGGCGGATTGAGGACCTCGATGTAATCCTGCGAGAGTTTGAAGGGGGCCATCTCGAAGCCGATCGAGCCGGGCGAGTTGTTGAGGACAAAGCCAAAGTCGATGTGGATGATATGTCCCTCCTTGTCGATCAGGATGTTCCCGTTGTGTCGGTCTTTCAGTTGCAGGATGTAGGAGATGATCGAGTAGGACACTAAGGACTTCATAAAGTTCTTTTGCGCTTGTTTGTACTTCTCTCCCGTCGGTGGCCCATACGTCTAATCGATCATTGACAAAAACAAAGCAGGTTAATGTTCAATTTTTACTACTGATTGGAATGGTTAGCACTCACATCAACATAATGGTCAAAGATCGAATAATTTGGCAATCCGCCCGTAGCGGCAGGAGCCGATGAAGCAGTGGATGACCCTCCAGCAGCAGCAGCAGTAGTACTACTGGCGGTGCCTGGGACGGTATGGTTGGGAGGGTTATTAGCACGATGAAGGGCGATTTTAGAGTATGCGGATTTCTTGAGCGAATGGATGGAGACAGCGTCGACGATAGTTTCCATGAGGCCGGTGCTTTCGCCGGTGACGAGGATGCGATAGTAGCGGACCCAAACGTCGCAGGCTTCCTCGCTCCAGATCCTGCCAAACTCGTTGATGAGCTGGACGATGATCTGTTCCTGACGGAGGTCCGTGCCGGTCTTGACGATCACCGAGAAGAGGTTCCAATTGGAAAGGTGGCCGTAGGGCGACGACTGTCGGATCCGTGCCCGCTTCGAGGCCCACGACTCCGATAGCATCTTCCCCGACGGATCTTCCTCGTTCACTGCCTTCATCACCACCGATTCGTCCGCCACATTCGAATTCTTCTGGCTCCCCCTACTACCACTGCTCGAGCTCTTCTCCTCTCCTGAGAGCTCAGAATCCTTGGGGTTGCCCGCAATGATGTCCAGCTTCATCCGTTGCATCCGTTCTTCTTCCAAGAGCATCATCTCAGACATGATCTTATCCTTGATAGCCTGGCTCTGTTGCGGGCTCAAGAACTTCTGCCTGGGTACCGCATTGGGGCCTGAGCTTCCGGTCCGAGAGGGAAGGAGGTCAGCTCGATGATCGACCCTACCCTCGGCGGAATTCATGTCCAGTTTGACTGACACGCCAGCCGAGCCTTGGCCACTGACGTTCGCCCCCGACCCAGCTCCGCTGCTGTTGAGATCCTTCCGGCCGATCGGAGAGGTCATGACCGTCTGGCCATTCCCGACCAATCGACGACTGACCACGGCGCCTAGCCCAGCGCCTACGGTCACACCCACAAAGCCCGCACCGAGCCCGATTGCTCCACCAACGACCATTCCCGCGGCACTCGACGGGGTCATCGACAAGGACTGAGGGGGCTGTTGGGAGGCACTCAGTTGAGCAAGCATGATCGCTGCCATCCGCATCCGCTCCGCATACTCATCCAAGGTGATCGGCGGGCGGGAAGGAGTGGGACTGGGCGACTTGAGGCTCGACGGTGATTGGTGTAAGGTGGCCAGAGCGCTGGGATCCATCAATTTACTATTACCCTCTGCAGCGTTCGTCGACTGACTAGTCGTCGTCGTCGTCGTCGTCGTCGTCGCCGGCAGCGGATTCGACTTCGATTTAGTCATCGAGTCTTCGAGTTCGGGATGGAGGGAGTTCGGATGCAAGTGGGTGAGGGTTTGATTCCGGATGACGACTGGCTCAGCTCGCTTCCATGCCTGTTCATCAAGAGCTTTGTTCTGCAATCCAGCAGGAAGATTGAGGGATTCAGAATGAGAATGACTGTAGAGGAAAGAGTCTGCCTCGTCATTCTCATCATCATCATCATCATTCCGAGAGTCTAAGCCGCCAGGCTTATTATCTTTCCCATAGAGCTGCTCGACCAAATCCATCTCTTCCTCAGGAAAGTTCGAGAGAATCTCGGGGAAGTCGAAGGACGAAGCTCGTCTACTGTGATGACGTGGAGAGGAAAATGCCGAGCCAACTTGGCTGTGCTCAAGCACTGTCCGTCGATCTACCAAAGCCTGAGATAGATGATCTGGGTGATGTTTGTTGTTGGTGAGGCCATGGTCGCTAGAATGAGCGCTACTGCCAGACGTATGATCTGGGAAGATTTTGTCAGTGAGAGAAAAGCGCTGTTGCAGAAAGATGATGAGAGAAATCACTTACCGGTGGGAGAACTAATGGAGGAAAGGCCCAAATGGTTGAACGACTCTCCAACAGGTGGAAGGGAGCTTGCGGTTTTAGCCATCCCATAGGACTTGATTTTGTTGGCAATAGGTTGATCGGCACTACCTCTACGACTTCTGCTGGGATCAGCTGGGGCGACTGTGCTGACGTTGGATTCAGAGAAATTAGGTGAAGAGTCATTGATGATGACGGAATAGATGTTTGAATTCAAAGTTTTAGAGTCGGTGTCGTTGACGGAAATGGCAGAGCCCTTGATGGCTTTCCTCAAGTCCTCATAATTCGAGCGACGGTTGGGGTCGAAGTCGAGATGATCTTCGAGCACTTCGACGTGGATCAAGAATGGGGCCCGGTCGGCTGAGTTAAGGACGACGGACTCATTGGGCGAGATCCTGACGATTCGCTGATGACATTTCTTCCGCTTCGAACCCCCGCCACCCACCTCGGACTCCATACTGCCCGACTTTTCCTCGCCCTTATTTTTACCATCGTCAAAGAAATCCCCGTTGCAATACATTCCTAAGCAACAACCTTTGGGAAGGCTGTGATTCAGTACGGTCAGCTCGGCACGTAGAGCTGAGAGTCTGGCTTTCTTGGGGACCACGACCAGTCGGGTGGCGATATCTTGAAGACTCGTGATTAGATCCAATTGCGATCTCATCGATTGGGATTTTAGGACCTGGTTGAGTAAGCCATCCGGGATTTCGCTGGGATCCATCGAGAGCGCACTGAAGAGATGTCGAATCGGACTACTGGTGGTACCACCACCTTGATGGGAGTGTTTCCCGTTCCGATGCATGTTCGATGTTCGAGGGTGATGGAATCGACTGTCACGTTTAAATTTTGAGAGAGCGTCGGGTAGAGAGGGTGCAGATTGAGAGATGGCAGCAGAAGTATGAACTCGAGGAGAAGATGTCGATCCAATCGATGCAGTGCCGATTTGTCCTGGATAATGAGGCACAGTGGGTAAGGCATAGTTGTTCTCGTTGTTCCCAGGGGATCGAAACAGTTGGGCATCTGAGTGATAAGCAGGTCGGACATTGGGCGAGCCAGCTCGGGAGAGGTGATCGGTAGATGGGATGGGTGCCGTAAGAATAGAAGACGATGGTGAAGAGGTTCCAAGGTGAGATTCGAGTTGATTGAGATTGATTCTAGGGGCCCACTGTGGTGACAAAACACCAGCTGAGGATGAGGAGGAGGCTAGGTCGGAGTTATAAGCTTGAAGATTGGACTTTGCTCGGAATTCAGCGTCAGAGGAGAACTGGAGAGCAAGAGAGTGATCGATTGATTGGGATGATTGATGAGTCAACTCGGGCCTTGATGATGATGAAGAAGATGAGCTTGGATAGTTTAGATTTCGAGGGTTAGGGGCTACCCTCATACTTTGGTGACGAGATCGGGTTGAGGGTTGAGTCTTGAAGGTAGGTCGCTGTTGAGCCTTGAGAGTCTTGGGCTTGTTTTGATCGAGCTCTTCATCATCACTTGCTGAGTTGTTATCATCCTGATTTTTGCCTTTGAGTCGTGAAGTGATGGTGAGTGACTGGCCATAACTCCTGCTCTGTTCGATCGGCACATGTCCAGTTTGGAGAGAGAGCTGAGGTGAAGCGATTCCGGCCAATGCTAGACCCATTCCGACGGTAGTAGGCAAGACATTCTCAGTGATCTTACCCCCTGACAGCTTATTGAATTCGGATAGCGTTCGTTTCTTGAGATGTTTCCAATAAGCAGCTGATCGTGGGTTGTTGAGCTGATGGCTTTCGGAGAGAGTTCGTCCAGATTTGGGGGTAGAAGGGTTGAGTGTTAGGTTGAGGCCGATTGCGGTATCTCTTGGATCGAGTTGTTGGCGTTGAGTTGATAGTTCGAGGAGGGGATCGGAGAAGATGATGGATTGGATTTTATTGAATGCTCGATGACAGACGATGAAGTTGGGAGTATTGGGGTTTGAGGAGAGATCGGATAGGGATGCTTGGAGATACCAGAGTGTCTGTAGATGAGTTAGATGAGTTAGTATTTTTTTTGGTGTGTTAATGTAGATCAAGTAGGCTTAGTTAGTAGACTGACTTTCATTGCTAGATGGGTGGATTGTTGAGATTTTTTGATGATGAAGGATTCGAGAGCGAAGCTTTGGGTTGGGCGGCTGATGAGGAGATGACTGAGGAGGGCAAGCAGATTGATCAGTTAATTGAAGATAGACCATTAATAGTGGTTGATTGATTCGATCACCATAGTTGAGGCCAGTAGAATTCGACATCCTCAGCTGGGAATTGGTTGAGTCTGCTGATAAGGTAGTAGGTGATTCCGATGGAATCGTGATAGGTTTTGAGACTAGATAGGTAAGAGGTGTGATATGTCAGTTGTTTTTGGTTTTTGTTGTTTTTTGTTTTGTTTGATGAGATTGAGATGAGTTTGACTGACTATGAGATGGCTAGATGGACGTTGAAGAATTCGGATTCGAATAGCCTGAGTAGGAGTCCACTCCCTCCGCTCTGCCCGGTGGGATTGCCATTAGTTTTGATGATGTTTGAGAATAGTGAGCTCTTGTTTTGATGAGTTGCTGCTGATGGCGGGGTTGAGTTTGCTCTGATGGGTGTTCTCCGATCGGCTGGTTGATTTCTAGTGTTATTATTAATTCCATTTGTTGTTGTTGTTGCTGTTGTTGTTGTTGTTCTTTGTTTCTGTTGGTTTGTTGATGGGTTCATTATTGTTGTTGTTGTTGTTGTTCTTGGCTGTTGAGGGTGAGTGAGTGAAGTGGTTGCTGTGTTTGGTGGAGTCTTCAAGGAGGAGGAGGCACAACCCCCCCTCGCCATGAACCTTGACCCCCTCCCTGGACACCTTCCTCCTGAATCTGATTCACCAAACAAACAAATCAAAAAAAGAACATCAATGCGACTTAAATGATCGAGGCTGGCGGTCAAGGGATTTTCGTCATAAGGAGAACCAAAAACCAAAGACCAAATCGAATTATTTAATGTAATCAAGATGGACTATCATCATATTGCTATGTAGTGGTTTCTCTGTTCAAGTTGTTGATCCCAGTCCACTGATTTCCAGACAAGCTCATGTCTTTTCCTCCAATCTGTTGTTGACTTGGACAGCTCCTTAAGGGCATGAGTGGTGTCTTACATCACTTGTTATCAACTGACATTTCCATGGATCAAAACTGTGATCCACTCATCATCAATGAAAGAATGATATGAACTTCATGTTGTGTTGGTTTCAAGAAACAGCTCAATCAAGAACTGCCTACAGGCTATAGCCCACTGCCTCTTATGTTTTTTTTTTTTGGCAGTGCCCTCTTGCTGAGCAGTGGGGCAGTGCCAAGGGTTGGTCTGTAATCTGTTTTTGGGGCAGGAATGTATGTATTTGTGTATTTTGGTCTGTTACAACAAGACTGGGTTCAAGTTTTTGAAGCGGTGTGGGCTGACTCCGACTACAAGGTTCAAAAGAGAGAGAGAGTTCTGTGGTTGGTTGTAGGTTGAATTCTCCAACTGGTTCCTTGAAGCTGAAATCTCCGGCGATCATCCTCATACATATTCAAACTGCCCATGACTGCAGATTCCACACCACCCTTGCCAAGAAAACAAACGAAATCCCAACAACAACAAACATCATCATCCTCATCAACCTGCCATCGTCCCTGTTCGTATTAAAGAAATCAAAGAAGAAGAAACAAACTTACTGAGTAATTACTGGCGCAACTTCAAGATCACTACTACTCAACGCGCTTGTTTATTCAACCCTTCAATCGAACTCTTGAAACTCCTTCATCTTCCATCTCCAGAAAACCAAAAAAAGAAAGCTAAACATTCCAAGAAAAAAAAAAGTTGTTCAAGAAAAGCTTTCGGTCGTCGTTCAAGAGCTGAGCTCCCCATCGAATCTTTTGGATGACTTATAGGCTACTGAACTTGGAGCTCAGCCCCCAGACACAAGTCTCAAGGCTCATCGTCTCTGATCAGTAGCCTCCATCTATTAATAACGATAAACAGTTTATACAACTTTCCTTTCTGGTGGATTTCCGTTTAGTCGCACTCCGGCTCAGCAGTCCTCGTCTTCTTCAGCAGCTCATCCTTGGCCGAGCCTCACTCACTCTCACTCACTCAACTCGCTACTTGAGAATATTTAAACAGCCCCTGCTCTCTCTGTCCCTCCAAAACAACAATCCACCTCGCTTGATCAGAACACTCTAATCATCATCATCCATCAAACCAAAAATCACCAACACTACCGAGCAATCGACATCCTCCATAACCCTCCTCATACACACGGTCAGTAGTCCATCTCCTTCTTCTGTCTGTTTCTCGCTCCAGTCCACTCCCTCCTATACATTACACAACAAGCACACGCTTGATGCCCACAGATACATAACAAACACAATGTTGTGCTACATTCATATCGTATAAGTCCACCTGCTGCAGATCCCCTGCAGCACCAGCTGCTGGTCGGTTTCAATCCGTACATCATCAGACCGACCAAGAAATATCTATACTCCATCCCACATCTCACAAAAGCCTGTGACCCATGTCGTGTATCACATGTACCGGGCCCCCAACCGACGACGTGGTCGATCCACAATCACCCGAGCTCGCCAGCATCCTCGCGGAAGCAGAAACAAAAAAAAAGAGAAGCAAGCAACAAGCCTTCCTCTCGGATTCGCCATTTGTTTTTATTATGTAGTCTTCTATACCTCTCCTTTCAAGTGGGCGTATCCACCATACTCTGAAGTTCTGATTAATATCGGTCTTTCCTCTACTCTATGTGATTAGATGTCTGTCAAATTGGGCTCTTCAAGCTGCCGCTCAAGGCTCTAGAATCTCGACCCCTGGTGAATGACTTATGAGGTTTAATATATTAACCGGTTGAATACTATGCAGAGAGTACTCTTTCGCACCTTTTGCAGAACCATCTGCAAGTGTCTGTCTTCTCGGAAGTGAGCCTGTTCCTCTTATGTTAAAATAAAATTAAAAAAAAGGATCATCAGCGCCACCGGTGTCATCGAAAATATCTTGATGCATCTTACTCGGTCTGTTCTGTAAGCATTCGACGGATTCTTCTCTCATATAGAATCATAGATAGATCCATTCGAATACTCTGTATAGCGTAAGTATCCATCGGATGATGCTCTAGTTTATCACATCTTCATCGGCTCATTGGTCGATCGTGAGCGTGGTTGCCATTCCAGTCAATCTTACATGAGACTGTGAGTAGCCATGTCCTTGTTGGCAGCCGTTAATTAACTGAGGCGTGGAACTCGTGCCCGTCGGTTATGGCGGGCAGCCCAACTTTCGATATCGTGGGGGCTATCAGCAAGCTGGCATAAGATATATCTGTGATTGCAAAGCTCTGCTTGAAGGGACTGTCAATTGGCTAGTGCTTCTCCCGTCTTGAATCAATAGAACACCGAGAAAAGAAGAAAACGCATTCCATGTTGCACATCCATGTTGTTTTGTAAACGTGTCAGCAGCGCCCAAATTTTCCAACGATTTCTGTCCCAGTCTGGTAGACCATTGAAAGTCTTATAAACAACAGGCAGCCTTAAAAACAAACCACGCC